TCCACAAAGTTTATTTCTTTCCAATACTCCAATTTTTCTTTAGTTACGGGGTCCGTTGCCCTAATCTCTTTCATAGTGTCAGAGACGTTGAGTCTCAACGGTTGAGATTACCACGGAAAATGAGATCGCGGCCGTAGTTCTCCAGTTATAGATCAAAGATAACGTTCCATTTTCCGTTTTAGTAGCGTCCAAGTACTTTTTAACCCATGTTGTTTCAAGACATTTGTTGAAAGGATAAAGGTCAATCATCTTCAGACCTCCATACTCAGGTTCATTGATCATAACTTTTCTCTTGATTTTGTCACCTTCACGATTCCATAGAAAATGGTAAAACATGTCATTTATTTCCTTTGTAGCGTAATGATTTGAGCGTAAAAGGGAAGAGCAAGTATACCAGTTGTGATGCGGTCAGTGAGTTAAGGACAGTAATTTTCCCTAACAACGTGAGCCTGCAATATTTCCAGCAACTCAAAAGCTTCCTAATGTTTTCAGTTTTTTCGTTGTAATTCAACGTCAAAGCCATGTCCGGATCGGTTGACAGCCACAGACCAAGTGTTTGACTTTATATTTTGGCCATTTAAACTTCTTTCCTGAAACAAGGATTTGTTCATGTGCTGTCTTAGAACCGATCCAAAGGGCTTCCGTTGTGCTCTCGTTTAACTTGAGGCCGGAGATCTGACAAAAATCATCTAAACTTTGTATTGCTGGTATAAGGGATTTCTCTCAACCGTCTAAGACAAGAGTGGTATCATCAGCGTGTTGGCTTATCTTAACTTCGTCATTACCCAGAGAAAAACCTGTTATGCCCTTGTTGTTCCGGACGGTCTTGGCCAAGATCTCCGCAGCAAGAATAAACAAATATGGGGAAAGGGGACAGGCTTGCCTAACTCCCCTTTGAGACCGAAAGAAATTGCTTGAATCAGCTCATTCAGCCATTGCTAAGTACACAGTTTTCGCATTTTTGATTAAGGACAGCCTTTATCCTCATCAGATGAAACTTTTAATTACTTATTATTTTAATTACTCATTATTTGGTCCGGCGTTACATTATTGGCTAAGGCAATGTAAATTCCGAAGTAGGCTAAACTGATAGACAATTAGGTAATACACAATAACTTCATCGCTCAATTTGTTGTGATTTACCAAGGCCACCGACTTTAGATGTTTACTGCATAATATCAACTTCTTATAACTCTTAAAATTTCTCCGCAGGGGTGGTTTGGACATCAAAAGAGAAAACAGGGTTTGACTTTGAAGGATGCAAATTACATAAAACATACATAACTTACATAGACCTCAAAACAGTATAGTACTCTGCAAAGGGAGGTATTGGTTTAGTTACAAGAAAGGTGTGAACATTAACTTATACAAATATTACAACGTAACATTTCCCAGGTTCGCGTTCAAAAGATAAATAAAACTTTACAGCGAATTTAACAACTATGAGTTAAGAATCTCTTGGGAATCTCATATAGATCTGGTGAGAGTAAGCACACTATATTGATATTCTTTGCACAAAATTACACGGTTCTCATTATCGATCATATGGTGTTCTCTTACTATTACGTCCATGCACGGTACAGAGCCACATACTATATAGTATCTAACGTTTCCTTAGCTTATCATACTTTCTTTTTTCATCGTAAAGCACCTGTAAGGAATGGTGAAATATGGGAAGAACCATTAGAAAAGCGAAACTATTTACGACTTTGACTATTTTGCTAAACATGTCACAAAAATGACTGTTGTCATTTTTGACATCATTCTTTGAGTTGACATGCTGGATAATAGCATGCATGACAAAGAACTCGAGCTCATTCAATCCAGGATCTTTGATTTTTTCGTCATTTTCTTCCAGTGAAAGTCTTGATCGTTTCGCTTTCACGGTATGCCTGTATTTTTTACTTCGCTTTCTCGGTGTTCTACATTGCTATGAAAAATCAATAAGAATTCCCCTGGGAAGGGCACAAGTTGACAGATAAACCGAGGTTAACCTTCCGAGCTAACATATCACTCTTCACTGCTGTCCACATATTTCATCTGATACTCAGGATTGGAGAAATCTGTTTAAATATCTAGACAATTTTTCTACGGGACAGATCGTTAAAGTGGGTTCAAAGTAGGACGTACGGTTGTCAGTTAAGCTTCCAGTATTCTTGATAGTCGGTTCAGCTCAAGGGTGGAAATTCAAGTGACTAAGGAGGCCTTCCAAGGGGAGTAGCTGTGTCGCAATGTCGCTTGCTTTAGGAGACCGTTGTCGCCTAATCTACAGCTGCAAATGTCGCTGTCGTTTTTTGAAGTGTACATAACTGTACCAGTAATTTTTGTTTTGCGAGAAACTGTTTCGCAACAGGGCTATAACAGGATTTTCATGGTGGTCAGTTGGCAAAACTTTGTGAGCGGCGAAGGATGAACGCTTCTTCTTCTTTAAGGGTAGGCTCCTGCGGGAAAATTTGGAAAATCTGAACCCTCAGAAATGCAATTTCCTGTATTCTGAGTCACTTTTATTGATAAAATGCACAACTTTCCAATGTCACCGTCGTTTTTCACTGTTTAGTATGTCGCTGTCGCATTTTAGCAGCGTAGCCATGTCACTTCTCGCTTTTTAAAAATTCCCATGTCGCCAGTTTTCAGGGCCGTGTCGCATGTCGCTTTTACCCCTTGGAAGGCCTCACTAAGTGTTTACAAGCACTGCAGCTCTCAGCTGAGCTCTATTTAGTGCAGACGATAGAGAGAATGTTCCCACAGACAAATACCGTCGTTTAGGCGAAAAGTAGGCGCCTTGCAGCTGCACCGAACCCAAAAAAATACAAGAATGTGGAATTAAGTACGGTTTCTTTGTTCGTGCAAAAATTTGAGAAATTGAAAAGTCCTGAACAGTTGAATACAATACAAGATTCCGAACAAGATGCAACTCGCTAGGTTGAAAATTTATGCCAAACTACAGTTTGAAATTCTAGTTTACTGAAGGTTGAGGAAATAAGAAAAGTTTGGCTTAGAAAGTAGAATTGAATATGAAGAGCCTTTTAGTCTTAAAAACTTGCTAACACAGCAAACGAGGGTTTTGAAACTATTCGTCATTCAATTTTAGGCTAAAAGGTGTGGTGGTCGTCAGCCTCCTTAATGAAATAGTTCGTTGAGGATAAAACATTATGAAGTACGTTGAAATGTTAGTAAAACGTAAATATATGCAAATCGATGATGAAATGCTAACTATTAGATCGATGTTGTTTAATGATCTTATTCATTTAAAATACTACTGAACCAAAACAACAATAAAACGACAAATGGATAAATATCCCTAAAATTAAATCCCAACACATTCTTCGACAATTTCACCCTGGCGATCATTTCCCTAATTAAAATAAATTTTCTAGAAACATGAGTAGAATTAAATAAAATGATATGATAGCAATAATTAAAGGGCTACGAATTCTACCTTATCAAATGACCCTCTATTGTCATCATCTGTCAATTTAATGACTGACGTCGCTGTGATATCGCATTTATAGGATATTGCTCTTGAAAATGGAAAGATAAAGGAAATACAAAGAATACAACAACAACAACAACAAGTTTATTTAGTATTACTATATATTTTTTTAACATGGTGTTACCGGTACACTGAAATACAATAATATCAAGACGAAGATTGCAAAGGAGTTACAGATATAATAGAATGGGATAATTTATCGATTATTATTATCATTATTCTTCTTTCGTCTCTCAAATGATTGGAAGACGAAGGTAGCAGTACGCTTGCGCATGTACGAATCAGTATTAATATTAAAAAAGAAAACAGATTTTATCATTAGTATTTTAATTTGTAAATAACGTATTTCGTCATTCATTTTAGTGAAAAGAGACTTTTTAAGGACCAATGAAATAATAGGTGTATTTAATTTTCAACAATTTAGACTGCAGTGATCACAAATTCTTAGGTCTTCGGGAGTTTTGCGGATTGTAAATCTTTCAGATTTGTGATTTCCTATCTTAAATTTGAAGGCGATGCGTTTATGTTCAGGCTTCCTGATATGCTAAATGAATTCAGAGTACTTTTTTTCGTTTGTATAGGTGGAGTAGAAGTTTAGTTTTTTTGTTTGCACTTATCAGATTGACCTGGTGGTTTTTAAAATGTACTGACAAACTGTAGGAAAGCAGAAGGGTTTTAGATAAAAGTAACTGATTTATTTTCAATATTAAATTGTTTACATAAAAGAGTTATTTTGTATATCAAACATGATTTTTTTACTAAAGGGTAGACAGGGTATACCGGGCACACAGGGTATACAGTGTATACATGGATATACAGGGAGTACATAAGTATACATGGGTATACAAGAAATGCAGGGTATACAGGGTATACAGGGTATACATGAGTATACAAGGTATACATGGGTATACAGGGTATACAAGGTATACAGGGTATACATGAGTATACAGGGTATACAGGATCTACAGGGTATACATCGGTATACAGGGTATACAGGGTATACAGGGTATACAGGGTATACATCAGTATACAGGGTATACATGAGTATACAGGGTATACAGGGTATACAGGGAGCACATGGGTATACAGGGTATACATGGGTATACAGGGTATACATGGGTATACAGACAAAACAGGGTATACACAGGTATACAGGGTATACATAGGTATACAGGGTATACATGGGTATACAGGGTATACAGGGTATACATAAGTATACAGGGTATACAGGGTATACAGGGTATACAGGGTATACAGGGTATACATGGGTATACAGGGTATACAAGGTATACATGGGTATACAGGGTATACATGGGTATACAGGGTATACAGGGTATACATGGGTATACAGGAGAATGGACATTCTATTACTGTTATATGAAACACTAGGTCTATTTGGCGTAAGCGTAACATGAAAGAATAACCTTTCGACTTATAAACATGGCGGCGGAACGGTTGTGGAAAAGTGGATCTGTACCTTGCTGATAATGAACTTTATAAATGCCAAATGGCTGCTGCGATTGATTCAAATGGAAGTTTAAAACGCGAACAACAAGAGCAAGATATTTTGCAAGGTTCTGAGCCAGGAGCTGGGTAAAGTTCTGAATATCTCTTATAATACTTTTTAAGTGATTTATCTGACGTTCGTTATAATTATAACTTAAGATTTTTTAAAGTGGACACTAGTTTAAGGCCCGACTTTTGCCTTGCCTACCAAATTTCACAGATACAGTATGTTCATTTTGCTTCTCATAAGCAAACAATGAATGCCAATTACAATACAGGGGATCGGAACAGCTGAATTTGAGTCGTAAAATGTGCGCAGAATAATAAGGCTTATAAGTTTCATAAATTCATAAGGCTGTGCAAAGATTTGCCTTACTTAATTATGGGTTTTAATACGCAAACAGTAGATTTATAGTTTTATTAGCCAAACAGCAAGTAATGATTTTGTCAAAGAAATACCTTTTATAATAACAAAATTCGTAATACTGAAGTTATTTCGGTTTAAAGTAGCATAATTATTATTTATATTAAATAATCATTGGGTTTAACTGCAGAATACCTTGCTACATTGACATAGCTAGCTATGAAGTTGGAAAAAACTAATTACCTATGTGTATTTCTCATTCTTAAAAGTGTGCTCAAAATGTGCCCCAAAATGTCACTCTGTTAAGGTGGAAGGTGGATTTCTAGTTATAATTTCCTCGTTAAAATCCTAATCCCAAGAGAGCTTTTGCTCTTTAATGTAGAATTTTATTACAAACCAGCGACAGCCAACTTTTAAGCAGTTCTATATGTTGTACCACCTTAGGACTAAAAAAAAGTCCTGTCAAGTAGTCTGGGACAGGTTGATTGTCTTGCTGGGGAAGTAACTTTTAAAATTCACTTGCCCAATAGTCATTACGGAGCTTCAGCAATGACGATGGCGATGGCAAGGAGGACAGGAAAAAACAATAGGTTTAGATTGACAAAACAACAACTTTGCATGTGCATCATGCTTTTTGTCATCGCTGCACGACTACAACATGAAAGTCCCTAATTTCACATTTTGTTGAGGACGTGAACACACATCAACGACTTTCTTTTTCTTTTCCTGAACTTTGGTACAGTTTTTTAGAATTCAACTACAAAAAAATTTGCCAACATTTGACGAATTAGACGAGATGAAATAAGTGCGATAAAGATTGAGGCAATGTTAATTAACTTTTTAAGTGACATTTTTGTAGCTGTCGCCGTCGTTGTTGCTTAAACTCCCTATTCTCCAACTAAATCATTAACCAAGACAAGCAAGAAGTGGTCCCAGGCAAGCAAAATGCGAGAACGTCTTGCGTAAAGGACCAGCTTGAATTCAAGCTTTTTTTTTTTCGCGCTCTGCACCTGCTTGTATGGTTTAGCTATTTTTAGACAAAAACTGTTCTCAGGTTAAGCTAGAATTTCTTTTGTCTCCTATGCAACTTGCCCCTATGATGTTTCTCAATTAAGTGGATACTACACATAATACAACACATACTAAAATATAACTAGTTAAAACACGCACACACATGCATGAAAATAATTTATTTATAAAGTATGGGCAGATCAAGTAACTAGGTCAATCTAGCATTTAATACTGTGAAAGGCAATTATTGAAGAGAAAATTCTTGATTCTCCTACATGTTAATATATTAGGGTCAGGAAAAAGACCAGTTTAATCTTATAATGGATTTCATCTGCAACATGGCCACTGTTTTTAGTAAACACAATGAAGTGGCAGGGTATCCTACAACTGCTCTTTGTTTTCTGTTTGTAGCTCAGCTGAGAATGAGCCACTCTTTTATGTCCAGTCTGATGAAGAAGTTGATGTTTCTGTGGATGAAATCTACACTGATCCGGAGTTCAGAGCATCAGCTCATTCAGATACAAGTCTAGCATCTACAGGGGTCATATCTAGCATTAGTAGCCATGGATCACCTGAGCCACCAGTATTTGAACTGAATGATGTTGGGTCACCAGCAGATGAGGTAGTCAACCAGGAAGAGAACTTTCGTGCGACATTTCATATTGGACAAAATTATAATGATGAATCAAATAGTGCTGATGGTCAAGTTAATGCTAAAATGGGTCTACTGAAAGTGGAGGAGGAACAAGAAGGTATGTTATGAGGAACCAGAATTTGGATCAGATGTGTCTCTTAACAATAGACCATTGTTGAGAAAGCAGGGCTTGAAATTAAAAAAAATACTCAGGTCACCTTTTGGCGACCAACTGGAGATGCAAATTTTTAGTCGCCAGTTTGTATAATGTAAAGGATGCAGGTCATAGTGGGGCGTGACATATCAGATTTGATTGTTTGAAAATATTGTAGACAGAAGTCGGTAAAAATTTGAAGTTCTCAAACACAAAATTTATCAATAAGTAGCCTGGCGCAGGTATGTAAAGTTGTCCTGTATGCTTGGGATCAATGTTCTGGATCCACTGGCATGCAACTCTTGTTTAATGGTATAGCTGCTAACTTTTTTTTAAGTCAAATGTGTGACATTTTCATCTTGTCATACTGGGATTTCCAAAAACATCTCAGCAACTTGTAAAGATTTCTGACAATTTTTCAAGGACTTCTAAACATTATGGAAAGTTTGCAAAGATGCTCCAACAATCTTTGAGCACTTCCAAAGCTATTTAAAAGGTGACAATTTTTCATAAATAATATAAACATGCAATGGCACTGCTGAAGTGGTTCATTTGAATGGTTGCATTTACTAATAGAATTTTGTCCTTGAAACAAGTAGCTGGTGCTAAATTAACATTGCATATGTTACAGGTCAAAATTAAATTCAGGTTAAAATTTTTTTACCTAGGTTGATTCTCAATTTTCTTGGTTTCCTAATCCTAATTCGTGAAAAATTGGGGCTAGGAGACAAAGGAAATTGAGAATCAACCTAGGTTAAAAAATTTTAACCTGAATTTAATTTTGACCTGTAACACATATCTTCATTATTAAACCTAGTAGTGAAAAGGTCACTTCATAACAGTGTTGAGAATATGCTGTTTTTCTTTAGAGGCTCGTAAAACAAGAGCAGACAGTGTGCGGGAAATCAGCAGAGACTCATCTGTAGAAGGTTGGCTTAGCATTGATTCTTTGTTCATTTACGCTGAATTTGAATTGTGCTTGATTTTTTCTCTAGTGTTGTAAGTGTAAATTAAACCTCAAAGATTACATTTCTACAGCCGGTCATGGAAGTTGTTTTTTCTTTCTTTGCCCTTGTTTTTCTCTGTACAAAACTTTCCTTTTTTTCAGATGTAAATGATCCTAAGTGGACTCTACACAAGAAGCATGTGTTTGTTTTCAGTGAGGCTGGCAAACCTATTTACTCTAGGTGAGTCAGCCTTGGTCTGGTTTGTTGCTCTAATGTAGAAATATGATCTTATTGTTACAATGTTTGTTCACTTTAGTCAATGGTTGACTCCTACTTGAGACTAGTAGTAAGAGTGGCCAAGTTAGAAAGCACTCACTTTTATGCGGCCTAAAGTGTATGTTCGTGTCCCTCCATCTACACCATACATGAAAATGAATGTGTTGAAGCTTTTAGTGTTTTCCTTGGTCTTTTTGTTATAAAATCTAACAAGTATTGTTAATGTAATATTTATCATTTTTTTCAAATGTAGGTATGGTAGTGAGGACAAGCTTGCAACACTGATGGGAGTTATGCAAGCACTAGTGTCTGTTGTGCAGGACGGAAAAAATACAATAAGGTTAGCTTAAAGACAAGTGCTGCTGCAGCCACTGCATACTTTTATTGTCAATTCTTTGGCTCATTTGTAAGCTAAATGAATTCCTGATAGATATACATGTAAGGTGTTACCCACGGTCTGGTACATATGTATATATATAATTATTTATATATGCCTGGGTTTTAGCCTGAAAATTATAAATGCACATTGAAGACAGACATCTTGACTCAAGTCAGCTGTTCTAAAACTAAGGAAAAAAACAAGGTTTCACTTAACTCCTAGGTTCAAACCATTTAGTTGTATACACTGTAACTTTATGTTTGATCTCTGCTCACACAGTGTTTCTAAAAAGCAATAAATAAACATCAGCAAAGATTTACCTATACTACATTTTGTGTGTGTAAATATTCTGATTTCCATTCATCATATAAACAAAATTTCATAAGAGTAGAATATTGCAAGGAGGTACTCTTAAAACAGACTTGTGTCAGACTTGTGTTAATTAGTAGAATAATTTAATTTAAGTTCAATATTGATGTTATTCCCTTATTTTCAGATGTATTATAGCAGGAGGCCACAAATTTGTATTCGTAGTTAGAGGGCATATCATTCTTGTGGCAGTGGCATACACACAGGAGTCGGTTACTCAGGTATGACACTATTTATTGTTGAATTTTAATATTACTTGAGGATACTTACTTAAGGAAGTGGTTACATCATGTTGCCTTGGTTGCCATGGTTTCTGGATCTCAACAAACTGTGGTCTTGCAGATTATTATGACTGATAATAGCAAAAAGGTTGACATGTACGACTTTCCTGTGCACAATTACACTCGGAGACAGAATGGTAGCCCATACTTTTCTTCCATCATTCGACAATGCAAATGGCTGTCTCTGTCAAAAAAGATTGTTGTGATCCAGAACTTTTGCTACCATGGTAGCCTGATGTCACACTCCTCCTCTCTATACAGGTTGACTATTTAATATAGATTTGACAAACCTAAGAGTCTTTCAAGAAATTAAAAATGAAAGTGACTGGTGAAAGAGCAAAATAATTATCCCATGACAGGTTGACCTCATAATGTCTGTACCTCTTCGTATGCCATAAGAAAGGAAGTAAAAGACCGAAATTCTATGTCACACAGTGTATCTCAGGGTAATCTCAATGCCAAGCAGAGTAGCATGCCGATACTAACCAATTAGGTGGCGATTTTTGCCAGCAGCCGCTACTTTTGACAACCCTGGTATCTGTTGCACTAGTACATGTATGGTACATCAAAGAAACATTTTAATAGGGGTGAAAACTATTTAACAATTATTCCTTGAGCCCAAATGGGCACTGAGTCAATAGCCCATGAGGCCAAAGACCGAATGGGCTATTGACTCAGAGGCCATGAGGGCGAGAGGAGCAATTGTTTTAGTAAAATCCAACTAGCTGGTCAAAAATATCAAGACAAAACAACTTTAGCTGGGTAAAGCTAGACTTTAATCCTTTTTTTGCCCCCAAAAAGCTGGCGCTTTCGCTACTAGTGGGCTATAACATATAACCCAGTAGTAGCTTAACCAATCAGAACGCAGCATTGATAATAGACCACTAGTTGGATTTTACTAAAGAAAATTAGTCTTTGGGACCTTGGGAAAGGTGACCTGTCTGCTTAACCCTTTCAGTCCCAAGAGTGATCAACATCAATTTTCTCTTAACTACATGACTGTATATCAATACACCAATAAGAGAAAAGGTTAGGAGAATTAACAAAATGATGAACAAAGGAAAAATGCTTTGATCTTTTATCAAGTTCTCTCAACTAATTCTGTAAGGCTATGTATGGACACTAGTGGGGAGAATTTGGTTTTGGATACTGGGGCTTAAAGGGTTATTAGAGGGTGACTGCTCAATAAAGGTCGGCTTAATAATCCAGGTTTGACTGTACATGTGGTTCAGGGTGCAAAGAAGGTCAGTTTTACAGCCTGCCATTCGGGTAAGCTGTAGCCAGCATGTATTAGTCCACAAGTCACTTCAACTAGCCCCCAAACCCTTTTTGATTAGCAGGATTGATTACAATCCTTTTGTAAATTGAATTTCCCCAAAAAACAGCACTTGCCTGATAGCAAAATCCACTAGCCCCAGGCTATCAGACACGACTTTCTTTTCACGCTGTGGTTACGTGTAATTCAAGTGCACTTCATAAAGGTATTTTCATTTCTTACATACTAGGCATTGTTTCTGTTTTTCTTTCAGTTGGTGCTGCAGCTGTCCTATGTTTATAATCAAATCCTTAGTGTTTTAACTTATACCCAGTTATCGAGAATAATGGAACAAAGAAGAAATTATGATCTTAGAAGGCTCTTAGCCGGTAAGAAGTAACTACAGTACTGTCACTGGTAGATGTTGATTATTCAAACAAAATTTAAGGAGTACAATAATAATATTATTTTAGTAATCATAGCTAAAACAAAATTCTGTAATTGGATTGGCTATCTTCATTCCTGGTTTCAGCATTTATACACTGTAGGACAGGGTTATAGGATGCTACTGTATGTGTCATACCCAAGTAATTGGACCGTAACATGCCATTAGCTGCACTTGAATGGGATCTTGTTTTTTCAGGTTTAGCAAAACATTAAAATCCATTAATTAGGCAAACAAAATTGAATAATCACAGATCTTTTTTTTTTTCTTAGGTTTAGTCAATTTTACTGGTAAAAACTCTTGTTAAAATAATAATAAAAGCATTATTTTTCTGCATCCTGGTAATCATCCAATTTTTTAATTAGCCAAACAAAATAGAAAAGATACTATCACAGGACTTTTTGAGATTTTTTTTTCCAAATTTACTATGTTATGTTTTCTTAAACCCTTGTTTTAATTAGATTTTAAAGCTGGTAACAGAACTTCAAACTTCAAACCAGTGGTTTCTTCTCAATCAAAATTTGTTTAAACACAATTTGTTTGACATTCCAGTGATAAAATTATAATTATTACTGTTTGTAATAACATTTCTTGAAAACCACACCCTATCGGGCAGTGCATACCTATCTAGCCCAGATATGAAGGTAACTCTCCCAGGAACATGTTAGTGTTTCCAGTTCTCTGTTTTCAAATCAAACTTTGAACAGAGAATTGATTTGTTCGTAATAACATAATTTTCCTTCTCTTTTTCAAATCTTTAATGGATCATGAGCCAAGTTTTCTTCTAGGATCTGTAAGTATATGTATTTGGCTGCTAGTTGTTAACCCTTTAAGTCATAATAGTGTCCAACATCAATTTTCTCCTCCATAATATCCATATTTTTTAAAGAAATGGTTAGACAATTTGAATAAAATGATCAAAAGAGAAAATATTCTGATCATTTTATTAAATTCTCTCAACAATTCTTTTGGCAAGAAATGGAAGATTGTTATGGAGAAAATTATATGGTCAACTATTGGGACTTAAAGGGTTAACGAACTAAACTTGAATCTGAAAGTTCTGTGTTCTTGTACAGCTGTTATTTACATAAAATGCTATAAGTTAGTTGCCACTAAGTTATCAGACAAAGATGACATAGATGTCATCTAGAGCCTACCACTTCTTCTTGTTCTGTTATAATAAGATGTGAACACTGTTGTTGTTTGTTTAGGTGAGGTGTCTACCACTTTCTAGTTCTGTTAGGGAAACCATTGGTCAGAGTATGCTTCAAGCAAGAGTTAAGGTAAATAGAAACAGGAACAGAAAGTTAAAAGCTAAAAGAAGAAATAGTTAATAATAAGAAATAATTATTTTGAAGCTTGAGGAAGATACAAAAAAAACACAGGAAATTCAGAATGTTGGGAATGTAAGGCGAAGAAATAACTTGACTCTCAAACAAGAGTTGAACCCATAAAGGATAGTTTACACTAGCGATGGAGACAGAGTCATTGTATAATCAGAATCGTAAAACTTTATGAGTTAGTGAAAACTGCATTCTGATTCTGCTCAATGTGAATCCGTCACTTACTATCTGGTGAAAACTAGGTTATTGGATTTGCAAGCAGAAGCAGAAGAACTAAACCAGTCACAAAGAGTGTGAATGAGCATTGTAATTGATTGGTTTCTCCTTGAACCTTCTACCTTCTGCTTGCTACATTGATGTACTTTGACAATCTGGTTTTCACTAGATCATAAGCAACAGCTTCATAAACAGAGTCAAATGAAAATGGAAATGTTCTGATTCTTCCGACTCTGATTCTGTCATGTTTGTGACTCCACTTGTGACTCCGATTTTTGATTTTCACTAGGACATAAGTTCTCATATGAGTCTGCTTATGACTCTGACTCAGACTCTATCACTGGTGAAAACTAGCTTTAAGTCTTCAAACGTCATTCTGTCTCTGTCGCCCTTAAACTTACCAAGAATCTGTCATGGGTTTGTATACATACTGGAAACTCAGTATTAGTTCTTTGTCATTCTTGCAACATGCCTCATATACATTCTTTTTAAAGTAAAGGCTGTTATTTTTCTTGCCTAATTTTTTACAGGTGGAATATGGAAATATCAGTATATCTCAATCTTTTTTTCTACCCAGGATTACTTCTTGCTTGTCTTAGTTGAGGTGAAGTTGCACGGGACGATTCGCAATGACGATTTTAGTGCAACACGGCGTTCCAATGTTGGAACAATGATGTAACTAATCGAAACAATGTCGCAACAATGTTGCATGACTTTTTTGAGCTACAAAATCGTCGTTGCGAATCGTTTCGTGTAACATCACCTTTAATGATTTCAGTAGAGGATGACTTGCCTGGGCTAAGTAACTTAAAAACGTTTTCTTGCCCAGCAAGAAAATTGCTGTGGACTACTGGACGAGACTTTTTTTTGCACCCTTATACTTTTATAAACTTGTTGCTATTTTTTAAAATAACGACCTTGCCAGCCCTTAGTCTTCCTTTGGTGCAGTTGGCTATACGGTGCTTGGGGCAGATATGAAACTTGGGATGGGAAGGGGGGTCGTTTGCTCTCTATGACACCCTTCGCACTCCATGTACTTTCCGCTTCTTGCCACTAAAGAATCATAAACTGAGATACAATATTAACTCCCCCAATCAAATCCTAGATCATCCCCTGTTTTCTTAAACTTAAATTCTCCTTCTTTTCCCAGGACTTGGTGTTTGCTATATTGGTTGCAAATAACCAGTTAGTCACATTGATCAGACCCAAGAAATACAGCCTACATCCATCAGGTATGTATGGAAGGAAAGTCTCCTCTTTTCGCTTTTCTTCCCCTTTCCTCTCATAAACGTGTGATACTACAGATCAAGCTATGGTAAACAAAGGCCTATACTACAGTAGCTCCTTGCTAATTGCAATCAACCAAAATATGCACAGTTTTACTTTTCAGTGGTCGTTGAGAGTAAATTAGGGGGTTTGGCATATGAACTCGCGTTTTCAAAGTGAATTCTTTCTGTTCAGAAACCTCCGGTAATAATTCCATAATATTAGTGCAATTCATGTATATGAAAAGTTCTCATTAGCTTTCAGCGTATCTTAAGATCTTGTAAAACGTCGGTTTTGTGAGTGAAAGCTTACTGGGCTTGCGCCTTTTAATTCTCAGTCTGAAATCTTAGGGTTAAATCCTTTCAGCACATGGTGCTGTTTGCTTTTACGCACCCTCACAAAGTACACTTGAAATTCTCAGTATTTTAGAAGTCTTTGGGTTAGAGGGATTGTGTCAAAGCTAACATGAACGTTTTTTTTTTAAGTCATCAGTTTTTTAATGAAAGAGGCACGATGAAAATTAAAAATTCAAAGAGCTTTTTTATCTTTTGTCCGGTACGTCTGTGGACTTGCTTTGTTTGTTTGTCGTGAAAGCATGTGTACGTGTGAGAGATTCTTTAAAGTCATGCGAGATCGTTACTTGTTAACATTAACCTTAATTTTTGTTTTGTTCGTAGATCTTCACCTTATCTTTAATTTAGTGAGTGCGTCAACATCTTTTCAAACTGCAGAGTCGTGGACGCCCATTTGTTTGCCTCGCTTTGATAATAGGTAACGTCAGTTTAAACATGTGCAGTGAACATTGCATTTTTCTTGCCCAGATGGAATGTTTTTTTTTTTTTAAAAAAGAAGGGAAAACCAGAGAATAGCTCTCGGAGCAAGGGTAGGAACCAACAATAAACTCAATTTACATATGCTGTCGCTCCTGGGATTTGAACCCAGGCCACGTCGGTGACAGGCAAGTGCTCTCAAGCTTACCGGTCGTTTCGCTGCAAACTGAAGTCGCTGGGAAACAACTTGTAGCGAAACGACCGGACACCGCTCTCACCACTGTGCCACTCTGGACTGTTCACAGTCCCCTATTTTTTCTTAAGATTGTCGAAATTATCGCTCGTTCTTCGTTCGACGATCTTACGGAAAAATAGCGCAGTCTGGTACATCTAGTCCCCTCCCCCTGCCAGAAAAACGGAGTGGTTTTCATGTTGATCTTTTGTAATTTACCTCAGGGGGATTACTTGGGTATGAAGTACCAGAATGTTATACTGATCTACTTCACATTGCCCCACGGAATCCGTAGAAGTTTCTGGAAAACTGACCCCAACCCTCCCTTAACCCAGCGTTTATTTCTCAGTAAGGGCAAAATGTTGGGTCAGGGGAAGGGAAGGTGGGTAATTTCCGAGAATGTTATAATGATCTACTTCCTCTTTGCTCTAAGAAATTTGGATAAGAGTCTGGGAAACTGCCCCCCCCCCCCCTCCCCAACCTTCCCTTAACCTAACGTTAATTTCTCACCAAGGGCAAAACATTGGGGTAGGGAAGGGGAATTTGGAGATTTTACCAAAATGTTGTACTCGTCTGCTTCACGTGTTAACGCAGATGAGCTCGTTTCATGTTGTGTTACGCTCGTTTAATACTTGTTTTGTTTTGACTTTTCTTTTTCAGTGGTTATCTTTACGCTCACATTTCATATCTGGAAGACAATTGTCCTGCCTGCTTGCTACTCCTTTCTACTGACCGTAACGCGTTCTTTGAGTTAGCGGGAAGTAGACAGAAAACTCTAGAGGTAAGAACGGTCTTTGAGGTGTGAAAGTTTGAAAAAGGTGATTAAACAGCGCCTGGGTGCTATTACACACGACACGGAGAAGAACCCCGCCCGTTTCCCATTCGCCACTCTAGAAATGATAAGAGAACTGGAGCCGAAATGCTTCCCGCAATTGTTTCTGGGATTGTGACTGGGGACGCGCCGGTCAGCTATCGGTCAATTTTTTTTCCCTCTCTGGTAACATACCCAGAAGTCTTTGCGAAAGTTAACCCGACCCAGTTTCCCCGTTCTACAGTTGTGAATTTTCTGAGAACGTGTTTTATGATTTTTCAGCGTTTGAAGAGATACAGGTGTATAGAGGCCATTAACGAGGCTGTGGCGAGGAAGAGTTATAGTAGAGGTAATCGTCTTGTTTGTTTTGTGTTTTTCTCCTTTTCTAAGTTGGTACAAAAAGGGAATTTTGAGCGGCCTCTTAAATACATGTGTGTTATTAGGCTAGTATCCCTGGAAAAAGGGCTGGGTTGTGCTGAATTTATCCTGGTAGAGGACATTAATGTGGCAATCCTGCGATTTGAAGAATGGTGACGCACAAAACACTCGATGCTAGCATTCAAGGACCAGTGCGAACACAAGTAAATTTTGTTCTATTCGAAAAATTTTCTAGCAAGAGGTTGCACTCAAAAGTGAGATAGGCTTTCCTATGCTGGACGTTATTAGCCAGTCGAACATACCTTTGGTTGTAATTGATTTCGCGTTTCGCTCACACAATTTTTTTGTTTCATTGTAGATCAAGTTGGAATTCCAGAGTTGTATCATTTTGTTTACAAGTCGAAAAGCACAGCACAGTACACTTCCCCTGAACTAGAAGCTCCTTACGTGGAAGCAGAAGAGCAAGAGAGGTACCCTTGCTTTTACACAACCAAACCATGTAGCTTATTTGAGTTTACAGTAAATGAAGAAACCTAAGTTAAGCATATAAATACTGTTTTTATTTTATTCGCAGACTCTTTGGTTTGTATCTTTACCTTCATCATCGGATTCACTCAGCTGCTAGGCCTTTGAAAATATTATGTCACGTAGGCACACGAGAGATGCTGTTGGGATGGGTACGTAGGGAATGAGTTCAATTGATTAGTAGACACAATCACCCTCAATACTGATGGGTAATATCGCCACAGAAGTCTGTGCACAATTTTCAAACTTGGAAGTGATTGTAGTTTTCACCTTCTTCTCACAGTTGCTTATTAGCTCGAATTAGTGGTCAAGTTAGAATAACACAGAATCAAGTTTGATCATACATGTATAAACATCATACTGCGCGGTATATTCCAGTTGAGTAGCAGGATTTTATCCAGCCACTTTTAAAACTAAAACATCCTATGCGTGTAAAGCATGTTAAATAGAACTAATCGTTTCCTCGGTAGAGTGTTGTAGTAGTATAATAGGGATGTAGTTATCCTGTTGTGTGGCTTTTAACGTAAAGGTCTGACTGACTGGTGAGCTGTTAGGCTGATTTAGCAACAGAACGGGAACTTCCGACAGCGCGCGCTTTCCCGTCGTCAACTGACGTTCAAGTCCGGTTGCTAAATCAGCCTATTAGGCAGTTTAAGCAGCGACATTTTTGTTCGACGCTTGTCAACCCGAAGTGAGGTTTTTTCTATTTTAATTTGCCTTGACGCTACCAAATTTGTATTACTAAGAGTCTTTACCCTTATAGAGACGATTTGCCTGAAAATGTGTTTAAAATCACGGCTTAAAGACTGCAAAAAGTCCACTTCCGGTCGACGTGCGTCGCTCAAAAACGTCGCTGCTTAAACTCCGTATTGTTTCACCGCCACCGCCACCACAGTACTGTCACCATTACTGCTGATAGGTATTGTGGAGGTGTTGTTCGTGAGGAGTAAGTGACGGATCATTAAAAAAGTGAAGGAGTGAGGGTGGGAAAAAACATAGCTGAAAAAATCCGTTGAAAGAAGTACACATAGTCAGAATGGGTAGGGAAACAACTTACAAGCTAAGGAAAAAAAAACGGAAAAAAAGGAGCAACAATAACGACAGCAATGCAAAACACGCACATATGGCGTGTCGAAAAAAATTAGGTGCAAAGCAACCCCCACCCTGCATTTCCTCCTTTTTTTAATTGTCCGTCCCTAGAGTGACGCATTAGTGAAAGCAATCGCCTTTCGCCAGTTTGGCCTGGGTTCAAATCCTGGCGTCGACGCCAGATGTGTAATGAGTTAGTTGTTGGTTCTCTCCCTTGCTCCGAGATGTTTTTCTTCGGTCAGTTCCTTTTTCCCTTTCCTCAATTTGATTCCTTTGATCCGGGATGCGGGACGAAGAAGCATGTTTTGGGTGTGCTACTTATAAATTGTTACATTGATCCGTTTATTTGGGTAGATTGAACAAAAAGTTCAGTGATTTTCAACACAAACATCCACCAAGGGTTGATTCTATCCGCGCTATACTACTCGATTTATTTGTCGAAGTTAACTATGATTTCACCTACAATATCGCAAGGTAGCGGCCTCCTGTGCAGTATCATTACTCGTAGCTTTCATTTAAATGACCGCATCAAATTCAATTACCAGTCTCATGATTTTTTTTATCGTTTTTTTTTGGCAGGTAACATCAGGTTTTGAGTTGTATGCAGCTTTCAGTCCGCTTGTCACTAAACCAGATGCCATAAACGCCATTAACAAGCTTTTGAGATGGATAAAGGTTTGTGTTGTTTTTCATTTCCTCGATTCTCTTCACCGTCAGTGCTTAACAATTGTTTTTCTCCTTCCTTCTATTTTTAGCGCGAAGAAGACAGATTATTCATTTTAAGCTCTCAAGTCTTCTAAAGCAGCACGTTCTGCCCCGTACAGAAATCAGCTCGGACGCCGAAAGTGTGGACTTGCTGGGTAAACGTCACTTTCCTGCAAGTTCCGAAGGAGCACAAGAGATCAGTAATGGTGTGGAACCGAGAAAAATCATTTGAAATAGCATTCGTACGCAAACTCTGTAAACTTTACGGCCAGCGGGGGAAGGGCCAGTACAGACAATGGGGACATCAATATTCCGGTGATAACAGTAAGCTTGTTTTCATAAACTTCGAAGTAAACCTTTGACACGAAATGGTATCTGGTCTGTGGAAAAAAAAACCACCTTGTGTGATTGACAGTAACGGTTAAAACAGCGATTCATTGATAGTGACAGTTACTTCCGGGGGGGGGGGGTATTCCCTATAATGGCCCATACGAGGAAGGTTCCGCCCGAAATGTGTACCTTTTTTTGGGCTTCAGGTATATGAAAGGGTAGGGAAATCTGTCATTTCAGTCTGTAAAATGACCTAAAAGGGCTATAGAAAAATGTTATGCCTGTGAAGAAGTCGATAAAATTTTTCTTTTTTTTATTCGTATTTAAAAGACAGTGCATTTAGAGCAGTAAAAAGGGATGTACAGTTCTAAACTAGGTATTTGAAAGGGGTACAATTTGTCAATGGAAGGTATACGAAAGGGATGACTTTTCTGTCAGAAATGTAGACTGCGAGGAGTCTTTTTTTTTCCTTCAGAATTAGTAGGAGAGTACACGCGCGCGAGAAACGAGGGCGTGATCATTTGCGTGTCTCGCGCGTTTTGCTCAAGGGACCAAGAAAAAAGAGAGACTGCTCGTAGTCTATCAAAAATCGTATATAAAAGGAAAGGGGTTGGACCTCGGGGCGGAGCCTCCTCGTATGAAACTTTGTTGAGTATCCCCCCTCCCCCGGGCAGTTATAAAACAACCAATCAAAAGTGTCGAAGTTTTTGGATGTCCCGAGGGTCTCTCCTGGCACTGATCACCCGCTGATCTTAAAGCCCGAGAACCCCAGGAACAGGATTGTTGAATTATTTTTGATAACCATTTTTGACTTATGAATTTGAGACGTCCGCTAAGAGTAAATACTGATTACTATACGCACTTGAAGCAGTGCAAAAGACAAGAAATTACTGGCTTCTTGTACTCAAGAAAGTTAGCTAAAATTAGAGCCGTCAAATGCTGTAAATAATTTAAAACAGTCACTGGTAAGTAAATCTGTATAAGAGGGTCAGGGTGGTTTTACTAAGCGAAAACGACTTATATTTCCCTTCCTTTTTAAAGTTATTTCCTGGAAATAATGTTCTTTGTAACTCCTAGACATCTTACATGTGCATTTTTAAGTATTGTTTCTGCCGGAAATATGATCAAAATACGAAAAAAATAAACTTTTGATTTTCCAAGTCTCCCTGTATGTGTTTTGACATCCGCAGTGTTTTTGTTTCCTCATTGGTGGCTGGACCATCTGGCATGGTTTTCGACCCGTTCATACTAAGACGTTGCGATACGTTCTCGTTCCGGTCAGGCTATTCTGGGACAAGTGTATAAGTGTCGTCTATTACCCCCTTTTTTAGCAATTCTGATATAGCGTCAGTAGCCATGACGTCAGAACAACATCAAAACAACGAGGGAAATGGAGCCGAAATGTGTCCCGCAATGCTGTCTGGGATAGTTGTCTTTGCGAAAGTTGACTCGGACCAGTCTTGCTCTCGTTTCTTAAGTGACGAATTGATTATCCAAGGTCCCCACTTCCCAGAGCGGCTGGAAAACCTCCGTATTTATCGTTTACTATGAAAATACTGAAGAAAAATAAACGTGGTTTGCTCTAGCCTGCGTAGCAAGCGTTTCCGCTCGATAGGAAACGCGTTCTACGCGGGCTAGTTTTGCTCGTAAGAGCCTGTAACTTCTGCGTCGTCTTGTTGGCAATTCAGCTGGTCGGTTGGTTGTTCAATGTTGGCTTCGGGGATATTCAATACATGGGACCGTTTAGAATCTTATCTTTACACATTTCTGTCGATTCTAGCTGTGATAGCCCATTTCAGAGTTGCTTTGTATTCCCCTGTAACAATGCGAGACCTGGCGCAAAACTTTAATAAAATTAGTTAAACTCGGTCGAAAAATGAAAACTTTTATGGGCTTCAGTGATTAGTGTGAACAAGTTTATATGGTCGAGTAACCATACTAACGGCATAACCTGTTTAAAACACCCTTAACTTTAGCGTGAATACTTAATACAAAAGTCGTACTCACCCTGATTAAATAACTTTATCAAGCCAGTTCAGAGAAGCCCATAATTTTTAACCAAATTAAATGGCTCTGGAATCAACTGACTTTAATTTGTGCAAAGTTGTTACATAACGACTGCATTTCAATGGAGGTCACCGATTCGTTGTAGCATCAGGGGCGTTTAATTGCAGGCCTCGAGAAGGAAAGGGGAGAGGTAGTCTAGAGCTTAAACTTACTTTCTCAGTAATAGTTTCACGCTTTTCTCCCCCCTTATTTTTGCGCCTGTCACGCTGGCTAGGGCGTTTGTAACAGGCTATACCGCTGCCATGGTTGAAATGTAAATGAAAACAAAAAGGAAGAAAGAAAAATAAGAAATAAATAGAGACCTATTAAATGTACCCCGTTTCCGTGAACGAATACGAGTAAATTACTCGTAGGGGTAGCCGTAACGCTCACTTCCGGTTGACATGCGTCACTCAAAAACGTCGCTGCTTTTAATATCACTTCTAGGAAATCATGGCCACCTTTTGTGTAACTACGCGCAAACATGTTCGTCTACCCGTACCCATAGAAAAAGGTCACAAGTGGCTTGCCCAACGCCGCGCCCTCCGAGTACTATAAGTACTATATCAGTTTCCTAGTGTCTTCCCCAGGCTCTTTTGTTTTTTTGCAAGTTTTACGAGTTTTGGGAATCAAATATCAGTCCCTGATCAGTACAGCCGCGCTAAGATGCCTCCAAAAGGGAAGCGTAAAGCGAAGACAACATTGGATGATAAACCCGGCAAGAAAAAGAAACAAGGTAAAATCTGTTAGACAGTAAAAAGCCAGAGGCTATCTCAGTAAGATAAGTTTAAATCTCTTTTCAAACAGAGCATTCTGACAGGCTATCTATCTTCAGACGCGCAGAACTCTGCTGCGGTCATGAGTGAATAAACGTGTAAAGAATATATTCTCCTACGCTTAGGCTTAAAACTTGTTGGTAATATATGACGGCGATGAGAAGGATATTGCTAGAATAAGCAATTTTGGGCTATTAGTGGAGTGCAGGAAGCTGCATATCAATTTTAACGTACGTTTCTACTAGTTGTTAAGTCGAGATGTGAGTTTGCGAGGAGGGTGTGGAGGCATTGGTGAGGGGAGGGGGTGGTAGGCACTTCACAGTTGAGGACAGTGGAGGTGATTTAACACTGCGGACCGGTTATTTAAACAGAGTTTAGCCAGTGGTTAAGAAAACTGTGTTCTAAGCCCTTTTTAAAATTGCTCCACACTTTTATCTAAGAAACATCATGAACAGTTTTATGAAAGCATACAACATAGACTAGAAAAGCATTTGATCATGAAATAACCCACAAAAGAAGAGATCTGGGAGGTCCAAAGATTTCTTAAACCACGGCCCAAGTTAGACTTTGTTTAAGTAACCGATCCTAAAGGTTATAGAGAATTTGATGCACCCTTTTATTCATGATCCATCTGAACTTTTGCAGAAAATCAAAGCACTAGCAAAGCAAAGGCCTCAAAACAAGTAAGAACATATTTTATACTAGAAATACATTATTGCAAAAACCTGGTGAAGCTGTCAAGGGTCAGCAGTGATAGTAGAGGGAAACAAGCGGAAGGGAAAGAATATGATTAAAAAAACAAAACAAAAAAGCAAAACAAAAACTAAACAGAAAAAAAAATACAAAGAAAATGAAAAACATAGCCTCCCCTAAATTCGAACCTTCACTATGATCCCCTTCTGCAAGAGAAGTCGGCTCTGAAACCTGACTGGGTGGCACTGCCACTGGTTAATTGAGTGGGTAAAATTTTTACATTCTAGGCATTTTTCTCTGCCATAGACGATGTTTGAAGCTGGTGGAACTGTATTTATCATGAATTCCAAGATACATTTGAGAAAAATTGGCTTAAATGAGTATTTCCGAGCCATTTTGCATTATTCTAGTTTTTAATCACTGTCTTGAAGAATAAATGTGGATTTTTTACTAACCTGGCAGTTACGATACACATATTGTTTACTTTGATCTGTGTTATCATCATGTCTGACCACTGGCAGTCAAATTTAAGTTGGGCATTGTCTGATAACCGACTGTATTATTGCTCTGATAGTCTATTCTAGTTAGCTTTAACGTGATCGACTCAAATGTTACTTTTAGCAAGTGCAATACACAAGATGGCTCATAAAATCAGAGCCTGAGAGCAGAATAGAGAAAGGAGTCGATGTTAAGGTATGTTGAGGCTCTAAATTACTGGGTACAGTGCATCTACTACTTTAGTAAAATGACTTAAATTGAGTTTCCTTAAAGTTCAATAAGGTTTCTGCGTAACTGACCTCCAAGTCAACATTAACACTCACTTCTTACTTAGGGCAAAATTGTGACATAAGGGAGGGGTAGGTGGATAGCCTGCAGTGCAGCTGTTTTCTTTGGGTGCATGAATGTTTTTGCTCGCGAAAGCGCCATGTTGAAACTCCCAAAGAGAGGAGGAAATAGGGCGAGTCAAAGGGAGTGGGGAGGGGGTGGGGAGAGGGAAGAAAAAACGCCTGCCCCAAAACACTATGAAAATGAGAAACACCCCCTGGGCGTTCATCATCTTTCCTCCCTAAACTAATTTTCTATCCACCATGCAGCTATTAGTTTACAAGGTCAAAGCTCAGTTAGACAAAACGGCTACACCTGTTCTCGCCAAAACACAGGAGAACTAAAGTTGCTCTTGTAAAAGCAACTAAATTCAAAGCCAACCCAGCAGCTGATGATGTTTGCATGGTTGCAAAGTGGCAATAACAAAACAGTCGTAAGACTGTTAAGTGATGGGCAAAAGCTATTACCAAGGGAGGAACTACGCACTCCAATGCAAAGATTTGCCTTGTCTTAAGCAAAACAAGCTGGAGATTATCGTTGTTTTTCTCTTGACTGAGTCACAATGCAGTTTTCCACAACTGATATGAAGCTTTAGTTTAAGCTGCAATTCATTCTTCTAAACTGATATCTGTAAATGGCCATCCCGTGAGAATTTAACATCCTGCAAACAAATTAAAAAACTAACGAGCGGGCCCAGCGTGATACAACATTTGCCGCAAAAGATCGCATTCTCAGACTAGAAAGAAAATCGCTTGGTTATTCAGATCCTGAGGCACTTTAGGCAAAAATAAAAAACCTAAAAGCCTTATTTAGCCACGATAAAGAGCTTTACGCTTCAAAAGAGGTCAAAGAAAATGCTCTTGCATCAGAGGGCAAATCTTGCTGACCAGAAATTCAAAAAAACCACAGAAAACCAATAAGAGTGTCATGACCTCTCGGTGTGAAACAAGTGACTAAAATCACATTTGCTCAGTCAAAACGTAGAACCCTCCAGAGCATAATCTACTTGCCAGCAAAAAAAAAACGTATTGGAACAAGCAGCATTTTGGCATGAGGTAAAAGTGGTGTAGGTTTTAGCAATGTGAGCAAATCTTGTCCTGATGCCAGTGTAGAAATCGCTCTGACTTTCTCATTGTGTAATACATGTGACATAATTTCCCAGCTGCTCCAATTCCAGAAGACTTGCTTCGACAGCAGAGTTAAAATTCCAATTTATGTCTGCCATTTCCGAATTTAGAATAACTCTTTCCGCAGTTGCGTGCAGATGAAAACAGAATAAACAATATAGACTTACAGTTAATTGACAGTCGTCAATCTACTTCCCCTATGCTGCACCAATCAGGAGTTCTGTTTACCAGCGTACAGAGTTTCCCAAAAGAACAATGATATCAGGCAGGTGTATTTTTTCTCCCCTCCCCTGCCCCCCTTTTGTTCATTTGCCCTCGCACCTACCCTAAGGGTTACTATTTCTACTCTCTCCAATCTTCTTCTGTCATAAAATCAAAGATGGCGGCTACAACAATACAAACATGAACAAGCTTTCGCCCACCCAAGGTACGCCTGCACTGCAGGCTAGTAGGTGGACAGTTACTCGATCCATATATTTATGGAGCTTAAATCTAATTTGAATAATTTTATCAGGATCGTTGTCGGCAAAGATAATATAATTTGCATTTTTTATTGACATACAGTAGCTTGGGTTTGTCCTAAATATAACTATAAATGTTGCAGTTTGGCATTGATGATTTGCAGAAAGAACCAGACCAAACAACAGGCTGGGATGGGGTCAGAAATTACCAGGTAATAAATATGCTTTGCTATATGCATTAAAGAATGAAATAGTACAAGGGAACAAAGAAACAAAGAAAGGACAGACTAATTGATGGGATATAATGGACTGGTCACTGACCCTTCCATCTTCTAACCCTGCCCAACAGGGCATAACCTTGGTGACCCTGGCTGTTCAGGTCTGCAAATATACTCCAAATAGCAGATGTCGTCTGTCGAGTTGTCTTCTTGCTGTTCTTTTACAGTGTATGTTTTTAGACAATAGTTCGCTGTGAGGTGAGTAAAGTGTTCTGCCTTTACTCACTTAGCCTGTTCCAAGCGTTCAGATAGTGGAGAGCGGTGCGGAGTAAAGAATCTGCAACTTTGCTGCAGTTTTGACAACATCGGTTCGATATGACAAAATTCTCTCAAATTTGGTCAACATTAGCTGGTTATGATGTGACGCCTGAGAAATTGTGCAAGTGATTTTAGCCAATCAGAAACAATAATATTTTGAATGAATAATAAGGAATGATATTCTGCAAGTGTTAGTTCACACTGACTATGGCTAATTTGACCCTGTATTTATTTGTGTACAATATTTTTCCACACAATTCAAATCTACTTTGTATCAACCTAACAGATTGTTGGTGTCGTTTTATAATTGTAAATTAACTTGTATACTGTAGGTTACTGAAGGCTTCCCATTTTCAGAGCTCTGCTGCATAAGTTTTAAAAGTAGGTTAAACGTACCAAGTTATTATTTTGTATGTTCTTACTTTTTTTCAGGCTCGAAATTTTATGCGTGACCAGATGAAGAAAGGCCAACTTGCTTTCTTTTACCACAGTAACTGCAAAACTCCTGGCATCGCTGGTATTGCAGAGGTGAAACTATACAAAACATACAAAAAACAATTAATTCAATGGCCTACGTTACCTGAGTTGGAAATAAGCTTCGCTGTTACATTTAATGCATTCAGTTGTTTCAAAGAGGGTGTGCCTTAAATGTTATATAAGATGTAACACAACAGATTGACCATGTAGTCTGATATCTTCAGTTTGAGTAAAAATGAAGATTATTGATTGATTGATTTATTAGCTAACTCGTAGGTTAATTCTCTTACTCTTCCAGTCTTCACATTTTTTCAGACCATAATTTTAATTCCTTCCAATTTTGCAAATTCTTTTCCAGTGCTTACAAAGAACACCTCAAAGCTTTTAAAAGAAACTTATAGAGTGGAGTTGTGTGTGAAATTTAGGAGTGAAATAGAAGATCACGATTGTATGAACAATTTACAGATGTTTTGGGCATAATAATAATAATAATAATATTATTATATTATTATTATTACTTTGACTCCGCAAATAATGACTTCCACACAGGATGTTGAAGCATTAGTCACAGACTCGCCAATAAGTGTAGTTTGTGTCACACAAATAATCATATTTGCTGACTTATTCTTTTTTCTTTGTTTTTGAACAGATTGTGAAGGAAGGATACGTGGACGATACACAGTTTGATAAGACTGACATTCATTATGACCCGTAAGTAAACGGACTGATCAAGAGGAAGGTGTTTTGTTGTTTACCTTTACCATGTTATCCTTCGTGCCAACTGAGCTTGCACACTGGGTTTCTCAGTGCCTTTTTATGCATTTTGCGATTTGCTAAGTAAGGGATACAGTTTTGTGAGAATTTTCCAAAGCTGGTGCACTTTAATGTAGCTACAGTCTGATCCATGCGTTCAGGTTGTGGGGACAGCACGCAGAGATGTGAAGAGGGAAAACAGCCTCTCTTCTTGTTTATTTTTTCAACTCTTTGACTTCGCACCGCACTCCACTACCAGAACGTCTGGAACAGAACAAAAACTTATCAATCCATAGGCTAATCAATAAGTCAGTCAGTTAGTCAACCCATCATCAACCTTTATTTGTATTTTTCTTTCCCAAGGAGTGCTAAAGAAGACAATCCGAGATGGTATATGGTAAGTTTTTTTGATAATTATTAAAAAAACACGTTCCAGGTTCAGGGGCACCCAACGACAATATTTTTGAAAAATATCTGTTCGGAAGACGATTTGATATCTAGAATTTTCGGAACATTTGTTGTAAATTTCTTGCTTGCCTGACTCTCCTAGGGTTTTTGAACATCTACAAAATGGTATTTTCGAAAATGTAAGTTTTGATTCCTATAATTTTCGGATCACTAGACTTTCATCTAGGAAATCCGAACAGATGAAAGATAAAAATATGCCTATATCTACTGTTTAAGTACTAAAATACGTTCAACAACTCTATATTCTCGTTGGGTGTCCCTGCAGGTTAATGGCAAAAAAGTTGAGGTAAATCTCAACTAACGTCTCCTAGTCTTAAATTGTCTTTCTTATTTTTACTGTCGAGTTCTTATAAATTGATTTTACGTAATGTAAATCCACTGAACTGTACCAATTCTTTCTCGTAGGTGGATATCAAGTTTGTTCGCGAGATGAAGCGTTACATTTCGTTACGAGAGCTTAAGGAACTTCATCAGGTGAGATAGCGCAGATTCGTGAGGTCTGTGATGTGACAAGCGTTGAGAGTTGAAGAAATAAGGAGCCTCTGTCTAGAGGATCAACTGTCATCATAGTTAGTGAAGGGGACTCTTCCCCCTCCCCCCCCTTGAGAAAACAGCCAACATTTCACAATGCCATAGACTACGAGTAGTCCCCCATTTTTCCTCAGGGATAGTTGGGCGAGCGAAACGCGAGCGCGCGTGAAAATCACCCCACGCGAGAAAAGGCGACACGCGGCGGGGAGAGAGAAAAATTTCACGCGCTCGCGTTTCGCTCGCCCAACTATCCCTGAGGAAAAATGGGGGACTACTCGTAGTCTAACAATGCCATCACCAGTTTCCCCGCGAAATGACGTCTGAGAAACGAGCGTAGTAATTCCATACCGATGACGTGCCATTGCCCAGATCTTTGTAGTGCTTCTGATTGGTCGTGTCTCAACCAATCAGAAGCATTACTCAGATCTGGGTAGTGAAGCGTCATCAGTATGGAATTTCTGCGCTCGTTTCTCAGACGTCATTTCACAGGAAAACTCGTGATGGCATCGTGAAATGTCAGGCTGGTCTCTTCTTCTAGGTTAATAAACACAGCAAATTCAACGGGAGAAACCCTAAAAAATAGATTGACATGGAATGAAAGTCCAACTTGCTCTGGTGGGTTCGTGATAAAAAAGATTTCGTCGGTAGGCTTGCCGTGCTCAACTTGTTACAAGCCACTTATGATGGATTTATTTTACTAGTAGAAACCAAGTTGTTACTCACTGATCTTTCTTCCTTCTTGCAGGAACATAAAGTTTCCGGTGGTCCATTAAAATCAATTGCGCTATTCACGTCTGCAAGACTATCAGTTCAACCAGTCACTGAAGGTACGTAATTTGATAGACTGGCATCCGATCACCTCGCCACGAAATCGCCACCAAGAAGGTTGGGCGGGGGAAGGAGGCGGGGGGGAAGGGGGAGGAATTTAGCTGCTCTTCATGGCCCGGTTCCTGAAAGGCCGATTAGCGCTAATCCAGGATTAAAATTTTGATCCAATTTTTTTATTTACCTTCCTATGCATCGCTTAGAGAAACATTTCATGTAAATCGTTACTGTGTCTCAGAGTAAAGGCTCAACAGTATTTTGTAAGCTTGAGTTACATGCTCTTAGCAAGAAAATCGTGCTTAAAATTTGGCTTAATCCTGGGTTAAACTTAACCATCTTTCTAGGAACTCGGCCCATATGATCGGAGTGTCCGATCCACCGTAATAGCGAGGTGTCCGCAAGGCGATAGTTGACCGTTACCGATACCTGTTATCTTCCTTATTACTTCACGACGCTCAAGCTCCATTTTGGTGCGAATGCAGTAACTGGTGTGCCGTATTAGAATGCAATCTCTTTATCTCGCCAGATTCTCACCAAAAAATGTAGGGTAGCTAGCCCACAGTTAATTATTTTGAGCCATTGGCAAGCTTCGCTATATACTAATACTGGCCTAGCCTCCCCGCAGACGTCCTTTGGGGTTTGTTCGTCACGGGAGAAATGAATGCGTGACGAACGAACCCCAAAGGACGTGTGCGGGGAGGCTAATATCGGCCAAGTTATTTTTAGAACAATCCAGTCGTTAAGAACTCCCTTTTTCATGGTATCTTTTATCTAAATTACTTACCCTAGAGTATCACTTCTTTTTCAGATGAATTTGATTACATTTGCAGTTTGGAGGACAAAAAGCCTTAGAGTAATTCGGATAGTTCTTGTGGAGTGTAGTGTAACCTTGTTATTGTTGAACTAGAACGACCCTAAAGCCTTGTTCACACCAGAGCTTAAACATGTTGAAAGGCTGTTTAGTTAAACACGGTTTAAAATTGTTTCCTTCATAAAAGCTGCTTCCTGACTTTAGTTGATTGCAAATTTAGTGCAAATTATAAAACATGTTGAATTTCATTTGAATTTCATGTTGAATTTCAATTTAGATGTATTTAAGGTTAAAATAAAACAGCATTTTTTGAGGGTATTTTTGGAAAACTAAGTTTTAGATATCTGACATTGTAAATTAAGCTGAAAAGCCTTTTTGAGGAGTTTAATAAAGTTATTATTATTTTTTATTTGAATCCTTTGTAAAAACCTGTTTTCTAGTTTTCCGTGTCTTTTTTCAATTTTTTAAAACCTCGTTTGATATACATGTTCAGTTGGTGTGAATGGGGCATTAGCTATAAAAATGGTTTCAGTTCGGGGATAAGAGCACCCTAGTTAAAAGTAGGATACGTTTATCTAGTTGGTATGTCAAGTACGCTGAAGCTTGAATTGGTAGGAAGTGTTGAAGCTGAGATTTAAGAAACAAGTCTTTGGTGCGTCCTCACTTTAAAGTCGTTTCTGTATTAAGGGTTGTAATAAAAGGCAATAATCTGTTTAATTGCTGTTACTCCTTTTCTATTCTGAGGTTGGTTTATATTAAAATTAGAAAACGGTATAGTATGTGGTGTATTGTTTGTTTGATTTTATTTCCAGCATTATAGTTTATTGAGTTTTTTTGTTAATAGCATTTTGTCGCAACTACCGCCAAAAATAAGCTTCAGTTTAAATATAAGAAGATTTTATTAACAATCAGTTGTAAAGCAAATACATCGCCAGGCCTTTCCCAGCTCCTTGGTATATTTTTGTGCCCTTGGTTTCAGTTTTTGTTGGCGCAGTAAATGGGGGATTACAACGGCAAACAAAGAAAAATGTTGCCGCAACAGTGCATAGGTATCTGAATTTGACATCATTTTGGGCGTGAAAGGACAAAATAAAAGACGTCAAGGTATACGTGGAAGGCCTTTGTCTTGCGGGCTGCTCCTTTGTTTCTTGTTTACTTTACGAGGGAAAAACCAGGAATCGTTTTTTACAAAATGTCCAGTTTTTTCTCTTCCTTGTTGATATTTTAATGAAGAAAAAAGTAGATAAAATCGTAGCAGCGTTCGAAATAAACGTCTGGAGTTAAAACCCTTTTCGTTTTGTTGTCCTTTATGACATTTATAAGACTCTTAACAGCAATGCGGCGAATCAGAGTTTAGTGAAATATGCGTACGTCACTTACGTCATGAAAGCAAAGTATGGACTTAAACCTACGCGTGCGCGTTTGCTCCAAACAATAACGCTTTCCGTTCACTTTCCAACATACTAATGACAGTAAACAAGGAAGCTTAAGGATAGCTATACGGCTGATTGGAAGATTTACTGATGTGAATGCGAAATAAACCGCAATATTCCTGTACTGCTGAAGGGCAAAAGTCGGCATTGTCATCATTTATCGTTAGATCAAATTCACTTTATAGACCGTCTCGAATAGTCGAACATAAAATAGGAAGGTCAGGAAGTCCTATTCATCGAACACGTACGATTATTTCCTTCACAAGATGTCTTCCAAAAGCAAAACCGTCTCATTGAGCTCTGGTACAGTGTTGTCTATTTTCTGTTTGCTCCTTTACTCTGCTGGATTCATAAGAATCGAGGTAAAACTTAACAATCACGAAGAAAGACTCGTAGCTGTTGAAGAACTCATTTCTAAAATGAGTAGTCAAACCAGCAAAAATGGAATGGATGATACTTCGACTGAAGGTAGGATTCGAGGGGGCTTAAACAGCGATCGGCCTCATATTTTTCTTCAAATTTAGCGCGGTGAGGAATAGACTATTATCATACACTGAGTACCATGCGTCGAACGACGAAACGAAACCTTTGCGGTTTAGTTGTTTTTTTTTTTCCTCGCGCGTTTCGTTTTACCTGATTCACTAAGAAAAGAGAGACGCTACAGGAGGTTGTAGCTGTTGCTAGTTTCTGGTATATTTGGTGTGTTGGCCATGTATAATACGAAGGAAAACTTTGGGAGCTGGGACACAATGGTACTTGTAGCATCAGTCGCTCCCAGATTCGTACCGGGACAGAGATACTCATCCTACCCTTCAGCGTTTTACGCTTACTACGCTCTGACTACAAAAATGTTGTTTTCTTCGGTTGGTACCCTTGCGGTTATAATAAACTACATCTCCTCCAAATGCCTATAAATCTACTTAGTATCTTTAGGCGGTACCTTTCATTAATTAATTTCGGTTTCCTTGTCACTGGGTGGATTTCCCCATCTAGGAACTCTCTGACACCTTTCATATACCGTATTTATTCGAATAAGCGCCCAACCTCGAATTAGCGCCCAAAACGAATAAGCGCCCATCCTAAAGGCAGAAAAAGTTAATAAGCGCCCAGCCTCGAATAAGCGCCCACCCCCTCCTCCTCCTCCCCAATCAAACTCAAATAAGCACTCACCTCCACCCCACCCAATTAAGTGAATAAGTTCCAATAAGAGACTTCCTTAAGGATGGAGTTTTCTTCAGAGTATTTTACAGAAACCTTGCTTTGTTACTTCTTCGCGTTCTGTTAGTAGCATTTATTGTTTTGTTGCAAAATAAACATACTTCACTTGCTGAAATGGTGAAAAATTAATAAGCGCCCAGCATCGAACAAGCGCCCACCTCGAATAAGCGCCCACTCTCAAGGTCCAAAAATTTAATAAGGGCCCAGGGCGGTTACTCGAATAAATACGGTAGTTAAGTAGCAAACATTGACATGTTTGCTTACCCGTGCCCCTAGGTAGAAACGGGATATCGTAAGGTGTCGTATAACCACAATACCGGTGGGAAATCTTAAACGACGTCTGCCAGTTTATTTAATCGAAAAGTTCCTGTAGTACTGCAGCACTGCTGTGACTTCCTGTTTGTTTCGTGTTGGATTTCTTTTTTTTTCAGCGATTAACTAATCAAAACTTTTTTTTTTTTTTCCATTTTAACTTCCGCGATTAACTAATCAAAACTCTTCGCGAATAAACTCATCAACATTTTGGATGTGGCAGTGATTGGATAACTGAAGATACGTTCCATTTTAACCGGTATGTGATACCAGAGCACAAAAAGACAATAAAAATAAAACCTGAGCAAGAATTGTGTTTTCAAGGCCTCGTTTTCATGGGTTCAGATTTACAACATCCTGTTTTTGTTACGTTCTCCATTTTTGCGTTCATATTTCAAAATTTTCTCACTTTTGAAATGTCTTAAGCTCAAGCGGGCGTCATCATATTTCAATTTGGTACTCTTGAGAATAGGTAAATTTACTATCGTAGTTGATGTGTTTTTTTAGCTGCCAGACAAGCAGCCAGACAAGCGGCTGTAAACAAAAGCAGGCTTTATTTACAAACAGACGTCTGAACATTTAGGCTTTTGTTAAAAATATGGAATACGACTCATCCCAGCAGAGAATGAGCTCATGCTCTCTTGACTCAACCTGAATCTTGCGATACCACTTCCTATTTTACTGCTGCGCTTAGGAATACAACAATTTTAGAATTTAATGTTAATTCAGGAAAGATAAGAACTTGAGTTGATAATTCCTTATCTTCTGTTACGTTTAGGAAATGCGATATTTCTAAAGTGGGGGCATACAGCCAAGGGAACAAATCTAGTTAACACTTCCTCGTTTTCTGTCTCGTTTAGCAAGTGCGATCATGAAAAATACGACGGGAGATGTGGGATACAGTAACAAAAACCTGCGCAGATTCGCCAGACAGATTAATGCACCTTTTAATAACTCAGCCAACTTAAGACATATTTTGGAAGATGTTGTTACGTCAAGCTTCAAAAAGATTTGCCAGAACACAGGGAATTGGAATGTTTGCCCCCGTGGATTTCCAGGACCTCCTGGAAGGGATGGACCCAAGGGTGAGAAAGGCAACCAAGGAAAAAAAGGCTCGCAAGGAATGATGGGTCAGCCTGGGAGAAGCGGAAAACAAGGAACAATGGGGTCACCAGGGATTAGAGGAGAAAAAGGCGTTAAAGGTGATATTGGTGCACAGGGTGTTCCCGGAATGAAAGGTGAACCTGGAGAATCCATTTCTGTTCCAAAAGTTATGGTTTCCCTTCCTCAACTGACTGTGAACCAGAGTGACACTGCTGCTTTACTGTGTTCTGTTTCGGGTAATCCCGTTCCCAGCGTTACTTGGTCCCGTGTCGGTGGAGTGTTGCCAAGCAACCGAAGCAATATATCATCAGAGGGTCTACTGCAGATTCGCAAAGTGCGACTTGAAGATGCTGGAAAATATAAATGTGTGGCCCGAAATATTCTGGGAAGGGAAGAGAAAATTGCGAGCCTCATCGTACAAAGTGAGTATAAGGAAACGATTCGCAAAGTATTTCTTGGTCGTCGCGAACTAAATTTCAGAAAGCTGTTCAAAGAATTAAGATCAAATGTCTTTGTATGTAGCTGATTCAAAAGATGCTGCTTTGGGCATTGGGACTGGCAATTAGGCATTGGGCATTAGCCGGAATCCGGGGGTACTCCTGAGGATTCTTGGTGGGGGTGTGCTGCCAGGTTCTCCAAATCCAGACCCTACTTCAGACCAAGAAATTGCAATTTTTCACTCCCGTTTTCAGACCTGGCCTCTAAGAAATGATATCATTATTACTTTAGAACGCCAACAAAATATATTTCTTAAAATCCATTTCGAATTCGCATCTGATTTCTCTTTCTTTCTTGTTCATTTGGAATTGAAACGATGAATACGTTCATACATTCCTGTAGTTTCCTCGAAAACCATACCCGATTAAAGACCAAAATGGGCAAAGTTTATACCCGATTTCAGGCCAAAACGGCGCAAAAACCACACCCTTTTGGGACTGAATCCTATAAGACTTCCATATACCCCCCCGGGGGGGACCTCCAAAGAATAGCTGTCAGTGTGCAATTCCCAATGCCAAAAACAAACTTTATTGAATCAGCTATACACCGTAACGCCTTCTAAGCCATACGCTACGGCGAACCAAATGTAAACAATGACGTCACGATGACCTCACCCCTAAGCCAATTTTTGGGTTTACTTTACTAGGTTACTCTAAGAAACTTGGACATACTTTTCCGAATGTTTCGGTTTAATTTTTTCAGCTTGTTTTATTTTCTGCAGGTCAACCAAAGATTTCCTTGTCGTTCGGTCCATCTTACGTCGAAAAAGGAAAGAACATCACCTTACCTGTATGTCACGTTACTGGATTCCCTCCACCAAAGATCACGTGGCGTAAAGAGCCCAATAACCTTGTGCAAGCGAGAACTGTTGTGAGTGACGGACAGCTGTCAATATTAAATGCTCAAAAAAGGGACTCTGGTTGGTACAAATGCCAAGCGTCAAATCCTCTAGGGCATGACTCGGCTGTTACAGATCTTAACGTTGTTCAGAGGCCTCATTTTATAGTGAAACCGCCAGCACACCTTAAAGTGCGGACAATACAGAATATTACAGTCCGCTGTCAGGCTGCGGGTGATCCACAACCAACAGTCACCTGGAAAAAAATTAACGGTACGATGCCTGGTAGACGATCAGTAGTTGGTGCCGATGGAACGCTGAAAATTTGGAACCCTAAACCGGAGGACTCGGGAACGTACACGTGCACAGCGTCATCAAATCTTTTTTCCAGCGTGTTTGTTGCAATGGCATTGACTGTGGAAGTACTCAGGAGTATGAAAAGTACACTTACTCTGTTAAACTCTTTCAATTGTTCATTCAGGAACACATTAACGCATACATGGGCTCCCAGTTTTAATTTTCATGTGATCTGTGTGTTTTATGTAATGTTGTCATCAACCACTCCGCCCTCTTTCATCGAGATGCGGAATTGGACTACACGAAGTTTGTTACCAACTAATCATAACTAGTTATTACAAAACTTCTGATAATTTCAGCTTTTTTAAAATTAAAACACAAGATCTTCCGAGAACTTTTTTGCTCAACGTTGAGCAGCTACAACGAAAAAAATTCAACTGCGCACGGGATGGCATGTATGACGTTTGTATCCTATTAATGCTGAAATCAAAACTGCTGATAGCCAATCAGATAAAATAATTTTGTCAAAGTTATGATCATGGTACTATTACTATTTGTGCACGTCGCAATAATGTCTTTACCATTTTCCTAATTCTTTTCAAGGATGTGTCCCTGTAGGAGTCGCAGACAGTAACAAGATTCCAGAAGCTAGGATGACAGCGAGTACCTTTTATAATAACGATGAGTATCCATACTACGGCCGACTAAATGGAACGAGAGGAAATGGAGCGTGGTGTGCAAAGACTAACAACAAAGGAGACTATCTTCAAGTAGATATGATGAAAGTGTACTCTGTTTGTGCAGTGGCAACACAAGGATCAAGGGGAAATAGTCACTGGACTACCCGCTACAAATTGCATTTTTCTACTAATGGAGCAACATGGGAATCTTACAAGGAAAATAGGATTGATAAGGTAAGCATGTTATAAGTAAATTGTTTAATTTTAATGAATCATAAAATCGCCTTGAATTTGAGGTGTTACCAAGGAAGTCGGACTGAAGTAATGGGTTGAGTTCCTAACATTGCACTGTGTGACATATATATTTTGAAGAACTTCCTCACAGCAACAGCCAAAAAGTCACTCTTAACTACGATAATGTTCATAAAATATGTTAAGAGCTCTTCTGTTAATGTGAACTTTGTTTTGTAATTATTTCAGGCCTGTAGCAGGGGGAGGGGCAGGGGGGGCTCGAGCCCCCCCAGAAATTTTCAGTCTTGAATTAAATTCTGCTACAAAAGTGGAATTTTTCTACTAAAATGGACAGCTGTCAATGGAAACTAAAGTTTCAAAGTATTGTCGATCATAGTAAGATTATGTACTGTTGTTCTTCTGTGCAATTTGGAATTGTATAAATGAACGAAATCGTATGTTTGCTCTGTCAAAAACAAACAACAGCTTTAACAAGCATCAAAATAGTCAGAAGCAAAATGGATCGAAATGCACCAATGACAATCCCTGAACTTGACCTCTTGAACTTTATTGGTTTACTAAGAGGTCCCCCAGTGTCAAATATACTACTGTACTAGAGTAAAACTTAGGTTCTTGCGCGTTTATATTGAAAGTCTTACAATGTCTTCGCAACAGCCGCCGAAAAAGAAATCCAAACAAGTCGAAAATAAGCAGGGAACAGTTTTATCGTGGGTAAAACCATGCACTAGTGACACAGAGCCTTGTGTAGTTGAAGAAACAATCCGAATCAAAGAACAACCCGAAAGCAATTGTTTAGCAAATTTTCCGCGAACAATATCCCAGACAAGTTCTCTATTTCGTCAAAGTCAACACAAACGGAAAATTAGAGACAAGAACAAAAGGTATTGTAGACAAATGAAGTGATCTGACGTGTACCAAGAAGTATGCTTTAACCGAGAGACCGAAGCCGGGGGGGGAGTTAATGTGGGCCACTCGCTCAGCCCCCCCAGTCATTTTATGCTTGCTACGGGCCTGTATTTCCAAGTAATACTTGAATGCATTGTTAAACTATCTACGTCATTGTTATTGTCTTTTATTCTTCTTTAATAGATATTTCAAGGAAACAAAGATAGAAATGGAATCGTCAAAAATTCACTCAGGAATGTTGTGAAATCCAGATATGTTCGGTTTTATCCTGTTTCATATCTTGGATTCACCTGTTTAAGAGTAGAAATATTTGTGTTGAAATAGTCCGTTCTTTGTCGTTTCAAAAGTGGTCAAGGATCCCTTTTGATATTAACTATAAATTTGGATACAGCGTTGTTTAAGTGAAGTGATAAATCTGTCCTTGAGTGGAATCCACACAGTGTAATGATCACCCTTTGATAAGAACTTCTTCAACGCTTGCTCTAGCGAGAAGTGAAATAGTTTAGAATGTACACGTGGGATCTATAAAACACAGTTTAAAAAAAGATGGGGAGAGGGGCTGTGGAATTTTTGCAATTTTTTTTGGTCTTTAAGCGATGAGGGTCACCAGCAGTTTGCGAGGTCTTGGCCTGTCAGGAGCCCAGCCCCCGGCCCGAGTGGGATGTTTAGATGTAAAAAGAACGCGTCGTTATTTTGGATTTCCAGTAAATTAAGCGGCCAAATTAAGCGATACTAGGGAAGGCTGTGTCTGGTCTTGTCTTGCTCTTGACAAATCGAGAAGACTTCTTAGTGGACTTAATTTTCTGTTATAACAGCAGCTGTAAAGAAAGAGAAATTTTCTGTCGATTATAAAGGTAAGAGTTTACACCTTGAAAAACCCAAGGAACATGAAGTTTTTAAAAGGATACCAGGGACCAGCCATATAAAACTTTTTTACCAATTTACCACTCGACGTTACATGCAAATTCTTTGCGTGTGTCTCTGATCTACTTGATGAAACCCCTCACATTGTGCATCAAAGCAATATGTTGCAACTGATGACGTCACAAGTGGTACAATGGATGTGGTTCCACAAGGGATGTATTGGGTCGGCATTTCAGGTTATTGGATGCAGTTTCCCCTGCAGTGCTTTTAATACAGCCGTCCCTTCCGTGAAACTGTTAATTTTTAAATAGACAACGGAACGTGCTCGGCTAGTGCATTATCGTCTAGATTCTTGCCAATAACCGCTCTGCATGTCTACGTCAAAACTTCGTTTTGAAATTACAAATTAGCGAAGTTTTACATAAATAAATTCAAAGGCAGATAAGTTGAAAAGAGTGCCCACGCACAAAATGTGCAAATGCAAAGAGTTTTGTTCACAATCGAAGCTTGGTGGTAATACTCTTCCGATGTTACCATGTATAAGGGCCATTGTCAAAAATTTTGCGTACCCAGCCTAATCCCTAAGGGTTCTCTGACTTCTCTCATGCCCCCTTGCCCTCGTGAAGTCTGGGAAAGGGCGAGTCTCTCTCGTTGACGTCACAGGTAGAGTCCGGGTTTGACCGAGCAGCAAACGCCCGGGGACTAGGCTGTTGCATACCTATATATATGTATATGTATAAATAATGTAAATGTGTTTGTTTTACCTTGTTAGCTAGAATGATAATTTTTTTGGTATATTTATGTTCTTTTTAGATATCAGCTGCTTTATTATCTTGAATTAGTAGTGAAATAAAATCTTGGTTGGCTTGTTCGTGTGTTGCATCCTTTACGTCAGGAGGAAATACAGTCAAACCTGTGTACAACGGTCACCCTTGGGAAATGGCAAGGTGACAGCTATATACGGGACCGTTGTCCGAAGGTTTGACTGTAAATGAAATTTGGAATTTAAACATTTAAACCATTCTCGCATTAATCGTTAATGCAAAGCAGCCTACGTTCCCAATAACGTTGAAAATATACCGTCTTTAACTACAAACCTTTTCCATTTCCTTAGCAAAGATTTAATTGGATCTTCTTCATCAGCAATTCTATGAACGCTTGGAATTTGGAAGTATTGGTTTTTGAGGAGAGGAAGGGAAAACGGGAGTTCTCAGAGAAAACGGAAACCGTCACCAGAAGGAAAAGCCCCAACCTACATAATATACTCTACATTGCTGTCCATACATTTCTTATGGTTCTCCTAAATGCGGAGACGTTGTTTCCTAATCAATCAACCCATTTATCCTTTGTTATGTTTTCCATTATTCCTATGAACTTAGGGCCAGTTATTTAAACGCAGTTTAGCCAGTGTTTAACAAAACCGCGTTCTAAGCCATTTTCAGTTTACCGAGCGCTTTTATATAAACACCATCTATCGTGAACAGTTTCATGAAAGCATGTGGCGTAAACTAGAGAAGCAGTTGTCCACTATGGACGAGATCTCGAAGTCTAAATCGCGGTTAGACGTCGTTTAAATAACCGACCCTTAATCTTTGACTACACGGTAAATCTGGACAATTTTACGGGTTAACTAAACGCACGTGCTTCTACTTTATCCGCTCAAAAGCCCGGCTAAAAATTCACGAAATATGTCCTGAAACATGATTGATCTATAACATCTGACGCTGCATGATCTTCTGAAGTTAATATACTGTAAAATTCCGAAAAAAGGCCACGGGGCTTAGGGCCTTGGTGGGGCCTATGTTCAGAGGGGCTTTTATTTAAGGAGTGGCTTATGGTAGAAGGAACATTGCGCATTAAAATTTCGTGGACTTGTAATTAGTGGAAAATTTGTGTCAGGAAATTTTTTAAAGTGCAGTTGGGAATTCAGCGATAATATTGGGTCACTGAATATGATTATGATTTCTGATTATGATAATATCGGGTCACTGAATTGCTGACAATGCCAGGAATGAGTTTTCAATACCTCTATCATATTGCAGGCTAAATCAAATACATCCGTCCTTTCTGTCTGACCAGGACTACCGAAGACCAACCAGAGAATCTATCACTGAATGGTGATAAGATCTCGTTACCACCTGGAGGGATGATAAATATAATTTCTAGCATGGTGAAGAAGTTCGCTAGAAGAAGAAAAGACTGAGGCATGCTAGCCTTCTTTTTACCTCCACAGGTTAATCATTCTCATATTTTTTTTGCTTCTTTGAAAACACTGAAAGGATTAAAGTTTGGGAAGGGATACAATCTGAGCATAGCATTGTTCGCTTTCAAAAACATATTCAGTACTTAGTGTCGGGAAAGTTTCTTGTTCACGTTTATGTTTTGATTGATGGCTTCACTTAACGAGAACCCCCACATTGACCTGACTTGCTTGCCCCGGGGGGTACTCGATATATCCTTGGGTGGGGAGATGCGTCTCGGCCCCTCATACCTTGATCCTGTTTAATAAGACAAAAATCGCTGATTTTCCTACCCTGTTTAAGACAGAATTCCGATTTTTGATACCCAGTTTAAGACATTAGTAGAACATAAGCGCAGGCTCTTTATCGTCTAAGAACAGGGTTATGGGCTCCTGTCTAAGAAAAGATACCCTGTTTAAGACAAAAATTGATAAAATCAATACCCTGTTTAAGACAAAAATCCCGAAAAACATAGCCTGGCTGGCTGCACGTTTATGATTTGATTGTTGGCTTCACTTAACGAGACCCCCCACATTGACCTGACTTCCTTGCCCAGTTTATCTTGCTTTACTACCTTGAGGCGATGTTTACACGAGAACGTTTATAACGACGATTCTTGAGGCAAAAATGTTAGGGACAGCCAGAGCGTCTACGCCCGTACAAGACTCTACTGAGTGTTTATCAGGAAAGACAACGTGAAGGTGACGACGTGGCCTACGAGCACGCCCTCTCTTTTCTAGCTTGTTCCAGGCACAGTAATGTGCATGCCGGAGGGATCGTGAAACAGATGCGAAAACTGCTGCTGCCTGTGCGACGAATGAGACAAAGCTAGGTAGTGCACCTGACCCCATTTATCCTGATGTGATAGGTAGATCTTTCTTACGTTTTTTTGGTTGCTTGAATTTGTGTTATTTTTTTGTTTAATGTCATTGGTCACGTTTTAAGAGAAAGGCTTAAATGGCATGAACAGGGCACAAAACGAAAAGTCTGAAATGGAACTATGATGATAGAAATGATGATAACCCCTAGAACTGACGGGAGTCAAAAAACTCTCCAGTCAGTAACTTGGCTGGGACTTAGTTCAAAAGAAATCGAGAGACACTTTATTTTGTAGTTTATTCAGGTTTTATCAACAAACTATTAATATACGCGGCAGTTCATCCAACCCAGATTCCGCGATTGAGCTGAATCCAGGGATCAACAAATTTTCACGGAATCAGGTATCGAGATTTATAAAGATTTTGAAATCAGGAATCCAAATTTAAGGCAAAAATGATGGATCAGTCGGGAAAAAGTAAACCTCGTTACGACCTTGATATGAACCTTTTCGATTTTCCCGTACATTTCCTCTCAATTCAAGCATTTCAGCAGTCACACTATTTGTGTGGGTTCCCTGTGCTATGAAGGCGCTGTGACGACAAGTCGTGCGCAGATCTAATTACCTACAATCAGGCCTTTTTCAGAAGAGAGGGAAATTAAAGACGTCTATGTCGATCTATGAAACTCTTCTGCGAGAAACGCCTAAAAATATAGGAGAGGTTAAGAGCCATCATGGCTCTTGTCGAGGCATGTGTATGATTGCATGCTAGCTAATCTACCCCACTGGCAAAGTGGCAAACTGAGTACCGGAATTCAGGTTCAGTTCTTTTTGCTAGCCTGCCTTGCAGCCGGCTCACGCATCGTCTCAGTGATCGTTTAGACCATTTGTATACTATACTATGCAGAAGGTTTAGTAGCTGCAACGCAGGCAAGTTTTTGCGCGCTTTGATTGATTTTGTGTTGTCTTTACTAAATCGATCATTCGCCTATTCTTCTCAGTGATTTCTTGACTTCTTTGATGTTTATCTTGCTTTATGGGGCCGGTAGTCTGAAATGTCACACGTTTCCAAACTGGAAGTTGCCCCTCAAGTCGCAGGTTGTGGCTTGGGGACAAGTCACTTTTTGAAGACAGCTGTAATCGTCATATATGACGGAGCTGTCATTTGCGAGCATTCAGCGTAAGCACGTTTTTATTTTTCGGCGATTTTCCTGGTTCGAAGAGACGAAGTAAACTTCTGCGATGTCAATAATTTACAGTTTGATAGCTCGTGGTACGACTGTGCTTGTGGATTACACGGAAACAACAGGCAACTTTCAGCAAATAACAGGTTCGATCTTGCAAAAAATCCCCCTGCACGATGACACGAAATGCACCTATGTTTCTGGAAGGTGAGTAGTCGACTCAGCTGTTTATTTATGCTTGTGTAATCTCACTTTGGAATTGGAGTATAAATGAAATTAATTTATTTTCCACTTAAACTAACTGAACATTCTTATGTTAAGAGAAGTATTCTATTATACAGCTCTCAGCAGCAGTTAAAATTTGTCACGACTCGAAGATCGACGTCTTCGGCCTCCCTGCGCGCAGCGATGAGAGAGATGTCGCAATAAGCTTATATTTCACCCCCTTCGCTAAAGTTATGACGTAGTTTCAGACGTACACTATGTACTCAATTTTGAAAGGAAAAGTCCCACAGTTTTTGTTTAAGAAGTGCTAATCTACGCGTGTGGTGAGGAATTCCTTTAGAAGAGAGACGTCGACAAACTTCGTTGTAAACTTCATCAAAGAAAGACTATCGTCAACTCGTGGGTGCGTTGTTTAGAAAATAATCATTTAGTTATCACCTCTAGTTTTCCCACAGTAAATTTAGGAAATGATAGAAATTCAGATTATAAATATACTATCCTTGTTCTGGAAACACAATACTTTTCTTGCTGTTTATTGCACTTTATAAACAGTTATTTAGGTATATATTTAAAAACAAAAAGACCAAGAAAACAAAACAAAAAAGAAAAAAAAAAGGAAGAAGGGAAAAAGAAGGTCGTTAGCAGAATTTGAACCTGGTGCCTACGATTTGACCTGACCTCACATAGCCACTACACCATTGAGGATGAACACACAATTTGGTGAAAAGTCGCAAATTTAATGCGTTTTCCGCGGAACTTCCGCCGGCAAACGATCGAGCCATACTTAACCGATTGAAAAAACGACTCGAAGCAATTGGATGAAATTAAGGCTAATTGAAACCAGGCTACTGACAGTAAAAGACAATGTAAACACATTTCATGGCAATAAAAGAACATATGCGATACAAAGCCAACACAACTCCTCCGTGAAGTAGGACGCAAAACATAAGCTTATGTTTTCTTATCTCGATTTCCACTGTCATTTTAAAGCTGATGCTCAAAATCACATCCATTTCCCCCCGTGACCTTGGGGAGTACTTAAGAAGAAGAAGAAGAAGTGCCTTTATTTACCATACATTCATTCATACACATAACCTACTACATTACTACAAGGTAGGAGATCAAGCCAGCGTCGAAGTTGAAGGAGTTGAAGCGCAAATGCTCATATTCTCGTCAAGTTTAATGCCTGGACGAGTCAAAAGCTCTTGAATCGTACTAATCTGAAAGATTTCAGCGTGTCTTAAATTTGGTAAGACCTCTATCCTCTAACCGTGCTGTAGCGCACGATGCACGCTCTCTCAGTGAGGAATTTGATGCCACTGAACTTCGGCGAGCGCGTGCTTCTTTGGAAATGATAGATCTTCGCGCTCTCGAGTTTGGACCCGTTAATTACGAAGTACGTCTACTACGAGTGAGCGAGTGACTCATTTGCATATCCTTGTCCCTGCAATAACTCGTGGTACGCTCACACGTACCCACGAGTTAAAAATGATTAAAGATTTGTAAAAAAATAATTCCAATTAAACTTAATTCTGTACAAAACACAAGCTTAAATAAGCTTAAGAATTACCTATTTAGAGTAAAAAAAATTGAAAATTCAAATCTCGATAATTTTTTGGTGTTTATATTTTCGTTGCTTTCCAGTTACCACTTTCACGTGATAGTAAATGATGGAATAATTTTTCTGTGTATGGCTGATGAGGATTTTGGGAAGAGACAACCATATGCCTTCCTAGAAGAGGTAAGCTTAATTGGAGAAGGTTTACAAGAAATTACATTAAACATAGCCTGCAGAAAAAAATAGCTGCTGATTTCATGGTGAATCCCCTTTGTATGTATTTTTTTTTCAAATGTTTGGATCAAATTCATCATGAACATACTTAGTAAAGTGGTAGCAATTTCCTTATCACTGCAATAATATCTGTTTCCAAATTCATCTAGACTCAGAATAAATTCACTTTGACTTGGAAGTTTAACAGTGACTAACCTGTGTATTATTAAATGTCTTATGCACCAGTCGATGTTACGCCGTAGGGTTAAGACTGGGAATTCTTGTAATGATTGGGCATCACCTAGCTAGCTGTCCAAGGCATGTCAAAAAGGGTGTGTACTGAGCAGTGCCACCTGACTGTATCGCGGGCTCAAGTGTACAATTCATTGAGGTGACATGTTATCTACTGACCAGTTGTTGGTTTTAATTGATGACTGGCTCAGGTCCATAATGAAAAGGCCATATAATAAAAACCTATCAACCTCGTCTGCTGTTGCTTGGTCAATACATCAAGGCCTCAGTCTGAGATTCCTGGTAATGACCTCACTCTTGGTTAATAAGACAGTAGCATGTCACAAGAGATCTTCTGCAAGTAGCTTGTGTAACAGGCATCGAGAGGGGTAGGGGAAGGGGAGGAAGGAAACAAGAGAGGATTATTGGGGAGAGAAGGTAGAGCTCCCTTGCCTTTTCCCTTTCACATTTTTCTCCCTTTTGCCCACTTCCTCCCCTTTTTGCACTTGCCACGCAAGCTACTGGAATACAGAGGAGGCAATTCCAGTCATAGTTATCAGTTGGAATCTCGAAGCCAACACAATATTGTTGGTGCCATGACTTGCAGTTGTCCCACTCAATCCGAGGGTAGATCAAAATGGCCGGCTGAGACTAGGTTCCAGGCTCTTGAGAGATCTTTACAAACTTCTCCACTCTTGGTATCCTGTGTTACATCAAATCTTTAGTTATTCCCCACCCACAGGAAAGGAAATACAGTCAGATCCTCCAGAAATGCCCGGCCACACTGGCCAGGGGCTTAACATTGACTGGTGCATTAGAATGGAATTAATGCAGGCTACAAAATAAAACCTCTGGAGTAACAATGATCTCTCAATAGAGTGAAAACTGTAGATGTGAATTTAAAATATTTTGTCTCAGCATACACACCCTATTGCTTACCATTATTGTCTTAATTTTCATGCAGATCAAAAGGCGTTTCGAAAACAGCTCTTTAAAACAAAGAGCAAGAACAGCTCATGCTTATGAGTTCAAAAGAGATTTTGGACAAGTACTGGCCAGTCAGATGGTGAGTTAGGCAATGGATAAAAAAGCAGATTTCCTTAATACTTATTTTTAATTGCCAATTTCTTTCTTTTTATAATAAACTGTGACCTGGTAAAAAAAAATGCAAATAACCCTTGGGACTTCTGGTCATATTTATAGACTGCAGTTTGTGGTAGTGGCTTGTCCATTATAGTATAGTGAAAAAGTTGAAATATTTGTACAGTCACTCAGGACAAACATTCATGGCAGCAAGATTTGGGCTGCAGAACTAGCTGGTCTTAAGAAATAAGCAAGAAAGAATTTTGGTTGATGCACAGAGTCTAGATGATCAAAAAGACAAAGGCAATATTTGTTCTGTATTGTCCTAAGTGTGCAAAGTTACTAGTGAACAAGAGTCTAAATTATAAAATGTGTTATTAAGACCAAAGAACATTTTGGCAGGTCTGTAATAGCAAGAGTTTGTTGAAGGATTTGTTTGAAGGATTTGGCTACTGTCCATATTAGCGGGCTGCCTGTCATCTGCAGGTGTGCATTGGGTATGAGTTGTTCACTCTCATAAGTGATGACATTCAGGGTGAAGGGTAGTGGTATGGCAGTGACAGGGGTCAAATTTGATAATGGAAAGTTGACATGACCCTAGACCTCTAGGGTCTGTTGGTATCTCTCTCTTAATCCTTGAAACATAATACATTCCTTCACATTCCATCATGACCATCTCATATTTGACATTTTGTTACTGTCTTTTATTTCCCCAGGCTCTCTTTTCTGATACAGGGTATGACGACACAGATCAAATTGCCAAAGTTAGACGGGAGGTGAATGAAGTGAAAGGGGTCATGACGCAAAATATAGGTAATGGATTCAGATCCAAAACTCTTAAGTACACACTGTTATTTTGGTACAAAACTATTAATAGTGCAGGCCAGAGAAAAAAGAATCAATACAATAAAGGACTATAAAAAAAGTTACAGTAACTGCAAGTTTATTACCGGTAATTATTAATCACTGTGTTAAATAACTGAATAAGCCCCACTTTTTAGAGACACAGACAACCTGCATTCACATTTATAATTGTTTTGCAGTAGACAGATTACTCTTTTATTTGAATTTTCTTTTCTTTATTCTTTAAATTGATTTTGTGTACATGTACAAATAAGAATAATGATTGGTGCTTAAGATGTCTGTGTTTGTTTTCATTTCGCTTTCAATTTGTTGTGATTACATTTCAAGCACTTCGTGTTATTTAAAGGTCACTTTGTCATTTATATTTTAATTTTATGGTTAATCATTCAATTAAATTCATTTTGAAATTGACTTTCCCTTCCTGGTTTACCTACTAGACATAACAGGATTAAAAAACCCAACTGGTACTGTGTAGGAGGCAACCTGCTGGCTATTTACAGGGATTTGTTCTCAGGATAACTAAGAAACATGTTCAGCTGGCCATCACGGTGGGACTCGAACCTGGGACCACCGCATTGATAGTCCAGTGAGCTGATCACTCAGTCACACTAGTGTCTCCTTCATCATGTAGCTGTCTGAACCAACATGGGTGTTTTATTTTAAATAGGAAACTAAATAAAACTTGACATAAGTAGACTAGTTAGTTTATTACAGCATTAAAGTTTATAAAGATAATGATAACAATCAATAAATTTTGTTATAGCTATTACAGGTACATGCAATATCCGTTGATCGCCTTGGTCTTTCTGTTTTTATTTAGAAAAAGTACTTGAAAGAGGTGAAAGAATAGATGTCCTTGTTGGAAAAGCGGAAGAGTTGGATCACAGTGTAAGTTTGATGATGATAAGTATGAGCAGTAGAAACCTTTTTGCTAAACTTGCATAGCCTGATATAAACACACTAAGGGTTGGAAAAATTCTAGAACATTATGCAGACTTTCACCCTTGTCTTGGGTTTGCATAACACTAGCACTGTCTCAAATTTTCTCACTCTCTCTTGTGTATATCAGGCTATGCAAACTTGGAAAAAAAAGTTTTCTATTGCTTTTTGTTTTTCTCAATTAGGCACTTAATCCTCATGTTTTCATTTCTTTTCTTTTTTTTGACTTGGTGGAAACCACTACCACTAAACCACTACCACCTTCCCTTTTTTTAAGACTTGTAGTGTAAATTATCTTTAGATTATTCTTTCTTTCTGGTAAAATGATCAAGCTTGGTATTTCAGAAATTATACAATTTGTCTATTTTAATCAGTATGCTTCTTTTTCTGCTTGTCTGTAGCATTGAGGTGTTAAACATCTCAACAAACATCCACAACTAGGAGTTTCTAAGTCAGGGTAGTGTGAAAACGTGCTTGGGAAGACAAGTATAAATTATTATGGTTGTTGACCAAAAAGTTACGTTAAAGAAAAAGAGGGAGAATTTTTTGAGTATTCATGACCAATCTGTGTGCATCAGCTGAAAACACATGTATCTATATTTTCAAATAGAAATGTGGTCTTTATGAACACAATTCGAAAGGAATAAGTTTAGATTCAAATGTTATTTTAATCAGTGTATAAAAATGTGGCTCAAAAAAAAAAAAACATGAATAAGTGTTGACACTATTATGCCTGGTTCCACCAGATGTTGCAGAATTTATATCTAGCCAATTTTTTGAAAATGAACCTAATGGAATTTGCAGTCATTTGAGTGAAAAAGGGTCAAAAGGCAGGTTTTGTTGTGCTCGAGAAGCTTGAAAATCACACTAACCAAGGAAAAGGAAAGGAGAAAAAGAAAAACAAGAGAAAGAAAGTAGGAGAAGAGAATTAAAAAGCAATAGTTACACTTTTAGCTTGTATAGTGGTTACTTTAAAGATGTCCAGTTTTTGGCTGAAAAAAAAAACAAAAACCTGTTTGACGGAAGATTCCATTTTGCAGTAACGTTTTCAAAAATCCAGCTAGGTATAAATAAACAAGTGTAGGTTTCCATTTTTCATACCCTGTGAGGAGAGATTCCTCTCTTACATGGCTTTTAGCATTTACAAAGTCGTTTGTGTGGCTCATCTGTCGCGTAGCTAGTTTGCTTACGCCTCCCAGGGTGTATAAAACGAACCAACTATGGGACTGTCAAGCCACACGAACGACTTCATTAACGCTAAAAGCCATGCCAGAGAGCAACCTCTGCTTGCAAGGTACATTTTTCACAAATTTTACTATCTAGTTAAATAATTATTTCATTTTTTTTCTTGCTGGTTTTAGGCTCAGTCATTCCACAGACAATCCACAAGGCTGCGGAAACAGATGTGGTGGCAGAACAAGAAAATGTGCCTGCTGCTGATATTTGTGTTGCTAGTTATAATTGGGGTTATTGTCTTGGTTGCACTTGGTGTTGAAGGAAAATTATAATGTACACTTGTATAGTTAGTGAGATTTTCTTTTGGAGACAAGACAAACTTCGTCTTCCTGCCATGAATTTTCGGTGTGTCAAGGATAATGCAACATTGTGTTAGTGGTAACTTATACATTTATTTTGAATGCACCTGTATTTCTTGGAAAACGCCAACACTTCTTTTTTCGGTATAAATTGAAAGGAACTTAGTTGGCTTGCCTTCTGGACAAAGATCTCTTTGATAAGTTATGGCAAAGTAGGAATGATATTTTGTGTTTATTAATTTTAGTTTACTCTGTATTTCAGTGGCAGTGTGCGTTGTTTATATTTTAGAGAGTGCTTGAGAAGTGATTGACTACTTGTGAAAATAGGCCATTTCCGACTAGCCAAGCATCTGTTTCAAGGCAAGGCTAAAATTATACGAAGCCATCAATCTAAAAATATGATTTTTAGTCTCATGTAAATAAAACTCATTTTCACAAGAAAAGCTTAGAATTTAACCTTGTTTTGATAAGTGAGAATTTTCATAACTCGGAAATGACCTATTTATAACAGCAGCTCATGTTTGCCCCCTCTGATTTGCATTTTGTGGGCTGATTTATGTTTTCAGAAAAGTGTCAAGGGTTTGTTGCACAACTTTTAAAAAATAAGAGCAATAATATTATGACAAATTATGCAAAGAATTACAGGTGTAATAGTCTAGTTTATAGCTGGACTTTAATTTCTAATCAGAAATGCGCAGTCAGTACAGTTGGTGCTGAAAATTTGACTGAAATGACTTCTGAAAACTTGTCGAAAGTGATTTGTAAACACTTAGAGTGATCATTACTTATGTATTTGTGCGATATGATTGCTGCACAGAAAGCTATAGTTACAGTTGTAAACCTTTAATCCTTAAAATCAAACACAGACATTCTTAACATTATTCGCATGTTTACGCAAAGCACAAGGGCGAGATGAGACAGCCCAACTCAACACACATTACTCGAGTGTGGAACATTTGGGAATTATGACATTTTTGTTCTCTTCTTGCTTCACATATTTAATATGTAATCACTGACATTATAGGAAGAAATTGGACTGGCAGTCGCCGATAGAGCTGTAGAAGTTCTAAAACCACAGTACTCAATTTGGGGAATTTTAGGAGATTTATTTATCTCTGCCTGAGCGCCACCTATGTAAGATCTGATAGGTCAGGTCCAAGCAAGAAAACCAGCAAAATTAATCTGCTTTATAGCAGTGCTTAAGTAAAGGCAGATGGAGAATAATCTCACTTGGGTAGAAAAGTGTATTTTGACGTAACATTATTGTCAAGGAGAAGTGGAATAATCAACATTTATTCCACGAGTGCACGTTGGATATGAGATGGTAGATAGCCAATGAGGTGCGTAGCACCAAGTTGGCTATAATCATCTCATATCCAACAAGTGTGAGTGGAATAATTGTTTTACTAAAAACGCTCACAAAATATCGAGAATTCTTCCGGACTTTATTTGTAAAAACAACCAGTTCAGCTTGTTTTCAATTTTGAGCAGATGCATTCAGTTACCATATTTGGAGAACATGGTATAATGCCTCATATACCGTGATGGCTCAGCCAATCAGAGCTCTAGAATTGCATTATCCAATGATTCAGTTTTTAATAATAGAATATAGAGAATTTCACTGATAATAATTATTGGAAACCAACAATAGTGTGCAGTTTATTCATCTTTGTCTACTAATCTAGATATTAGCATAGTATATATATGACTTAATACTTAACATTGATAAATAATGTCTGTAAAAGGTAAAATAAACTAGCATAGATGTATTTTATGATATTTGCCATTAAATATGACATTTTCAGGAGTGCCCATTGATGCTGTGATTATAAAGGGGCTTCATCATGCTATTTGCTGTCTTTTTGAAAAACTAAAAATTTTCCCGTATCAATTGAATTCCAAAAATTAGTAATGTTCCAGTTTTCTTATTTAAGGCTATATAGTTTAGCCCGGGGGGGGGGGGGGACTCCGCATATGAAAGGAGGTGGGGATGCTCGTCGTCTCGCTTGAGGGCGTAAATTTCGGATTTTGGTCTCACTGAGGGTGTTCTGGGAAAAACACCATTAAATTTAGCCGTAAAGGTCTCTTGTAGGGTTGCACTCCAAGAAATATTAAACAATTATATATTTTCAATTCGTTTTATTTACTCGATTCATGTAATCAAAGTTTAAAATGATCTCTTTTAGGGGTAAAAAAAAAGGTTGGACCACGCCCAGATTGGTCTCCTTTAGGGGTTTAATTCAAAATTTCCGACGAGCATCCCCATCCCTTTCATATGCGGAGTCCCCGGGATATTTAGGCGTTGCAAGGGATAGAAGGACATGGATTAAAACTTGAAAAAATTGGGCCAACTTTTTCAAGTTTCGGTGCTATGCCCGCAGAAATCACAAAAACTATCATGGTTAGTGCTCCTGATGAAATTTGCTTGATAACTTCTACATAACTCTACAGGAGCTTTTTGTGTATGGGTAAAGCTAGCAAGTAGTGCCTTCAGCACAGAATTGACCAAACACTGCAATATCACCATGACAAAGCCCCTTTAAAAGCACCCCTAGCACCACTTTTTCCCGCAAAAGTTTGCAAAATAATTGTTTTCAACTTCTCCCGGGTATGCCATGCTGATGAGTTCCAATAAGGGCGAAATAGCTGTCCATGGCTGCCACTGCCGTTGTGAACCACTGCCGGGGTGATGTGGTTGTGCGCATGCGTAAGATACCGGCCACACCTCGGAGTTGGTACCTGTGCTTCAGTACTTAATTTGGTATTATTACGGTCATCCCTAGAGAAATAGGAAACAATTCTTATTGAAAATTGTGGGGACCGGGGGAGGGATAAACAAGGTGTGTAACGGGGCAAAGTGAGAATGGCTAATCCCAACCCTATTTTCCCACCCTGCCCTACCCCATGCCCGTTAAAAATGATTGCTTTGGGTTTTTTAGGTATACATTACCTTGTATTTGTCATCTTTCTAAGTATGTATTCTTGAAGGAGACTGAATTTAACCTAGGCCTCTGTTACCCGTCTGATGGACCAGGGTAACGCGGCCTCTGGGAACGAGATTGAATTAAACAACTGAAATAGGCTTGTATACTGGAGCCCAGCGGTTAAGAAACAGACGCAAAGTTTTACATGATGCGTAATAATTTTGGTCTACGTTGTTCGATAACCTAAAGGAAGAGGGAAAATACACAGCTGAAATACAGTAAATCCTCTATTAAGCCCCCCTTCTCTAATAAGCTCCCTCGACTCCCTCCTTTTCATTGGAAGAAAATAATTAAGCCCCATTCTCTTTTGAACCCTCCCCTTTATTGTTAAATGATAGACGGTATGATATATTCCAGTGCAGAAAGTTCGGATTTGTTTTGGATATTCGGCTGCATTACCTCCACCTGCATGTGCCTGAGCTTTCCCTCTTTGCGTTCTACGTTCAGTTGTGGAGAATTGATACTATAAAAATTGCTAAATTAGATAAACTCCCTCTCTATTAAGCCCTCATCCTCCCTCGAACGTGCTTGAAATGAATCACCACCCCCAACCAGGGGGCTTCATAGAGGATTTACGGTACCCCCATGGAATGCACCAGGCAACCTCCAGTTAGTGATACTTTAGAATATTTTTCAGCCCGTTAAGAGTGTACAGAATACTTTCCAGGGTATCTGGAAGTCCTCGTCTTTCTATAGCTCTTGTTTTTGAGTTTATAAATTTCTCATGATCTTTTGCACTTTCCGTTGGATCAATATATGACCGCTTCGACACATCCTTTTTACCGGGGCTGTTATTTGTACTTTGTAGCCCTCCATTTTCTATTTTCTTCTCCCTCAGTCGGTAACTTGGATCACTCAATTTCGGCGTCCGGTTTTGTCGGTTTCCGTTTTCGGGTTTCGTGTTCCCCTGAGATGAGGGTCCTAAATGTTTAAAAGGTTGGGCGGTGAGACCTTTCAATTCTGTCTTTCCTGTTCCCTTGGCAACAACGTCTGTCACGGCCCCCTTTCTGTTGATATTCGTTTGATCTTTAGTAACTTTGACAAGCGTTCGTACCCTGGTAATAAAACTTGCCGCATCATTTAAGACTGTCTTTGCTTCATCCACCACCTTCCTGGCATGAGTGATAACTCCTTTCATAGCATTGCTGATATGGGGATTTTTAAGGTCTATGTTTTTCATTCCCGCTATCGGGAGGAGAAGTTTTGAGATGTTGACGACATCCCCACTGTTTTCTTGCGGGTGTGACTTTACCGCTGTAGTTTTCCTCTTTAAAAATTTCCCTGCGAGTTCCGAAAGCAAAAGACCGGAGCCTGCGGTTTCTCTATCTGCTCTTACTTGTCTTTTTACGGATCTACCGATACTAGAAATGTCTGCGTCGAGTGGATGCTTTTTCTGTCCTGATATCTGGTGCTTTTCAAGTTTCCTCTTGGCAAAATCAGTTCTCTTTGACCCCACCGTGACATCTTTAGGCACCTTAAAACTCGTTTTGTAGCCCGGCCATTGTCCCTTCATGCTAAACTTGGGATGTTTAACATTAACAGTAGCCAAAATAGGACTGTTTATCGCCAGCATCTCCGCGTTGTCATTATCTACCAGCCAGTCTTTTGTAGAAGCCGCCTTAACTTTAGACTCGGGCAATTCATAATGGAGATTTGTTCCCATCTGGCTAGCCTCTACATGAACTTCGTACGACTTCGATCCTCCGCGAAAACCGTTTTTCTGAGCGTCGGTTTCAAGTAGTAGGTTCAACAAACAAACGGCAATAAAGCAAGTGGCCATGAGTTTGGCGTCCATTTTCTGTCCGTTTTCCCGCTGTATACCCCTAAAAATGATCACCTCTAATGGGATCGTACGTTCTTACGTGTCAACAATAAAATGTATCATATTTCCCAAGTTTGGATTGGCGAAATTGAAAATTCTCATCGTTCGCTCGCATATTGGTTTTTTAACGGAAAGAAACAGTGAACCATGAAGTACAACAAAAAGGAAAAGAAGCCCGAGTTCTCATGCATACTTAATAGGATAACACATGTGGTCTATTACGATTATGTGAAGTTGCCCATCAGTGACGGCAGGTAAAAGGGACACCCGTTTTCGTTGTTGCGAGAGTTGTGTACCATTTTTTCTTTCCAGAAGATCTTCATTTCTGAATAGAGTATAAAAACACATTTTTCCTTAAATATAACATAAGCAAAGAGTAAATCACTCCAGTATCTATAAAAACTGAGCCCTTCGTGGCCGTTATTGGTAGTGGCAATCAAGACCTGCTAATAGGCGTGGCAGATGATAATCTCGCTAATGCCTTTAATATATTGTCGTGCTTAATTCAAGACGAAATAATTTTATGACAGTATCGTGGATTATCACCTACATTTTGGGGTTAATTTGTTAAGAAATAAGGACACTTCTTCCGGATGTGCCCAACAGCTAGCCAATCAGTGATAAAATAAAAAAAATGGTGTAGGATTAAGTCCGACTGAGGGCCCAGGTGAAGGCTGGTATAAGGGCCGCGGTCGTTACGTTTGGCCTTAAGATAAAGCAGCCTCATTCCCAGGTCCATTCGCGCTATCCCAATCTAAATCCCAATCAGCGGAGGAAGCTTGGAACCGAGCGCGTGCAAGGGGAACGTCCTGGGCATCTAAGTGCATCTAAGTGCATAGCCTGCGTAGCAAGTGTTTCCGTTTGGTTTCGGAGCTAAGAAAGACCGAGGAACGGGATTCTCGGTTTTGGCCGCGCGAGAAATGAAACAAGAGCCAAAAAGCTCTAACCGCGCGGCCACACTATCTCCTCCATTCACAACTGCAAAACATTTCTCCATTTCTTCTTTGGCAGGGGCATTTGACAGTCAAAAATTCGGCATCATAGCAGGGCATGAGACCATTACGGGAATTTGAATAGGCCTGTCTTCCCGTTGTCCCTTCCTGACGCGCAAAAACAATCCCGCCAGCTACGCTATGCTAAATGCCAAACATAGTTAATTTTCCAATCAAGACAAATAACTTTCACTCTACTATAAAATTCACGGCTGAAAAGTCTGGAACCGAGATCACTTTCTAGGACACAGAAAGGTACAAAGACCGTCAGATTCAACAACGAATCTTGACGTAGAAATCCCTTAATAACCCGTCATAGAGACCTTAATTTCCAGTACATGAACTTCTACTCGTGTCATTCACCGGGCGTGAAGAAAACGCTCAGACTTCCGCGTACTAATTCCTCTCAATCCTTATTTTTACAGGAAACATCCACTAGAATTTCGAATCGCGCCTAAAGAAAAGGAGCTATCCAAATAGCCTGTTCACAGACCCTCTTTTGTCTCTTCGAAGTCCGTCGAGCGCGGGTGATGAAATATAAGCCGTCGGGGATTTAGTAACCGCCAGCGCAAGGGGGTAGTGGTTGAGGAAGAAGAAAATATTTTTCTTTCTCGCGCTTCGCGCTCGTTCTCGCGCGCTCGCTTCACTAGCGTGCTCGCCGATAGGGCTTTCCACAAGATGCTCGAAAGTTTCCCGTAATTTCTCAAAACGTTGCGCAGAAGTTGCTCAAAAATCAATCAAAAGTTTCTTTTTATAACGAAAGTTGCTCAAAAGTTGCTCGAATAAACAAAAAGTTTTTGTGGTCTGATGCTAAAATATGCTAAGTAATAATAATGATAATAATGTTTATTTCTTATATTGCGAAGTCTAGCATGCGATAAAGATATGATCGAATGCGCATTACAAGAGTAAAATCTTAAAGTAATAAATGGCTAATGCAAATAATGATATTAATAATAATAATTTACAATTTTCGGAAAACAATAAAAGTAAAATATGAGTTAACAAAAGAACTAATAAAAAGCTAATTTAAAAAGATGTGTCTTAAGTAAAACTTTAAAAATTTTCAATGATTGACATTGTCTAATTTCTAGAGGGAGTCGGTTCCATACTTTGGGCGCAGCATTTTCAAACGCCCTATCCCCGAGTGTCTTTTTTGTTCTATAGGTATTGTCCATTAGGAGTATGCCCCGGTCTGATCTCAACTGATACCGCGGGCTCTCTTTGATTTTTATCAAGTCTAAAAGATATTGTGGTGCGACGCCGTAGATACATCTGTGAACTAGCATTGCTATCTTGAATTCTATTCTGTAGGTAACCGGAAGCCAGTGCAGGTTGATCAGGGATGGTGTGATAGGATCATACCTAGATACAGTACATACCAGCCGAGCTGCCGCGTTCTGCAGGCGTTGCAGCTTACCAAGATGAACAGCGGGCGTACCATATAATAGACCGTTACAATAGTCTAATCGTGACATTATAATAGCCTGTACAATGGACTTCCTATTGTCATATGATAAATACTTCCTAATACGCCGGATGTTATGTAGATGGTAATAAATATCCTGACATATGCTGTTAATATGTGTGGTCATATTCATGTTTGCATCAAACCAAGCACCCAGATTTCTAACAGAGTAGACAGCAGAAACCTTTACCTCACCTACTTGCAAGTCACTTATCGTAACCTTATTTAACTGTGCGCGTGTACCTATAATAAGAAACTCGGTCTTAGCATCGTTCAGCCGAAGTTTGTCTTGGACCATCCAGGATCTTATGTCCCTGATGCAAGCCTGTAAAGCGTCAACAGCATCCGTCTCAGTAGCAGAACCATCCGGCGTAGCAGAACCATCAAGTACAACAAAAGTAAGATTTCTAAGCATTTTTTGCAATTTTGCCGCGTAACCAGCGCTGCTAAGGAAACTCATTGTGAAATATGGAAAAAAGGTCAATTTAAGCGCTAAAAGTTGCTCCGATATCTCATAATTAGAAGATAACTGGATAAGTTGCTCCAAAGTTGCTGGAAACGAAAAAAGCTGCTCGAAATAAGAGAAGTTACCAAAACGTTGCCGAGCAACTTGAGGAAAGCCCTACTCGCCGATGTTTTCGATTAGAACGAAATAGAAAAATAAAACAACGTCTGTGTACAGGCTACTACCTATATGCTACTACCCAGACAAAAAGTGTGATAAAGTACCTCTCTGAATTTAAGTTCGCTCGCCCGCCAACAGGGAAACAAATCTACTCCACGTGAAAGAATTTTAAGTAGCATTCCTTCATATCATAGCAAGAGGGAATTAAAATACCTTCATAACTTCGAAATTCAAGGAGCATGAGAGCCAGAGCGGCGAGCTGTGAAGGTCCCTAAATTTCTCTACGAACCACAGGAGTCGTGTTGGTCTGTCAGCTTCTTTTCCACTAGCATTTTTCCAGCTCGCAGGTCTTAGGTCGTTAGCCCGCCAAATTCCCGCCCCGCAAAAAAAATTGTCCACCGGTACTCAGTCCGGAATATCCCTAAATTTAAGGACAGGGCCAACTGGTCACGCGACACTTTTCAACCAATGAGAAGGCGCGCTTGTGTTTATCAACAAACAAATCAAAACATCGCCCCAGTGATCAAAAATTTTCAAAACAACGGACGGAGTCGGACAGAATCAGTCATCGTTTCGAGGTTCTCAGGCATATTTTTAAGACTTTCATGAGGCATAGAGCATTAAGTGGACAGCGTATCGGAAGCTATATTGGAAGGGTCTCGTGAAATATTCAGCACATTTTGTGGTTTATTCTTCTTTTATCTTTTAAACAACGCGATGTATAGGAGAGATTTTGGTCGGCTTTCAAGGTAAGTGAACAAGTATCTATTATTTTTTCGATTCACAGATTTTTTACGAAGTTCTAGATATTTTTCCTCGATTGTCATATCGATTAACTTTTATCATGTTGAATGTGGAGGTGGCAGACAACCTAGAATTTTGGTAGACAATTTTTGAACTCCCAGGTCCAAAACACGTACGTTTTCCACTCCCGGGTTTCTCACAAAAGCCGTGTTATTACTTTTTTTCGCATTAGTACGAGCCTTTGCCTTTTTTCTTTTCAAGGCCAAAACAACTTTATTAGTCTTATGGATATTCACGTCCAAAATCTCGCCTCACTTTGCCGAATTTGCGGGGATGAAATTGAAGATCATAAGCGCAAGGTAGATACTAACCGCTTTGTTTCGGAAATTCACTAATCTGGAAAGATTTAATGTTGTTGGATTCTCCAAATGTTGAAACAAGGCAAATCTCAGTTGTAAATGCTGTATTTCGCTACTCATTGAACATGCACTGATTATCTGGGATAAATTTAAAACATTGCTGCAATGCAGGTACTACAGCAAGCAAAGAAAGCTCCAGATGCGTGAAGTCAACACAAAACAACACAAAAAAACAAACAAGAAAAATTAATAAATTTGAACTACTTTCTTTTCTTGTTATGATGACTGGTTCTTTGATTCTTGTCCTGTAGAAGTTAATAGGTAGTACCAATGCTGTTTTGTACGATCTCAACAAATTTTCACACTCTCTCTAAGGCTATTTTTACACGGGACGAGTTTGCTTCTATCAAGTATCTTGCAAACCATGCCAGTGAAGCCAAGACCTCTGCGATCGGTCCGGAATCAGTTCGAACACCCCAATGATTCCTTGCAATGATTAATGCTCTTATTCTCTTACATGACATGTTTTCTTTGAAATATTAAATGTGAAACCTAGACGAGTACTGTAAGTTCATCTTTAATTCTGTCCGACTCCGTCCGTTGTTTTGAAAATTTTTGATCACTGGGGCGATGTTTTGATTTGTTTGTTGATAAACGCAAGCGCGCCTTCTCATTGGTTAATAAGTGGCGCGTGACCAGTTGGCCCTGTCCTTAAATTTAGGGATATTCCGGACTGGTACTTACCGCTTTAGGTTCCAGCCTCGCCTCGGAAAACGAGAAGACCCTGGGGACAAGGTTACCGCGGTACCCCTTTTTGCACAGCGGTGGACTCAATTAATTGATGCGCATTTCTTCATGCGCGGGAATTTGAAACTGCCCGAAACTGCCAAGAAACACTTGAAGGAAAATATATTCTCTGTTTTGTGGTGATTTCCTCGAGTTCTGTGGCCTTTGGAAGCCCTTATACACTGTCTGGATATGTCTTTGGACGTTACGGCGTGTTTAAAGGCTCTTTCAAGTGCATTTTGTCAATATAGGAGCCATACAACGGAGCAAAATACCAAGGATCTTGAACGACAAATCGATGTAAGTGGCTTCTGGTATAAGCTTTTTGTTATTAATTCTTTGAACTTTTGAATTCGATGAACGTATCGAAAAAAACTCTTTCAAAAGAGTGTCGAATATGTGATCCTTTCTCGTGACGTATTTCGTGTTATTATGGTAGTAATTTCAGATAATAACAACAGTATGTCAATCAAACAAATCACCTGTGAACTAGTAAATTCGAAGGGCAGGGGATTACATGTGTCTAAATTTAGTCACTGTTTGCCAGAATGCCTTAAAAGCGTACAGTTTTATTAAATGTTGTAAATCTTTATCAGAAAAATTGTGCGTTTCGAAAGTTTATTGATTTGTGATATAATGAATTTTTGGCATAGGACATGCCATAGCAAGTTAAGTTTGTAAGTTACTTATTACATACATTATATTGATAATGTTCATTAGTAAAATCCAACTAGTGGTCTATTATCAATGCTGCGCTCTGATTGGTTGGGCTACTACTAGGCTATATGTTATAGCCCACTAGTAGCGAAAAGTGTTTGAGTTTTTGCTGCTTGCAAAAAAGGATTAAAGTCTTGCTTTAAGTTGTTTTGTCTTGATATTTTTGACCAACTAGTTGGATTTTACTAAAACAATTATTCCTCTTGCCCTCATGGCCTCTGAGTCAATAGCCCATTCGGCCTTCGGCCTCATCGGCTATTGAATCAGAGCCCATTCGCGCTCGAGGAGTAATTGTTAATTAACCAACTAGATAGGCTACAGACTTATGTGGTTGTAGGTGTACATGTAGCACAGGGTGCAAAGGAAGTCAGTTTACAGCCTCGCCATTAAGGCAAGCCGTAGTTAGCATGTACTTTATAGCCCAAGAGTCATTTTAACTAGCCCCCCCCCCAAAAAAAAAAAAAAAAAAATGAGCAGGATTGATTACAGTTCTTCAGACTCTGTAATTTGTATTCCCCAAAAACTTCACTTGCCTATTGGGCAAGTTAAGAACAGAATTCACAAGCCTGATAGCAAAATCTACTAGCCCCAGCCTATCGAACACGACTTTCTTTGCTCGCTGGTAGCATTTTTTTTTATGTGCACGTATGATCTTTTAAAATGGAGATATTTTTATTTCTTTTAATGGGGGAGAGTTATCTTTTTTAGGTTTTGATTGGCATTACTTCATCAGGGAAACCTTTGCGTGGATTTACACCTAAAGAGCTTCTTCCAGCAGAATGTCTTTCCTCCCTTGTGGGCATGCTTAATGAGAGTAACGTGAAACAAAGTCTGCATACAAAGGCAATGGTTCTACTCTTTAATCTTGGTGAGCTGATATTTATTTGGAAAAACGTCTATTGTTTCCTACAGGAGAATAATCTTACCATAATCCTTTAAAGTGCTGGTATGCCATTCTGTTATCACTGTGACAGCCTCATTGATTTTGGTGTGGCTAGTTGGTCTGGCCCCAGTTGTTCAAAAGATGGATAATGTGGATAAGTATTAGGAAAACCAATTGCGCTATCCAGTGGATAGAGATTTTTCCGATGGATAGCGCTATCCACCTTTTGAACAACTGGGGCCTGGTTTTGAAGTCTATCTCTTCCTGACCGTGAGTCAGTTTATTAAGTTATCGAATGGTCCAGCATTTGCCACTGACTCTCTTACATTTGTATTAAACTATTTTTAGCTAATGATGCAGAAACAAGAGAGGTTCTTCACACTACATATCATTTGACATCCACCCTTGCAGCCATACTTCACAGACATCATCTTGCATCAAATGAAAAAATGATATTTCAGGTATGTTATACAATGAATACATTAATAGGTGCTTTGTACTGGTTGCAGTAAATAGTATGTGGTTCAGATAGTAGCTCATGGTCAGTTATTTAAATGTGTAATTTAGGTAAGACAAAGATAGTACTTTGACTGGTCAGGGCTTGAAAAATGCTTGAATTTCAGCTTGTACATTCACAAGCTGCTCTCACATTTTGCATGCCCAGGGCCATTGCTAATGCTTGCTTGTCTTAACTGATGATTTTGTTACCAGGTGACTTGCCTGGATTATTGCTTATTGGAAAAGTGAGGCTAAAGGTTTACTTGCGCAGCAAGAATATCCACTTATCCTGGAGGACCAGATAGAACTTTTTTTAAACCCTGCTTGAATTGAAATTGTACTCCCATTATACTAAAAATAATTCTTTGCTAGTAGTTAAAATTTAATGTATTAAACTAGTCAGTGATATCGGCACATGTATATGTAATCTTGTATCATCTTTTCTTTTCTCTTTTTCTTCCTTTGTTATTTTTGTGGTCACTTCTATGTAAATGTTTTGGAACTGTTGTCAGTAATAATAAGCATTAATAAAGAAAACTAAAAATAATATTTTATAAAGTATTATTCCTTATTTGTTACCAATAGTGTCTGAAACTTCTTGAGAGAGTGACATATGGCTGTAAGATTACAACTCCCAGTGGATACATTGAAGAGTTGATCAGATATTTAGTAACAAACATGTGAGTATTGGTCCTTAGTACAAATGTCACTGTGGCTGAACTGAGCACTTTTCAGCCCAGTGAGAAGAAGTAGTATTATTTTTTGTTTTTAAGTCCTACCATAAGAGCCAAAAATTTCTTTCTAAAATGCAAGGGTATACATGTACAATAATGTCATTGAGAACAATATTTAAGTGTCGAGTTACAAGTGTCGAGTTACAAGTGGGAAAAGTGCTACCAATGATATTTTACTTTTGGTTTCATAGTAGCATTTCAGTCAATCAATCAATAACTCAATCAATGAGTCATTCAATCATTCACTTTCATCAATTAATAATTGTTCAATCAATACCTTTGGTCATATTTATCAGTCCAATATTTTTATTGTTGGGGACACTTTTATCCAACAGGTTCAAAGTTACAGTAAATATTGATGAACTGTAGTCCAGGCCCTGGTTGTTCAAACATTGGATAGTGCTATCTACCCGATAAATCACTATCCAGTGGATTCGTATTAGGAAAACCATTTTGTTATCCACTGAATAGGGATTTATCCGGTAGATAGCGCTATCCAATGTTTGAACAACCGGGGCCTATATTGTACATGACAATTTCCCTATAATAAAGTCCAAGCACAGATCTAAAGAAAATGACCATTTTCCAAATACTGTAGTTTGTGAGCCAAAGATGTATACCTCTAGGAGTTTATGACCATGTATGCTAGGATAATAATAATAATAATAATAATAATAATAATAATGATAATTTACATTTATATAGCGCAAACCTCCTCAGATACTCTGAATTCAAACAGTTTTGACTTCTTTTCTTCCAACCACAGACAGTTGCCTGAATCAGATTTAACTGTACCATGCCTCGGCCTTTTGACAAACCTCTGTCGACATAATTTACCAATACAGGCACACATCAAGGCTCTGGTAAGTGCTTAGTTGCAGAATTGTGCAGGATGCAGAGAGAGTTGGTTTTACAGCTTGGCTTTTGGGCAAGCTGTATCTAGCATGTACTAGCCCAGGAGTCATTTATCTAGCCCACAATTCTTTTTTTTTCGATATTAAAAGCAGGATTGATTAAAGTTCTTTTTTAATTTGAATCCCCCAAAAAACTTCACTTGCCCGTCAGGCAACTTAAGAACAGAATCCACTAGTTTGGTAGCAAAATGTACTAGCTAGCTCCAGGCTATCGGACACATCTAATCTTTGCATGCTGTTTTGATGCATCTAATTAATTCCTTCTCTCCTATTCATCCGTTAGTCAGTTTAAGAATTTAGTAAAAAGAGAACTACATGTACATTTACATGTAGCTTTATACTTTTGTTTCTTTTCATCAAACTTGTGAGTGAATTATTTTTCTTATTTTCAGTTCTGAAAAGTACTACTACTTTGCTTATAATAGTTGGTTTTTTAATTACTACTAGTTAAATCCTGTTGTTACTCGTAGTTCTTACTATTTAACTGCATTCCAAAGTGTATCAACATCTATAACTTTATGTGTTTAAACAACAGCCATTGCAGTCTGAGCCCAAATTAGAGCTTTGGATTTGAAAAGACCTAAATTAGAGTATAATGACAATAATATTTTGCTATCATTGTTATTTTCATTATCATTACTATCATTTTAATTTTTTTTAACCACAGTTATACCTTATCTCACTAGTACTGTATTTATAAATATCATAATTTATTGTTATTAGCTTTCTCATGACTGGTCACCTTCTTTATATTGCAGGAGAACATCAAATCACTATATCGGATGTTGATAGCCTTTCTTTCTCACAGTAACCTCACAGTGATTGTTTTTTCATTGTCTATTTTGACAAGCCTCTCACTCCATGAACAGCTAGGAGAGAAGGTATTGCACATCAATTCATTGGTTACTCAGTAACTTGGTTTGTTATACAATTTAGAGAGTTATTTTCTAGAACTAATGAAATATTTCTCACAGCGGCAAGTTTATAATTTTGTCGGAATTTGCGACACATGTGACTCCCACGAGAATCTCAGGCGAGGTGGTTTGTATCGGGTTTGGTTGGTGTCCACCATGACATCATCCAGAGGCACATAAAGGTGCTTTGTGGGTTTTCTAGGCTACCGATTTTGGGGCCTCGCTCGTGAATCCCACAAGGCTTGCTTAGCAAAGTGATGTGTGATTTGCTTTGGTCATATTTCTAAGGGTTTGGTTTTTTCAGTCGCCATTTTATGAGTCGATAAGTGCTTTTTTGCAATGAATTTGGAAGGCAAAAGTACTTTTAAGAGAAAATGGAAGTAATTTGGGTCATTAGCCTTATTAATAAAGATAATTATGAGCGAAGATCGAAATCACATGTTTTGTGTCCCACTTTGTAGAGGAGTTTATACCATATCAGCTTAGTTGGGCATCTGTTCTTTAAATGTGATGAAATGGGTTTAAGTTGTTTTTTTTATCACACAGTTCGTCGTATGTCCCCATGTGGCATAGTGGCAACGAAATGGCCCAGCCTGTAGGAGGTCTTGGGTTGAATTCTGGGCAGAAATTAGTTTTCTTTCTCTCTTCTTTTCTTGTTTTTCCTTTTCATGTAGTAGTTTTTTAGTTATTGTAGTTTGTTTTGCTTCTTTATTATAGCATAAGTTTTTTTTAAATTTATTAATTTTCTTCCCTATTGCCTTGTTTCCCTTTCTTCCTACTTTTCGCTGTTTCCCTGAAATTGCTTCGTCAGGTCACAGACTGTGATCTAAGTATTTCTAGTATAAGTTTTCTGTTTTGAAGAAGTTTAATAACCCATTAGAATAAATTTGAATGTTCAAACACGTGATTGCAATACTGCAAAGAAAAATATGTAAAGTCATGTGTCATCTGAAATGTTTCAAGACTTTGCTCTAAGAAAAAATGAAAGAGAGTCCAGTTTGAGCCTCATGTGTAATCCAGGGTCACAGGGTTTGCAGTATAAGATTTCTGTATCAAAGAAGCTAAGATTTCCTACTCACTCATGAGCAACAGTAAGGTACCAGGGGCTACCAGGCCCTACTAGAACATAGCCCTCTGTTTTTTCTTTTCCAAGTTCCCCAATCTTGATTGGTTTTGTGCTCTGACAGCAGCCAGTGGCCTCTGACAACTTTATTACTTTTACGTATTATACAATGCAGGGAACGAAGAAATGCCACTTTTTTAAACAGAAACCTTAATGCTAGATTCCTTGGATTTTTTAAGTTTAGAGCTTTTGGGATCTGTTTATTGTTTTTCCATAAGCATAGCAACATTTTGTTTTTTAGAAAAATTACATTATTCACATACTGTTGATTTTTGTTTGGGAAATCCAGATAAGGTTTTTAATTTCTCTGTCGAACTCCAAACCCAAAGCACTTGAGTTTCACCAAATAAAATTCCTTCTGTAATGTGGATTTCAGTTAGCTTAGCAGAAACTCCCTTAATGTTTATCAGACTTGTGCACCTGGTACATGTTCACTTGAACAAACACAACAATGCATTTTCATTTTTTCTTGCTTGACTATACTGATAGCATTGTTGTTTCCTTTGACCAGCTTTTCAATGCAAAGAATATCCATCAGACCTTTCAACTTGTGTTCACCTTTCTAATTAATGGAGAGGGTCCCACTACAAGGCGCTCTTCAGTGGACTTGTTTGTTGACTTACTCGCTAGTCCCAAAATTCAACAGTCTCTCCTAATGTAAGTATCCTTAAAGGTGATGTTACATGGAACAATTTGAAACAATTTTTTGGGCAACACAGTGTAGCAATGTTGGAACAATGTTGCAACCATTTGAAACATGTCACAACAATGTTGAAATGATGTGTTGTGTTAAAAATCGTGGTTGCAAGTCGTCCCATGTACCATCACCTTAACACGGGGCTGTCACTGGGGGGGCGGTGCCAGGGGATTCCCTCAGCTACTATGAGCATGACCCCTGCCTACTTTCATAAGGAAAAAATAGAACAAGTCCAATTCCCTGGGTACTAAATAAATAAAATATACTCAGAAACCTGCAAGCTTAGCAACAGCCCTGTTAACAACTTAAAACATGAAAGTATTTTTTAATGCCCTGTTTTCTTTCTTAGAGAAAGTCAAGTAAACTTAAGCTCCTGGCAAAGTCAGTGAAAATGAAGAAATTATTTATTTTCTACAGATTTAGGTTGTCACAAGGTTTCATTGAGAACATTTACATTTTACAGAAGGTCATTTAAGAATACAAATTAGCAAAAATTGTTTAACACAATGCTTTGATGACATCATTATCAAGTGATAAGATAGAAAAAGTGACATCTGTCTTACATGTAATAATACAGTTGGAAGTGACAAAATTTTACTAGAGAACATAAGTAACATGTTTTGAAGTCAGATTTTAAATTTCTTTATCTTTGTTATCTCTTGATAATGATGTCATTGTGACATCAAAGCGCTTTCGGTAATTTTCATTCTTTAAGATTGGGATTGTTTTTTTCTCCTTTCAGACATGAACATTTGCCATTTTATTTGGAGCAGATTCTGGCGTTACTTCAATTAAATGAAGCTGAAGAAGCTGCCAAGGTGAACTTCTGTCTCCTTCCTGGTGTATAAATGGGTAGTCGGTACTGGTAACATAATAGGGACCTTAACCCTTTAAACCCTAATATCAAAACTGAGATTCTCATTTACTGTCCCTATACAATTGAATAGAAGTGTTGGGGAGAATTTGGTGAAATATCAAATAGACTCATCTTCCCTGATCATGTACTCAATTCTCACAACCACTATGTTTTCTAAAGCATTGATATCATGAGGAGAAATTTCATGCTGATCACTCTTAGGGCTTAAAGGGTTAAGATGCAAGGATGGTGACAGTGGGGAAAGCAATGCTTGAAAATTGAATTTGCTTTTTTTTCAATCTTGATCACGATTATTCCCACTACTACTTTGTCAAATGTACATGTAGGCAAACTCTCCTAGAGTTGAATTCCCAAGAACCATATCCAAGTTCAGAAGGTGAACATTACTTGTTTATGTCCTCCATAAAATGTGAAATTAGGCATTTTTACTTGGTAGGTGTGCAGTGGTGGCAAAAAAAGTACAGAAAGTGTTATCCACATACAAAGTTCAAAGTTGTTGTTTTGCTTGTTATACCTATTCCTTTTTGGTCGTTCTGGTTGTTGTCACTCCCCTCGGATCTTAGGGTCCCTTTTTAACTGCTGGGGTTTTTTATAACCCTGTGTAGACGAGCATCACATCCAGGGGGGAGTGCCAATACCCCTAGGTGCTTCAGCTATTAAAACTGGGTCAAGCTGTGGCTGCCCAAATCTTCTTGGCTTGTACATTCCTTAAACTTTCATGCATTTTTTTCTTCAGGTGTTTGAGTTGCTTTTGACATTCTGTTCTGTGACTGGTTTGAGAAATCTTGTTTGCAAAGCTTTGTTCTCAACTGTGAGCTCTAGACCAAAGGACCCAAAGATAAACAGTGCATATGATGTTGTTTTATACTGGGCCAGTCAGTCAGTTGACATTCATTCAACTGTGTCACTCAAGGCTCTTGATTTTATCAAGGAAATATATGAGGTGAGAATGAGATTTCATCTCCCATAACTCAAATAACAGGCTTACATGTACCCTTAAAAACGGCATGGAGTTCATTGTCTTCATGTAATACCCAGACCTTAAGGGGACAGCAGCAATAATTTATTATGATAACTGTGGAGAAAACCTTCATTGTCCTTATTCGGATGTTAATTGGTTAATTTTTTTGGAATTGACTTCTAAAGGGCTGTATTTAAGTTTTTAAAAATTATCTAAAAAATCGTTGCTTTGAGTTCATTTCCTCTTCAAAATGTGAAATAAAACAATTCACATCCTCTTTGTACAACAACAGCAGAGAAATGTACAAGCAAGTGTGGTGCAGGTACGGAGTTGTTGTCTTTGCTAATTTTAACCCATTGTTTGCTGTTCTCATTGCTGTTGTTGTCGTTGCTTGTGATCCCTACATGTAGTTAGGAGTGTTTTAAGGAAGTGAGGTGCAGCATATATATATTTTCTGGTTTTATTTGTTTGTTTTCCAGGAACTTGTTGATGGTGGCCTTCTTGAACAATTATCACCACGGACATCATATCTAATCCCTGTGCTGACACAACTGCTGATACCACCTACAGAAATTGATGGCACTATACTGAAACAGAAATGTGCACAGATCAACAAGGCCTTGGAAGTTCTTAGTGATATCCTTTTAAGTTAGAATAGGGGCATACTGTAAGCCTGTACAGTGCAGCTATGTAACAAAAGTGCTTTCATGACAAAACAGCTTATAGCTTATTTAGGTTCAGGATAGCATGCTGTAACAATGAGTTGCACCACAGGAAAGCAGCATTTGCTGGGCTAAAGTAAATGTTAGTGAAAAAGGGTGCTGGTAGGCCTGCGTGAGACCGCTCCGGGCCATCAAACTTCACTAACAGCTTGTGCGAAGGTCAAGTGATTTTTTTAATCTTCATCTTGCCCTGTTTGTAAACTTTAAAAAGGAGTATTTGATGATAAGCATCACAAGTGTCTAAACATGGTATAAAACGGAAGAAATCAACAGAAAAAAAGACCTGGTATCGTTTATCACAATCAGCTCACCACAGTTTTATTAAAAGCTGTTATTGTTTTGAAATGACATCAGATGGTTCATTCAGCAAGTGGATGTTCAATGTTCAGAAAGTATTTTCAAAGTAACATGCATTCCAGAAGAGGCATAAATGATCCCTGATGAAGGGAGTGAGTTTCAGTTTCCGAGAATTTGCTTTAACTATGTGTTGACAAATGCCACAACGAACTTCAGCTTGCTAGGGGTGGAGAGGTTACGTTTATGCCAGAGCTGTCATTAAGTTTTTAAGCAGCCGTAGCAAATGAAGACTCAGCATAACATCTCACAGCAAAATTTATATTGTCATCGTTATAAACTGTTCGGCTTTGAGCACCACAAAATAATTAGCTCAGCCGTAACGGGTGTTACGGGTTACCGCCCTTAATGACAGCCCTGTTAAAACTTATTATCGAGAACTGTGTCTATGTAACGGAGCACTGTATGAAAATTCTAATCTTTATGTTCTGTCCTTGACTTTTGCGACTTCTGTGTTTTGAGGATTCGCTTAAAAGTGTTGTATTAGGACAGCTGAATCTTGATTACTGGTGGAAGTTGCTGGAATATCAGTACCAACACAACAGTGTTGGAACACGCAGTTCTGTTGCAGTGTCTTGGAGGTAAGGGGTTAGTGTAAAAGAGCAGTGTTTTAAACTACACAATTATGAATTTGGAATCAGATTCAGTAAATTTTCATGAGCCGCGTGAATCTCTCTGTCAGCGAAAGTCCACATGACTTGTTGTACATATAAAATTATCTGTGTAAATGACGACCTTTTGAAACATTATTTCGTTTGCAGCCAATCCTTAGATATTTTCTGTATTAATTATGACTTGTGCAGAATTGGCTCCTCTGCTCGACTTCAACGTGCTCTCTGATAAGAAGTTCAAGTCCCGAGTATTACAGTGTTTTTGTAAATAACCATGTGTAATTGTCTTTTTGGCTTTAGCTTGGAAGGCGTAAACGTCGTGCTTCAAATGTTGGACTTGCTCTGTAAATTGAAAAATGACGTCATGGGACTGCAGGTCTGTAGCTTTGAGCTCCCTTTACCACCATTGAACTTTGCCAAAGAGAAAATGACAAAGAAAATATCAATATCATCGAACGTTTAATGCAGACCAATTATCAGAGCCTTTTTGTTTTTGCCTTGTTTACAGGAGCAGCTTGCTGCCGCATTGCAAGACCAGCGGTTGGTCCCCTTCTTGGCACGCTCGTTGAGTAGTGACTCACGTGACAGCGTCCAAAAGGCTCTTCGCATTCTGAGTGAGGCTACCAACTTACCTGACTTTCAGGCCATTTGGTAAGGCCCTACATCTAGTAATATTAATCCAAGTGAGACATATATATTAGCAGATACGGAAGCGAATACGGTCATTTCAGATACAGGGTTTTACTCAAACTACAGACAGTAACAGTTTTAGCAAAAGAGCGAACACAATTGAAATGATTAAACTTCTTTATTTTACCCTCATAATAAGCTTTATAACGAATTCATCCATTAGAAAGAGCCCTGAATATAGGGTTATGTCATTCATAAGTAAATTAAATATGATCGGCCGTGCCGCCAACAGTTCTGTTAGTGCTATTACACACTTACCAAGACAGTCATATTCACTGTGTGATCAACACGTACGTATTGTTGTACAATGGGAATTTTTTCCCCACCAGCACGTAATCTTATGCAGACATCTGACAATAAAACTGTTTCCCGCCGAAAGTTGTTCGGGCAACATTGCGAAAGCTATGACCTCAGGGAGATTTAGGATCATTCATTACCGTCCTCTGAGATTTACCCTCATGAATTTGTATTGTTTGCAGGTTAGGAGACTTGATTGCATCCAACAACGCAGCTCGCGAGGAAGAGATGTCACTCCTTAGAAGACCCAATGATACAGAACTCAGTCCCCCGTCCTCACCTCGGCACCAGGTCTCCTTAGCCAACACCAAGAACTCGACCAGTGTACGCCCAGTCGGCGTGAACAATGTTTCAATGAAAAGCAAAATTCTCCCCAATAACTCACAGTATGATTCAAACATCGAGTCCTTGATCGAGAAGATGAAGTCCGGTTTGGAGGTGCAGATTGTTTCTTTCTGACTGATTTTTCTGTGACATTGTACGAAAGGGGAAGTTTGTAGAAAAATGTCGACCACTTTGAGAGATTGAGGGTTTAGATTTAGACTGCAAAACAGTTTGTATTTTAGCGTATTCAAGAACGCGCGAGCAGTCAAACAAAAGATCTGGAACGAGGCTTAAAACAGAGAGGCGGGTGAGGCTCGCGCGCTTCGTGCGCGTAAGACTCTTACGCCACGCTTTACCGATTTCTTTACTCATTTTGAGAAAAAAAAACGACTGTTTTGCGTCTAGTTTAGATTGGGTTCCGTCACTGGCTCTCATCTTTGTGCGGGCCATACGGAGGGAAAATATAAACTGATTTAAGTACTTTCCTGAAGCCGTGATATTTCACAGAAACAAAGCCGGAATTGAGATAAGTGTTGGGCTTTAAGGTGAGTAGTAAACGGGACTATCCAAAAAAAAAAAATTTCGTAACGAGGAAGGAAACAAACAACACTTATGGGAGGTTATTTTAAATCGAAATGAAGATGTGACCGTCGCAGTTTTAATGGCAATTTAGGAAATTGCAAATAATAAGTAGGGAAAAAATGGATCATTTTACGTTTCTGGGAAACTGCCCACCTACCCCTCCCCTAAACCAACATTAACACTTAGCTCTTACTCAGGGCAAAATATTGCCTCAGGGGAGGGGTAGGTGGGCAGTTTCACAGAAACGTAAAATGATCCGAAAAATTTCCGAGATTCAACGGGATTCGAAACCATAGCCTCTGTGTTAGCGCTCTAGTGCTCTACCAATTCTGCCAAAAGGACTCTGATAAATTGTATTTCGCGCTGCCTTTTTTTCTTTAGATAAAACCAGATCCACACGCTTCAGAAATTATGGATATTTACGAAGCTAAAATGGCTGCTTTAGTGGTAAGTGTTTCAACCTCTGTTAACTTCTCCTCTCTTTGATTACTTTTCTGGTAGAAATGTGTCGCAGTGTCGCAAGTATATTAACGGCGCTATTGCTTTCAACAGACAAAAGAAAGTCATCTTCAGGATCTTTTGGAAGCAAAAGCTCTTGCGTTAGCTCAGGCGGATCGTCTTATCTCGCAATACAGATGTCGGAGAGCGCAATCAGAAGCAGAGGTATGATGATATTATTAGTATACAGTAAGACGCAGAGAACGACCAATCAGAAATAATGAATAGTATGAATGGGATCTATATTAACCAATATCCCTAGTGCAAACAACAGTACCACTCCATTTACGTCAGAGTAGAACAGAATCCTAATAATTATACTGCATGCATACTGCTTAAAAAACACAATAGTATCGGGTGAGACCTTCACTCATTCTATTAATAGTCTCTCGGTAGAACGTTACCTTCCATGGTAGTTTCCTGTGTTAACAGTCTTAAAATTGTGTTTTTTTTTCAGTGTGCGAAATTGATGCAGCTCTTGCAGACGACGGAAAAGAAAGCAGAGAACCAAGCTCAACAGGTGCCATTTCCCTTATCAAAAGTGAAATAATTCTTTCAAAAGTTTAATTAAAAACACACTTGAAAGAAAGGTATCCAGCTTTACACCCGGCGAGCTGGAGTTTTTCCTGGCCGTACGCTACGCTACGATGGGACAGAAACCACTGCAAGCAACCGTTTCCTTTTTTGATCAAGCCGCCGTCCAGCGCAGTGGACGAATAAATTAACTCAAAAACAAGTTAAGCCCCGTGCAAACGGGCGCAACATTGTTGTCTAACAACTCCCAACATTGTTGGATGTTGTTGCGTCCCTTTGCACATAGCTTAACGCTTACAACTGCTGCCTTAAGGTGGATTTCCACTTTCGCGTACTTTTTCTGTGCGTACGCGCGTAGATAAAATAGAGGCAACGTGTGGAAGGTCACTCGTAAACGTAAAGTTGAACCTTGCTTGACTTTCACATTTACGAATGGCTTTTCTTGCATTGCCTCTGTTTCATTTACGCGCGTAAATTTTTCGTGCGTTCGCACGGAAAAATTACGCAACAGTGGAAATCAACCTAGGTTGATTTTCACTCGCGTAAAATTTACGTGCGCATGCACGTAAAAATTGAGCGATAGTTAAATTCGCCTTTACGTTTTCTATAAACGCGAAATTAGGCGTTTTCAAGTCGTAGTTATTCTGAGACAAAGAAGTTTAGATGACAAAATCTCCCAAAATTAGTAATGTTTTTAATCCTGGCCGTCAGCTAAATGCTGCGTCACACAGAAGCCTGGAAATTCAAGTGTCCTCTCTCGCAAAACGAAGAAACCTTTCGAACCAAAAAATTATTTATATAAAGGTGTTTAGGTACTGTAATACCTCGTGAAAGTAGAAACTCAGAAGAATCGATAGTTTCTTAGTTTGATGTTTGGTAACGTAACGTGCAAACCAATAATATAGTCTAGAAAAGACTCTATATGATGTTCAATGCCGATTCCAAGTGCAATATTTTTTTACCCCTACAGATCAATGAACTGCTTGAAGCTCAAAAGGCAGCAACTAAAGAGGTTAGAATTTTCTGTGTTTTAGAGTAGTTTTCCACTTGAGAAATGACGACCTAAACCATGATGTTTATTTACTTAAGTGTTAATGGTCTTTTTGTAGATGGAAATTATGTTAAGGCACAATGAAAACCTGAAAGTTGTCGAAGAGGAGCATGAGCAGCTCAAGATTGCATTTGCGGAGCAGTCACAAAGGTACCTATATTCGGAAGTTAGGTAAAGGAGTTGGGGAGAGCAAAAGAATTCCGTCAGGGAGGTGACAAAAACGTAGGTTTTGAAGCTTGCGGAGCTCACATCGCTTAAGCTCTGACAGAACTAACAGTTTAAAGTGAAAGTAAAAGCAGGAACTTGTTAAGAGAGTATTACGCACCTTGATTTCTATTAAGGGCATTTACATTTGTTATACGCTTTGTGATTCATATTGATGAACAGTGACTCACTCTCTTCTTCTGCATACAAACTTACACCAGAACTTACTATCTCTCTTTTTCAAACACCCTCTTATTCTTTTACCACTATACGTTTTTTTATCAGTCGCTGAGAAGCTTGACTTTCGCCCTCTGTTCTCTTTTCAGACTGGAAACTAGTCAGCGGAGTCTTATGGCGGCTCAAGACGAGCACAAGGCACTGTCGGACTTGAATGACATGTTAAGGCGGCACAACGATAACCTGAAAAGCCAACATGATTGGTAGTGTATCTTTATCCTTGACTAATGAATCTTATAAGGATGTGATGCAAATCAATTGTCGCTATTGAGAGGGAAGATCGCGCAGAAAAGAAAAACAGCAATATGCACTGAGCGCTGTTATTAACTTGGTGGAGCCTTTTTATGCGAGAAGTAGTATAGTAGGGATGTTTTAGACCCATTTTTGGGCAGGAATCTCATTAAAGAGGGCAGGAAGACATTGACGTCGATGATGTCATTGGCCACTTTGAGGTTGCGCTGAGGAGCGGGTCAAGACGGTTTGAAAGTGCATTGTGGGACTGTTTGGCGGACGCATTTTTCGACCCCAAAACAGTCCCACAATGCACTTTGACAACCATCTCGACCCGATCTCCAGCGCAGCCTCAAAGTGGCAAATAGCCCCTTGTCTCTATCTCATGAATAAAATGCAGAGGAATATCATTAAGAAAAGGAGATGGGCTATTTTTAGGTGGGTTAGCCCGTTAAACAGGTTTTCTAGTTATTTCTAGCTCGATAATTGTCTTGCTTTTTAGAGGCACTCAATCACGAATTGTTAAATCGACGTTAAGGAATATTTGTCATTTATTTGGTTTATATGGGCAAATCGACGAACCGACGATTTGTTGTTGCGCTTGAAATAGTGTTATTCAGGACCTAGTTGTTCAAAAGGAGGATAACGCAACTGGTTTCACAAACAGTTATTCACCGGATAGAGATTTATCCGCTGGATAGCGCTATCCAACGTTTGAACAACCGGGGTCAGCCCTTTAGGGAGTTAAATTTTTTTCTATAGTACAACCAAACAACTTCACGAACTCGAAACAGAGAGGAAAAAGGTTGTTCAGCAACTAAAGGAAAAGGACACCAAATGTCAAGGTACTGTTCTTGCGTTTTACTTTTCAAGCATTCATTGTTCAGCATGTATAGGGCAGGCTGAAACATTAGACGTTCATCAACAAGATGCCATCACTCTTACAGTTCGCTGACTCAAAAAACTTTGTTTGACTGTGATTTTGTAGAAATGAGTACCAGCGATATATTGCTGGGGGTAACTGTTGTTACAATATTAACTCCGTGTCCACTTTGGAGTGATTTTTTCGAAAATGTCAGGTCACGTCACACGTCATATTACATAAATGAAGTACCTTACAGAAACCACTTGGAGAATTGCTGGGGCATTGAAATTCTTGATGGCGAATGTACGTCATGAGCATAAAACATATTGTTATAACTAAAATTCCTGTGTAAACTTAGGAATTGGTACGATTGTTATTTCCTTTTCGCTGTTACCCTTAGAGCTCCGGAAAACGCTTCAGAAACAAGAGGAAGAAACCAAACAACGTGAAAAGAACATAGATGATCTACAGAATACAAACGAATCCCTTAATCGTGATCTAGCTAAAACAGATAAAGAGAGAAAGGAATTAGCACACAAGGTTAGTGTGGATGTTCTTTGTGCTTCAGGAACCATGGCTAAGGGTGTGAGAATGATTGCCAGTCGATACCCGGCTTAGCAAAGGAACTTTGTCGGGTGATAAAATGTTGGCTATAAACTATAAAAGAGAAATACTCTTTTCTAAACGACGCACTATTTTAACAAAGTATTCTCGAAATTTTTCTTAAGTTATCTTATCGGGAGGAAAGAAGTGCCCAAAAAATGACTGTTAAATGGCCTTACTTTCCTTCTTTTTTATCAGCATTTTGCAACTAATGCTTTTTTGCGCGACAAAGTGTATTCAATAAGGTGTATTTTTAGTTTGGGTACTTACCCATTTCGTACCCTTTTTGCCCTCTATACGTTGTACACTCTTGTTTTTACTGAGCTTTACGAACTCTGCTTCTTTTTATATACTGATTTGATGCAGTCAAAATTTACAGCGAGGGTTGTCCTTTTATAGACTTAAATACAAATGAATAATTCATGAATATAATCCAGGGAAATCTTTATTGTGAAGGAAAGTAGTTTTTGTTACTTATTTTATTAACAATTATGAGCAATTCTGATAAAAGGCATTTTAGCCGATGTCTTGTAACGGCGATAGCGGTCTTAACCCACGCTTACTCGATTACTCCTAAGAGACCTCAAGATTCGACGAAGGCGACGGCAACGATAACATTCGAGAACATCAAAAAAGCAATAATAGGTTTATTGAGTAAAAAATACCTTTTACACGTCTTGCAATTGCACCTGTAGCACACTCGTTTGGTACATTTCTTGGCGTCACCGCACGACTACGTAGTAAAAATGCCTAACTTCAACTTTTATGGGGGACTTAAACTAGCGAAGACGAAATTTTCTTTCTCTTTCTGAAATTGGATAAGGTTCTTAACAATTAAACTCTATGAAATTTCACCTACTTTTGACAAAGAAAGTGAGTTGGAATAATCGCAATGAAGGTTGAAAGAAAATACGACATTCACTTTTTTAGCTGTCACCGCCGTGTTCCGATCTTAAGGTCCCTATTACGTAAGGCGTACCGTAAACCCGCTTCTTAAAACCGCCTACTTTCTTCTCTTCTATCTTCAGTTGTCATCGTTGGAACTTGTGTGTCAACAGAACGAGGACGTGATAAAGAAACGAGAAGTAGCAATCAAGGAACTGCAGTCTGAACTTGACCGACAGGCTCAAATCGCTGCAATGATCCACAATCTAAGCAGTGGAAAAGTACCGATCACTAATTTTGCCGGCAAATCCAGCTGACCCTGGTTTAATATGCTTTCTGTTTCTTTCTTTCTTTCCCCTGTTCCTCCCCTGTCGTCTTTCTCTTTATTCTGCTTCTTTTCCTCCTCGTCCTTGTCCTCGTCCTCCTCAGCACCATCGTCATTCTGCTTCTTTTTTATACGAGGAAAAATAAGACGCGTCCTCGTCCGCGTCCTAAATAAGACGCGAGCAAACCATCGTCATCGCCGTTACCCGTCATCATCATCATCTTATTTTTCCTCGTATAAATGACATCATCCTGGGAAGGAAGTTAAGCGATGAATGTCCGCTGCAGATCTTCTCTTTTATTGTCCCTTTTTGCAGCCAAAATTATCTTTCAGTGCTACGCTTTCTTTCAGTTTTTCTCACTAAACAGGTCAACGACCGAACAATAAGACTCTTTTCTAAGAAAAATTAGGTATTTTTTTGCTCATCTGACTTCAGATCTTCCACAGAAGGCAACGGTCTGTTTTTTGGAGGGACTGTTGGTGGCACGTCCATGAAACAACTTTTTATATTAAATTCCAGTCTGATTAGAAAAATAGTAGACTCCTTGTAAATACCGTAGTAATTTATTTTTACTGTGACCTTTTGTGATTGAAAAAAAAATAATGCAAAGATTTCACAATGCTATAATTAAATTTACTCATCGATACCATTATTGTAGTACTGAGTACATTGTTGAGGCGCTCAGTGTAGTAAACCTTGGTGCACAGTTTTTAATGAAAATCCTTTGTATATAAAGACAAATAAATGTCAATGACGGAAAGTATTCTGCTGTATTACTTTTGGCTTTGGGTCGTGGGATGCAACCATTTGAGTGGTCATGACATCGACAGGATAACATCTTTGACGCATATTTTAATTGCATAATGTTGTCTCAATTAATAAGGTAAGATTTTTTTGTACTTGAGTGATAGTAAGATCAAGCTCCATCACCACTACCCCAGGAATCGCGAACAAAAGAGGCTGTATGAGCTGTCATCAAATTAACGAGATTCTGGGTTTTAGAGCCAATGAAAATAAGATAACATTTAAAATCGTTTTGTCAAGGTTTCATGTTGGGTTTGTGGAACGGCACACTGAAACGTACAACTTTGTACTGTTTTGGCAGGAACGTTATCTTTGATGACATCGGTAAGTACTCGTGAGCTGTCGACAGCCGCCCGAGGAAATTCGGAGTACTCGTGCCCAGACCTCGGGTTATAATGTGTTTTTTGAAAGAGGTTTTAAAGATTCTTCAATAGGAAAAGAGTAAATCCGAGTTGCAAATTTAGTTTTCCACTTGAAAAACCTGACTTTAGGTTAATTAATTGTGTGCTACGATTGACACTTAACGCGATTATATCGAGGAACGACTGTACACGAACAAATTTATATTGCGCGCGCTTTTTGTTTTACGTCCATTGATGACGCAAGAAGTTCAAAAAACAGTTTCGTGTTCAAACGTCTGCCTTACAGATAAAGCAAAGATGGGATAGAAAAAAATTGGAGATGCAGTTGGTTTCGTAAAATTTGTTTTGTCTCGTTTCGTGGTTATGGGTTTAACCTGTCCTGCAGCAATTGTGACACTTTTTCTGTTGGAGTTAAGCTCCCTCTATCAAGGTAAGCGTGAGGCATTCATTTTGAACGCCACCATGATGATCACCTTTGTCGCGTTTGGAAGTTTGAATTTATCCCAAAGGAGGTTACTAAAACAGGCAAATTCTAATAACTTTTTTACGTTAATGACATCCCAAGCCGATTGAGCTTTATTAACCTCGAAAATGTATTATTTCATATGTCCTCAGTTTTCAATAGCTTGTAGCTTTCACTTTGGCTTTAAGCTTTTAAGGTCGTGTAAGACTTACAACTTGACTTATCGTTTTGAATCCATGTAGATCTACCTGCTGACTTGGGTACCATTCCAGTGGAAAGTCATGAACTCGTTGTCTTTCAACCGTATTCACAAGGTGAGACTTTTCCTATCGCTTTTAATATTTTAAGAATGACTGCCACCTTACGAAAATTAATGCACCTGAATGCAGTCAAGGTTTTTACTTTGGAAATAACAAGGTCAGTTTTTTGTAGCGGGCTTCGCTTTTATGTCTCTACAACCATTCTTCAGACATTGATTAAAAAATTAAGCGAATTTTTTTTCGGCGGAAAGAGCCGAGATTGAACTCCGTTGCAAATCGGAGAGTAAAAATAAGCTCAAATATGGATTTTAAAATCGCATGAAACGTATTGAGGGAAGCTTGAAGCTTCTTTGCATGCAAGAAGTTAAAGAAGAAGAGAATTATATGGCGTTTTTTGTACATTTGATGTGTCAGAATTTGAATCTTTTAGATGTTACTCTACTCTTGAGTGGCTGTAAGTACCTATGAGAATCAGCAACAAGCCTAGGGATTGTAAAGCATGCCATATTTGCCGTTTCTTTATTATATCTTTCGCCGGGATGAGAGTGCTCATTGGCACCAAAAATAAATACCATAAATACGTAACAAGTTGTGGAATTGTTAATGATAAATTTCTTGCGATAGTTCATTCTTACACATCTGCTATTTCCGTTTGCTTGAATAAAGAATCTGATTTCCTCTCTGTGAATCTTTTAGAGAGCCACACTTTGAGCTTTCTGTAAACCCCAAAACAATAAACCTTGTCACGTTTTTCGACGCCATCTTGACGAGTAGGCAAACGCGTGAGAAATTACAGTGTTTGTATGAGAATCTAATGTCGAATAATTTCCGTAAAACGGCTGTTCTGAAAAAAATTTCAATCGTAAACTAAAGCTACAAAGCAAAGGATTGTCCTAAAAAAATTGGGGGGCGTACCTGCGCTTAAATTTCTCCAGAGGCTTGCTTAAGATTTTCCATATATTTGTCTGTAATTTTCCCGGGACTTTCTTACAACAAATGTATAGAAAATTTTAAGAAGTGATTGTAGGTCTTCTAGAGCATGTAACGCCCTCAAATTTGTTCAGGAGAATCCTTAGGAGTGAAAGTTTAGTTTACAAATCATATTTTTTTTCAGAACAGCCGTTCTACGGACATTACTCAACATTAGATTCTCATACAAACACTGTAATTTCTCACGCGTTTGCCTACTCGTCAAGATGGCGTCGAAAACCGTGACAAGGTCTATTATTTTTGGGAAAATGCTGTTAGCAAAACTGTAAATTTTCAGCTCTAAATATCAAAAGTAGCGATTGCAACGGCCATTGAAAATCACAAGGATTTGTATGGAAAAAACAACTCTTGCCATTCAGTCACGGTTGAGGAGTTCTCCATACTAATTATTTTAAAAATGTTTAAATTCAAACTGTTGTTAATTTTTTCCCTTCTCCATTAGGTCTCAAAGGGCTCTGCATGTTAAGAACAAAAGAAAATTAAAGCCCCGTAATGCTTAAGGAAAGATTTTGAGACATTTTGAAATTAAGAAGTATTTGTATGACTGGGTGGCAGGAGTTGTTTTTCCCCTACAAATCTTTATAATTTTCGCTAGGCCATTGAAATCACTACCCCTGAGATATAGGGCTATAAATATACAGGTTACCTAATTTTAATATGCTCTCTCAGTTTCTGAAAACTTCATTTTTCTTTGCGTAAACAAGAAGTAGATGATCTTACAAAATGCCTATCGTGATAGAAAACTTGACCTGGGTAAATACAAAAAATGCTTCAGAAGCAAAATAATTTGCAACTAATGAAATTCTGAGAGAAATGAACACTGTTGTAAATTGAACCCAGCATTGGTCATTTTAAAGTTATTTTGTTTCCCCAAATTAGTCACTAAAAAGCCTGGATCACATAAACAGTTATAATCAATTGGATAAAATAATGCTAAATTGGATTTCATTGTAGGAAAATAATATTTTATTTTGCATTTATGGTAACAATTAGTAGACTCATTTAATGTGACATTCATTTGCTTTTATCAAGGTTCTGTAATTGCTTCCAACTTTGATAATGTACACATCTTGCATGTGCAAGAGGATCCAGCCTACAATCCATACTTCGGTCTTGATGGTCAATCAAGTATGCTAAACAGCAAAGTATATTTGAATCTCTCCCAGGTAAATCAGTATGTCAGGTTAGCACTTGTCTATTAGTTGAGAACCTGTGTCCTTTGCTGACTCCAAAATTTTTTCCCCTCCCCTTCTAAAGAAAGTTGTGTTGCTGTTTGAGCTACCCATGGGAAACAACAATTGCCTCAACTTTCATGCAGTACTCAAAGCTGTGCTCTAGCAGTGCCTTGTAGCCCCTGGTGCCAAACTTTTGCTCCAGGCCAGGGTGACTAGAAAATAGACTTTTTTCATAGAAATCATATGTTGGGCACCCTGGATGTCTTAGGTTCAGCTAGAGTGCTGGGCTAGCTTCTTTCAGTTTTTCTAAGAACCCCATTTGAGTACACCTAGTGTCTCAACAATTTTGTGAATGACCGTAATTTCCTGCTATTTTGTACTGTACATGTATATTTTTTAGCAGAACCGCTTTCATCACTTAATTCCCCTGAAAGGTGTGATGAACAACCCTTAAATGTAACACATTGAGACCCTGGTGTGGGTAAACGTAGTGTCTGTTGAACTTTTATCAAAGAAGTCAGCCATTGGACTCTCACTATAATGTTAACCCTTGGACATACATGCAAATTCAAACCCCCACCGTGCTACAAAGGGGGGGGGGGGGGGGATGGACCCCCCTAGAGTTCTTGATATGTTGCATTATTTCAAAACGATTTTACCTTCAGTGGAAAACCTTTAATCTTCTCTACAAGATGATGAGGTATATTTTATGGCTGGTGGTGCTGCTGGGGGCCTGTGATGACACCAACAATGGTTGCCATCTTGGCCGCCATCTTGGAATTTACCAAGAATTAGTAATCATGTTAAAACCGCGAGAAATGGTGATTTTTTGTGCTTGACATAAAAAATAACACATAAACAAGCACTTTGCATGATTTTAGCCACAAGATTTACTTTTATTGTTGAAAAAACATGTACTTTCACTCAAAAATGGCTTCACCACCTCCTCCTTATAATGTCATGTCTCATAACCATAGAAACTGACCATTACTGAACTTGACTCAAAATGCGCGTTAGGGATGAATGAACAGCTACTGAAAAAATTAGATGCTGATGTTTTATCTGCTAGGAGAAAACTCAGAAAACCTTATGGGGTTGGCATCCACCCCCCTTGTATGCCCAAGGGTTAAAGATCTTATTTGTAGTTTAATTAGTATAAAATTTTATGGTTGTAAAAATGAACTCCATAAAAGAGTGGCGAGTGTTCTTATATGGGGTCGAGGTACCAGAAACTACAATCAGTTTACCTTCATATACCTGAGCAATGGAAGCTTCTTTTGAAATTGTTTGAAATTACTCAGATTTTCAAGATTTGTGTTCATGGTCTTTAGAAAAAGTTGTTTTGGAAAGATTTTAGTGCTGTGTGAATGTCTATAACCTTGTATGGTATAAATAGAGTATTTGCTGCCATTTCATTCTCCAGTTGAATTAGTATAATTTGTCTTCCTAACAGACCAACACTGGCACGTTTTTAATGGCAGTCAACAAGCAAAACCAACTACAAGTGGAAACTTTGGTAAGAAAAGATAGCTGCGAGAAAAGTCATTTTTATTATTATTATAACTGTAATAATAATAATAATTATTATTACTATTGTTATTTCATAGTGGGTCTCTTGGCTTTCAATCTTTTCTTTGTCAATATTTTTGAAATCCACCCTGACCCACCCACGGGATGTAGGTAAGGGAAAGCTCAGCAGGCTCTTCTATTAGTCAAGCCTGCTTTTTTTACTCAACGGCACCTTCAAAATTAACCAATGTCTTTGTTTTCCAAAGTGATTTGAGCCCCTAAAATTAGCCAGCAACTGGCTCTTAGTGACGTCCTTGCACCGACCCATGCATCCACCCATCCAACCACTTACAAATCTTTTCATCCATCAACCCACTCTGGATCGATCCATCCATCATGCTAATTTATCTATATCTATCCTTGATGATCATGATTGGGTGCATCAAAGATGGATTAATAATGATGTTTAGATGCATGCATCGATCTGTCCACTCACTCATCTGTACAGCCAACCGCCCATTTATCTAATGATACGTCCATCTGTCCATCCATTCATCCATCCATCCAGCCAACCAGCCATCAGTCTATCCACCTACCTATCCTCTGGAAAATCTCTTTGCTTATTAGTTCTGTCTCCGGCAGTTTGTTCAAGTTTTAATACTTTTGAATTACTCAATTAGGTTGTTTTTTTTTGTAGTTCTGTGTAACATACTGCATTGGAAACCTCAGTGATCCTACAATGCATGACGTATGCTACGATACCATTAATGCAGGGAACCTTTATAGCAATACCAGTGCATCTTTGCTCTCTCGGTATATTTACGAAAAGAACATCAGTTTTCACATTCCTGTCGCTTATGGCCTTGTTGAGCTAGAAATGACACCTGGAAATAAGGTATGTCATCACCCTTGAAAATTTTGCATTAGAGCAGATCTAACAATTGTTGCTCTAACTTCATTCAGCATTGCTGGATACAGATATTACATTGCTGTTTGGACTGTGGTAAATGTTGCTGGATCAGGTTTGAATAGTAGAATCCAACGCCGTCTCAAGATGGATGAAGTTGGACCAAAATGTTAAATGCATGCAACAGATCAGTCATTGATCCTTCAAAGGGAGTCTTGGCTTGCCTAATTTTTTGGTTTCCTGGTAGCAAAAGAACAATTCCTAACGTTTAAAATTTACTGATTTTACGTAGAAGTCAAAGTAGCATTCTTTTTTGTAAGGTAAGGTCTTAGTTTGAGGAAAATCTGTTTTTTTTGCTATAACTAAGCGATTTCTCGCACAAATGATACTGATTGGTCGAGAGCTATGTTTCATAAGAGTACAGACCATGGAAATGATGGCCTGGTGGTGCAATTTGTTTTTCTCTTTCTCACTTACACGATTCTCCGAGCAACTGTAAAGGAAATGGACGTCAAAACTTTCAATCTTATTGTAAAAAACAAATCGACAACAATTTTTAGACCATGAAAAATTGTTGTCGATTTGTTAAAAAGACCACTGTAATGCTGTAAACAAGGCACCAACTCATAGCTTGGGTTGAAAAATACAATGACTGAATAGTACCTAATAGGCCTTTTGCAATATAGTTGGTCACGTGATCAACTTTCTGTAAACACGAAAACAGTTCGCTTTTAGAAAATGTTGTTGAAAGGACCTGTAAGAGCATATTACAATTAGGTAAGACGTACGTTTTCAGCCCTAAACTTCAAAAGTAGCGATTGTAACGGCCGCCGAAAATCACAAGGATTTTTATAGGAAAAACAACTCTTGCCACCCAGTCACGGTTGAGTGGCTTTCATACAAGTCCTTGTAAATTTTGAAATTTTTTGACTGTTTCCTTACACATTTAAGGGCTCAAATTATCTGTTATCAATAAGAAAAAAAGAAAATTTGAGCCCCGTCATTATAAAGGAAAGATTTTACAACAGTTCGAAGCAGCTGTAACTTTTTGCAGATATAAAAACAATGCGTTTTGGAAAAATAGTTTTTGCAGAAATAGGCAGCACATAAGATTTGGCTAACATGTGAATTTTCAGGGTTTTATTTCAAGGGTAGAGATTGCGACAATCACTGAAAACTAGGAGGATTTGTATAGGAAGAGGACCTCTTTCCACCCAATTACGGTTCAGTGGTGTTCCAAACAAACCTTAACTTTGTGAATATTGAATTTTCAAAGCGGGAAGCTGTTTTTTACATTCAAGATTGAGGTTTCAATAGTTTTTCAGTTCGTATGATGAAACTATCAAGTGCTTGTAGATTGTAGCAGTTGACTTAAAAAAATGGCTGTAATACAATCTGTAGGTAAAAATGTGGATTGTAACATTGATACAAAATATTTAACCTTTGTACAAAATTTCAACAGTTCCAAGCGATGCTCGATGTGAAATATTACCACTTGTCTACTTGCCTAATTTTAGTTTGGGAGGTAATTACTTTATGTAATTATGTTAATTAGTTCAGTTTGAGCTTATTTTATTGACGATCTCCCGTGAGCGACCACTGTGTCGTGTACCAAGGGTGGTCACTCACGAGAGAGGTGACTGTTGTAAAATTTCGGGCCCAAAAAGTTACTGGGACTCTTGAGACGTGCCTATCGATCGGACCGGATCGGATGACTCCCTGTAACCCTATCCCCAACGTTACGTCATTTAGTGACTCCAAGCGATTGATCCAGTCCGGTCCGATCGTGGTTTTGTTTAAGTCTATTTCATTAATTAATGTTATCATTTTTTTTTTCTCAGTCAAACGTCACCTTCCTTGTGGGGAATTATTCGGATCTATTTTTTGTGGATCATCAAGGCGTTCTAAGAACCGGGCGAAACATCACTCAACAGGACGTGGGATCTCATACGATAGAGGTACGGCCTTGTTCACAGAATATGCCTACTTACCTTGCCTTGTTCATCGAAGCTGCTCCACGTGCTTTGTTCTTGTTTTGAAAATATTCACTCGATAAATCCAATAAAATATTTACTTGACTGAAGAAAAAATTATCGGATCAACTCCACAACATTTAAACTGTGGCGTAGCTGTCGACACACAGCGAGCTGGAATTGACAGTCAATCCATCTGTGTGAAGCCTGGCACGCAGCTAAAATGGTCGAGGATAAAAGATACCTCATCGTGTGAGGCCAGATATCCGCATAGAAATTCTCTAAACTGATCTCCATACATTTCCCTAGAGAATTAACTTTAGAGAATTAGTTTCGAATCAAGGTATTTTCCCTTAGGAGATCATTTTATAAATTCTCGTAGCCTTGTCTCTAGATTATGTAATGATATTGACAGAAGAAACTTGATGTTGGTCACTCTTGGACTTACTGGTTTAAGCCTGGTTTCCATATTTTCGTCCGCCCAAATCGTGTGGATCATGCCACTCCTCCCAAAAACGTTTGGGACGATCAAAACGATCACAGCGTTTCAGTGTTTTCAGGTTTTCCGAATATTTGCCTCGATTGTCTTAGCGCGCCATCTTTTACAAAAACCATTGGGTACTAGCCCAGTACTATTCGCGAGTGCAATCTAATGTATTATGAGAACTTGCAAGTGTGTATGAACACCGAAACAGTGCGACGTAAAAATTGTGAAATCCACTTGCCCAGTGGGCAAGTAGATTTCAGGTTTCACTTTCCTCCAGTTAAATATTACTTGCCCGAAGAGAACGCATTGCCTTACCATCTGTAGTTCTAAGGCACCGTTTATTTAAATTGATTCATGCTTTCAACTATTTTTGTTAGGGACTGTGCAATAATTATCAGGAGCGGGGGCTGAAAAACTAGAGTTATCTAGCAAAAACTTAGACAGTACTCCCCCTCCAAAACAAAAAAAATTAGTTCTAACCCCCCTTCTGTTATGTTAAAAATAATGTCGCACCCCCCCCCTCCCACCTCAATGGTAAACTCAAAACTGGACTGAGCTGCTATCACAGCTTCAATAATGACAAACGTTATTATGTAACATCTAGTATTGAGAAGGATGTTGATCGCTTGATTGAAGATTTAGACGAAGCATTTGCTAAGTACCGGGGTGCTTACCACATTGGCTCAAAATCTAAAATTTCTGAAGCCACAAAGAGAAAGGAGCAGAGAAAAAAATCAAAGGAACAGGAGATTGAACGCTTCAAATAACAGACGAAAAAGAGCTTGCATTATATTTAGATCCTTGGGAGGAGAGCCTGTTGAACTTTGTTATGAGCCACATATATATGGAATTCAGCAAATCGATTCAGTCGATGAAGAAACATTACTTTTATTCACATCAAAAACCGACAAAGCTTGTCTACGAGATCTGTTTGATTCCCATTGTTTTATGGGGGAAGCTGAAAAACAAGTTCATGATTTTTGCTTTACATAGGATCAGCTCAATTAATTAGAAGACGGGTTAAAATTGATCAGTTGTGAATTTGCTTTTCATTTTGATGGAATATTTTCAATAATCGTTTAACAGCTGTTCGTATTGATATTTGTTACAGTCTATCATGATGCCTGTATTGAGAATCTTTTATTGCGTTTAATTTTATTTACATTTCGAATAAAACTTAAGGCCCCCCCTCCGTCAAATGACTGATTTTACTTTGAGCCCCCCTATCTTGGCAGCAATTTTATGTAATGCCCCCCTCTCTAGTTTTTCAGCCCCCCTCCTGATAATTATTGCACAGTCCCTTACTCATCTTGCAGTCTTCAGTGAAATTGTAGTTTCTGTCTGGAAATAATCATTATTTTTACCAAGCTGACACTTTCAGACGGCCGCACAGGACCACTGATTTCATATGCCCAGTAGGCCACTACACATCACAATCCCGGGCAATCGGACTTGGGTTTTCCTGCCCGGCAAAGTCGTCCCAATAGACCTCGCTCATTTTCAGACAGCTGGCACTGTCCAAATCGTTAAGCCTGGCGTCACAGGCGACTCCATATGATGGTCTTGATCGCCTGAACATGAGTATTTTGAGACATACCGGATGATCGCGAAGATCCGAATGACTATTTAGAAACAAGGCTGAGCAATGCTTCCCCGTGTTACTGCGAGCACCTAAGGGCCATGAAAGTTTGTTCACATAAACAATGATTTAAAAAAAAAGAAAGTGAGTGTTTTTTGCGTTTGGTTCAAAAGAATGTGGTAATGATGATGGCTTAGGCGTAAGGACGGGAGGTCTTAAGTCAAGTTTCCACTGTAGATTAGTTTCGCACCACCTATTCTGATATGATTAGTTGCGCGCGTTAATTCTTGTTATTTTTTCTCTCTGAAAAGATATTGCGAAGTAACTACATGTAGACGCAAATAGTGATATCAGATTTTTTCTGACTGATTAATGTGATGCTTGTAACAGTTTGTTTACGATTTTTTTACACTGTGAAACTTTTGGTTGAAGCGTTACTTTCACTTCTGTCTGCGGGTGGGGAATGAACAGGAATTGTGGGCTCCTCCTAAGGCTTTTCCAGTGTTTTCAGTAAGAGCCTAGCACGAGAGAATGGGATTCTGTATTCAGAGCTCAGAGTGCGAGCAGGCGGTTATGGTTGTAGGCATCCCCATTTACCTAAAAACGACGATCGATTAACAGCGCCCTGGAAATGTAGCCTACGCCACAGCTGAAACTATACCCGTGGTTTAGTCTGTCTGCGAAAAAGCGCCGAAATCTTTTCTCTAGGCCCCCACTTGTGTACAGGATTTGAGTACGCGCCATGATTGACCTGTTAAAAGACCACTGTCGATTTGCCAGGTTAAAGGGAAATTCAAACGCATTTCCAGTAATTCATTGAGCCCGTTGGGGGCTCAGAACAACGATCTTGGCGCTGCTTCGCAGACATTACTAACAGGGGTTTATATTATGTCTGTGAAGCAAGCTCCTGGAAATGCGGCAGAAGGAATTCGGTTTTTTTTTTATGAAGGATGTACTTTTCATTTCATAATGTCAAGTCCTTTTCGGTTGTTATTTCTGGCAGGTTAGGGTTTTAGCCACTGTATCAGGTGTCTCTAGAGTAGATTGGGCTTTGATAACGGTGAATGTAGAACTGGAAAATACCATGCCACCAGCCTTTGAACATCCACATGGTTACACGTTCAGTGTAAAGGAAGAAGAAGGAGGAGGACTCACTGTTGGCTTTGTTAAGGTATTTATATTATTTTCAATCCGATTATTGTTAAATCCACTCAGAAAGACCAACAGCCAGTCATTTGCAGGTCGGATATTGCTATAAAAGTCCTTTTTTGCATTACAATCTTTTGAATCTAAAAATATCTTTAATTTGCCTAATTTCAGTAATTAATTTTGAAAAGAGTAATGCTGATTTTATATTAAGAGATTGACACATTTTAGAGTGGCTATTTTTAGTTTATACTACAATGTAGACATGTGCCGTCCGACTCACTCAATCCACGCAATTTACTTCAGTTGCGAAATAACTGGCTACAGATTGTTCAGTTACCATGGTAATTAACAATGTCCGTAAAATAGCTTTCACTTAAAACATTTTGGCCTTTGGACACTACCATTATTGTAGGCTGAAATTCAAATTTTGCTATTGATCCATCAATGTTAAAGTGCTAATGAGAATTGTTGGTGGCATATAGGTGAGGGTGAATGTCCCTCCCCCCTCCCCCTGCTAGTTGGACACCGCGGTGAGCTTCCTTAACCATGAGTTTAAGTCAACAATTTTTCGAGTTTCGAGCAATCCAGACCAAATAATTGGGAATACGTTCTAGCTTTACACTTAAGACAAAATTAGTGGTTTATTTTGCATTTAAAATAATAAAGCTATTGGCAAGTAAACGTGGTACGCAATATTTCATCCGATATTCAGACACCGACAAGTGGGTTGAAAACCGTTGTGCGGAGCAATTTTTTGTATTTAAGACCGGCTTCAAGGTATCTCGATATCGGATGCGACACTGAGTGGAGTAATGTTCGATATAGCTTTTGAAATAAACAAAAAGTCTTGAAGTAATTCAAAGTTAAAGTACCCAACCTTCTATTGAACTTGTCATCTAACCTCCAAATCCCCATACTTTCTTTTCTTTTCAAGGATTGTTAATGGGGCTCCGTCACGCAATTTCCCATCGCTTACAGAAGCGAAGACTTGTCTTCACAGCAATTGAATTCCAAAACTAATGGCCCAGTTTTGTTATTTAAGACTATAAAATTATTGGATCATTTTACGTCTCGGTGAAACTGCCCACCTACCCCTCCCCTAAACCAACATTAACACTTATTTCTTACTTGGGGCAAAATGCTTGCTTAGGGGAGGGGTAGGTGGGCAGTTTCCCAGAAACGTAAAATGATCCAAATTATTGAGGCATTGAAACTATTTTCTGCCATCTGTTGCTACGGATGGCGCGGATAGAAATGGATTGGACCTTGAAAAAGGTGCGTCAACCTTTTCAAGTTTTGATGCCAAGCCTGCACAAACTGCTAAAAAAATATTATGGTCAGTGCTCCCTGATGACATTTTTTTGGAGTATTTTGCGTATGAGTAAAGACACAAATTAATTCCTTGATCTTAGAATTGACCTAAAACAGTAATATCTTTTTGACATAGCCATTTTGATGAGTAAGAGAATTGATTGTCATGGACAAAAGAAATGTCGGTTAAGCGGGTAGGCAGTCCTATACCTCAACTGTTTTTTGATCGTCAGTACTAACCTTTTTTTCCGTAAAATATAATCACCCTTTTTTGTGATACCTAATGAATTTTTCTTTTTGTTACCCTTCGAACAGGCCTTATATTTTGATTTAAGGATGAATGGCATGATCTCCTATTCGTTTACCGAACCTACAATTTTGTGAGTATTCGACCTTTATCTGTCTTTACTCGGCTGAATCTCTTTGTTGAATGTGCCTTCCTTATATGTTAGGTTTGATGGCTCTTAAATCAGTGATACTAGGATCCTTTAGTTGCTTTCTAGAAGCAAATGTATTCAGACTTGACAGAACTTAAGTACATAGCTAATGATGAATTTACGAAACAGTTTCTCTTAATTATTTCATGTTGGTATTTGCCTTACGCTGTTTTCGTGGGCCCTTATCCCCCTAAAGGTTAATAATGAAAGATAGTGTCGACTGATTAGTGATCGTCACTTTTGCCTCGCTGTTTGGACCTATCACTTCATTCATGAGTTTTCGAATACGAAATGAGCAAAAGCCTTAGTCTAAGTTGGGGCTTATGTTAAGTGTTATATTCCTCCACATGTTGATATGTAGTATTGCAACCGTCGACACTGCTTAAGGAATCACTTGTTTTGTGTTTTAGTTTCCAGATAAACCAAACATCTGGCGAGATACAGACCTCTGTATCTCTTGATCGTGAGACCGTCAACCGCCACATGCTTACCGTTGTCGCAGCTGACAACAGCAGTCCCGAATCTCTGAGCAGCCAAGTGGAAGTGCTAGTGCTAGTTGAAGACGTTAATGACAATCCGCCAGTGTTTGTAGAAAAGGAATACTCATTATCTCTGAGCCTGTATACACAACCTGGACTGCTTTTAAGAGTGAACGTAAGACAAGTTTTGTGTTTTTGGGTGAAGAACGGTTTATGTTTCATTCTATTTTGGACGATCAAATGTGACTCGCATTGTGTTGCGACTTACTTATCTTATACGAAAGAATCCAGAAGTTTCATTACAACTTTTTAAGGTATCGCTATTTTTTGCAGTGATTTTAGTACCCGTACGTCCTGCGTCCCTGAGGCATAAAACTCCTCAAAGTTATTCACGGCGTGCGCCCTGTAGGATGCAATGATCGGTCGATCGATCCGAGATGTTTTTAAAGAATATTCCCTTTGTGTGATTTTGAACCTGTTTTTTAACCTGTATAACGTCATGCCCATAAAGTACCTCTACAAATGATTTCCGTACGAATTAATAGAGAGTGTAAGCTTCACGTATAGGTTATAGGCAAACGTCAGATTCAAGTTGAGAATTTTTCAAAATATAAAAACAGCTCAAAACAATTCTTATGGATACAAACTTGCGGGAAACTACTTATTTATGGGTAGAAATAATGAAGAGTAAACGACGAGTGATAGGGAAACATGGTCAGCTGGTACAAATTTGCGTTTGCCGTTTGACGTAAATGTGTTGCTTAACCTCTCTATTGGAAGCATTTCTACGCAAAAAAATTAGTGTAGTGGGTACTGAAAGCGCGTAGGTGAGCTACGTACAGTGTTTTTAACTTTAATACACTTACAGGCTTTTCGGCACAAAATTACAATTTAATCCCTTTTTAACGCTGAAAAAGAGAAAGAAAATCAAAATAGGCCACAGGAAAAGATGTTAAGGTGTTCGGTTTCAATGACGAACCCACCTGGAGTGTACCAGCTTCTTTCATGAGTGATATCGTTCCTGTTTGTGCCTCAAGTCCTTTTAATATGGCCGTTGTTCCACCAACAAGTGAAATTAAAAAAAGGAAATCCCTGCCAAGCTATTTGATGACTTATGGTTGGCTGATGAGGCTCAAGCTTTTTTTTATAGAACTCATTAGTCTTTGGATTGGACTCATCTTTTCTTCATGAGATGAGTCCTTGGACTGTTTATGGTGACTTAATGTAGCCTTGTTTACGTGTTTATAGGCGACTGATGCAGATGTCGGTCGGAATGCCGAAGTGGTGTACACGATAACGGACGGAAATGCCAATGAGATGTTCAGAATCAATTCAACGAGCGGTGAACTCTTTCTAATTGCACCATTGACAGTTGCAGTTGGCGATTCCGTTGTGCTTCATGTCAAGGCTGATGACAAGTTACCGGTTAACTCTCTGCAAGCCAGTGCGCTTGTTAAAATAACATTCGTTGGTGGGTATTTTCAATGAAACAATTTCTGATTAGTCCATTCTTACGATACATTGTTGAATCCAAAAACGGTTAATGTTAGGCAATGTTCGTGGGGTGTCTAAACGACCTCATCAGCATCAGGCATGTTACATTACAAGTTTAAGCTAGTAGCAACTTATGGCATCTAATTGCATTCTCTGCAAGACTAATAAACCTCTATACAGTAAATCCTTGAATAATAATATGAGGTTCCACCCCCAAGTAAGGAACCCTTTCAAATAAACACTCCTTCCCGTACCTTTAATAACAATCTACCTTACCGTTTTTGTTACGATTAAATTAGCACCTTCATTTTCATTTTTATTTCTCAAACGCTTTTTAGGGAGAAAAAAAATGAATTAAATAGCGCTATCTTATGGTTAGGCGTACAGAGAGTGTTGCTGTAAGAACTTTGTAAATAGCCTTTATATCAATACACGGCATGTGTTTTGGTTCGAGGGCCTTTCACCCGCTAACCTTTGACCAGATTATCCACACCGACCTCTATAAACTCCCCGGAATTTCTTCAAAACTCAATCCAGACCATTTAACATGCTGATCATTTTGTTTTTCTCGTACCTTCTATTTTTAATCGAGCAATGATATTTAAAGGGAAATTGGCTGCTGGTCGCTCGAAGGTTTGACGGGGTTAACCGCAAACGCTATTTGATGTGTAAAGCCGGTGGCTATCTCTCTAAGCAGGATTTTAAAAGATGTATATGGACGCACCTCGGAGAAAGTCCATTCCCACCCAACTGCCTTAACGAGCGTCCAGGTGTCCTTCTCTTACTTATTGCTGATTAAAAATTTCCCCACAGGTGTCGCAACAAAAGCTTTCCAAGAAGATCCTGTTGCCTTAGTTTCTGGAGTAAGCGTGGGTGGAATTCTTTTAGTTGGTGCCATAGTTTTGCTGAGCCTATACATATGGTAGGTTTTTTCCCCTAGGCATTTGGTTATTTTTATAAACGCCACTAACAGGTAAATTCACGCAAAACAGCTAAGAGATACTCCAAACCCGTTGAAAACAGTACCGACGAAATTGTTGCAGTAGGCACCATACCGGTGAGAGCGTTGGACCTGCAATCTGAGATAGATAGTTAGATAGTTTATTAAAACTGCATCGCAGCCAAAGGTTGAATTACGCAATTATTTACAAAAACTTTACAATACTTGAAAATTACAAATGAATCCTAGATAATAAGTCAAAAAAATATTAAAAATTCTATATAATACATTCATATTAAAATATGTTAAAATATAAAGCATGAATATAAGTGGGATAAAACTACAGCCCGGACTGTTTCGACATCGCATATATAAAAGTATTACTTGTTCTGTTCGTACAAAGCTTTGGCATATTAAAATGGCGCTGTCGTCTTAGGTTATAGCGTGAGTTGTCATAGTCTGGTGGAAGGAGCGCCTTCAATTTATGGTTTGGATCACTGACAATGTTATCAAAAAGCCTGCTACATAATACGTAATAATGCTTCAAAATGGGTGTTAACCCCACCTCTATTGTCGAGTTGCACTTTCCTGAGGTTATTATTGATACTGCTCTTTTCTCGAGCCGTACCGGCTCTTTCTTTAAGTACTGGGGGAGACCGTTGAAAAAGACAGGTGCTGCATAATCAATAACAGATCTCACGTACGATACGTAGAACAGTGCTAGATATTGTTTCGGAACTCCCGCTCTCTTTAACTGAGTTAGGAAATAGAGGCTCTTGCTAGCCTTTTTGGTTATTTCAGTTACATGGTCGTTCCATGATAGATCGCTCGCTATTGTAAGGCCTTGTAGCTTTGTACTAGTAACTAACTCTACCTCCTTTCCTTCTATGATGATGGGATCAAAGACTCTTTGCTCTTTAGCAAAGGAGATCCTGAGTTCTTTGCCATTATCTGCGTTTATTTCTGGTGGCCTCAATTTCAAGTCCCGCCCTGACCGCAGGCTTGATTTGTTTACGTTAGTTCCGAGCTAAAATACTGGACTACGTTTGTAATTAGCCTCTGGCTACTGTGCTTCTTAACCCTGCTGTATTTATTATATTTAATTTATTTCAGGTTTTTTTTCTCGGCCCCTTTAGTCTTTGCGCTTTTAATACTGTTGCAAGTAAATAAAAGAATATTAGCTTTATCTGTCCTGGCCAGTTTTTCCGTGTTTACTATTGTTGTTATTTCGTTTTTAGGAAGAAAAGAAGAAAGAGAGATTGGGATAGAAGAAGAAAACAGGAATCACTACCCATGATTTGTACACGTCAAAAGGAACCTCGTTATGATGAACATTTCAGCAGTATGAGAAAAACAGAGAAGAGATCGTCATCTAATCTATACCATCTTATGAACAATTCAGGCTCCTGTGTGAACTTGGAACACATAGAAATGGAACCATGGATCCCTTCCCCATCACAGATTCCCATACACACTTCTGGTAGTTTCTCTTCCGAAAGCGAATTCTCCATGGCGCGGTTTAAGGGCTCCCAAGTTGTCGTTGAAGTTAGCGCAAGAAAACCGAAGGCACAAATTGGTCTGACGTCTCTAGCACAGAAATCAGAGATTCCTTCATCTCATGAGGCTAAGATCTCAAACGTCAGCAAAGACATCAGTAAGAGAGAATCTCTAAAAGAAGGGACGCACCTTGAATCTTTTCAAAGTACAGTAGTGCACAGATCACCATCAGCCCCAACATTGCTAAAGCAAAACTCCCAGAACTCAGTCTATCAGCAACTAAGAGCAATGACACCAGTAAGTGAATGGAGATCTCTTCCCGGTTCACGGCTTAACTTGGAACCTGAATCAGTATCGTTAGCTACCAGGGATAGTTGTGACAGAGTATTGCCTCACGTCGAATCAACAGGGATGAAAGCGGAAAAAGAGCAAAGATACAGCCACACTTGCTTGGAACATACTGAAATGGAATCTCAACCACTGTCACTAATGCCACAGCAAAGATCCCAGAGTTTGGTTTCTCTGCCCGATAAATGTCTGCTTTCGGCTAGGGTAAACTCGGCCCCTAGTTCAACGTATGGAATGCAGCTCAGTGAGATGGAATCGGAACCACCTTTTCCATCTCTCAAAGGAAGACCCAGAACTCGTATATTACCTAATGATGGGTACGCGCCAGTGCAAGCAGAGTTGGCACCTAGTTCCTTAAAAGGAGCACAAGCAAGCTGCAGCGTAGATTCACAATCCAAATCAGCTTCCTTATCGACAGAGGAACTATCTACGAGTTTAAGGACACAAACAGCTGAAAACGGAGAAGGTTATAGCCAGGTTAGTTTGCGGCTCAGTGAGTTAGACGCTGAATCACTCTCGCCATCTCCAAAGAAAAGGTCTGACGATTCAAGGTCACTCACAGACTTTGAAGGTAGGGTAGACCAAGGTGACACGCCCGTGGTTGCTTCATATCCAAGAAATGTAGTAGAAAGTCAAACTCCAGTATATCCTGAAGTAAGCCGAGACCTTCGTACAGTTACATTCAAGTCATTACCAGCGCTTCAACCTCCAGATACGACGTTTGAGAAATCAAAGGAACAACCAATCAAGCCAACGACTGGTCAAACTAGTGGAATTAAGACATCTCCCTGTATCGTGGTGGAAAAATGTCTTGCAGATGGAGTACGAAAAAATCTATCATCGTTGGAAGATATCAGTGAAGGTGCATGTCACAAGGAGATACTGTCAACGGAACGGACAGGGACACCTGTTCTCGTTTCTTCCTCAGATAATTCATTTAAGTCATTATCGAACGAAGACGTTCCACTACATCGCTATAACACTGCTTTAGTTGGCTCCTCGTCGTTTCAGAGTCAATTTTCCCGAAGTAGATCACCTGACAAGGAGTCAAATAGTTCATTGGAAGATAATGATGTTTCCTCAGCTAGTAAAGGCAATTTGCGCGAAGGAGAACTGTTTCCGACTCTTGAAACAAGGGAAGGAACACTTGTTTCTGGACTCGATGAGTTGGAATCACCCTCATCTTGTAAAGATGAAAGATTTGAACCGTCACTACATTTGTTTGAGGATCAGTCGTTACCAGAGAGAGCAAAATCGGTTCCTAATCTTTTGAAGAGATCTCAAAAAGGCAGCTTAGTTGATTTAATAACAAAATCATCTCTATTATTGAGGGCTGAAGTTTCTCAGACTCTATCATCACAAGTGAACCCTGTGGTGCCTAGAGCTGTTATGGAGCAAAGTTGCAGCCAGGCGGCCTTGGAGCACCGTGAGTTGGGATCTGAATCACGTGCAACATTTTCTAAGAAGAGATCAAACAGCTTATCTTCATTTGAGGATCAGCTCTCATCAGAAGGAGTCAAGTCAGCACGCACAGTCTCCGATAGATCGCAAGAAACCAGCAGGAGCTCCATCGAGCTGGAGCTCCATAAGTTGGAGGCTGAATCACCTGGAACGGTTTCAAATAAGATATCCGACAGCTTATATTTACTTAAGGGTCAGCCCCCACCGGAAAGAGTGAAGTCAACACCCACTCCCTCGGAGAGTACGCGAGAAACTAGCGGTTTAAATTCTTTAAAAAGGTCCGGTCCATTGCTGACAAAGGAATTTTCGGAGAATTTATTGTCACCAGTGCGGTCTGCAGCGGTGTTAACTGAATTAGGGCGCAGTTACAGCCAGAGTAGTCTTGGCCTAGATGGGTTGGAATCTGAATCACCTTCCCCGTTCACAAAGCAGACATCCCAAAGTTCATCATCTTCACTTTATGGTCAGCAATCACGAGCACGACCAAAGTCAGTATCGAGCTCCTTAAGGAAGCCAGAAATCGACAGTGTAGGCTCGGCATTACAATCAGCTTTGTGTCTCGCAAAAAAGAAGTCCCAAAACCTACTGCCACATCCTGAACCAGAAGCATCGATACTGGTGAAAGGACGAAAATCTAGCGAATGTGGAGAGGATCTAGGTGAATCATCTTCACCATCGTCAAAAGATGGATCCGACAGTTTATCTTCAGTTGAGCATAGTTTGTTATCAGAAAAAGCAAAAGCATCACCCCAGTCCTTAACAGCATCTCTAACCCAGGCGGGTCTAACTTCTTTATCGATATTAGCTCCGTCATTGACGATGGTCCCTTCTGAGAGATTATTGCCACGTTCTCAGCCTGCAAGGACGCCGACGGAAGGAGAACAATACAGCCAGGAAAGATTAGTACTTGGCAAGGTGGAGTGTGAGTTACTTTCATCCGAAAACCAAGTATCCAAACTTTCACAGCCTTCAATTGAGGGTCGTCTGTCACCAGCTGGAGTAAAGGCAGCAACGAGCTCCTTGACAGAGGCCCAATTAAATGTCTACGACGAGGGGACAGTTGCTGAGACTTATATAATACCATCAGAAAGTTCAGAACTGATAGGTGGACGGTTTGAGGACAAGGAACCTGTTTCACGATCCACATCGATATCATTGTCCAGCAAAGTTATGCCAGGAGGGGTACAGTCTGATACTCTATCTCGGGCAGAGTCGTTGAAAAAGGCTCCAGTTGGCACATCATCGCAATTTCGGCCTTCAACTTCCCATTTGAAAGACGAAACAAGGTCACCCTCGTGCTTTGAAGGTAGTATGGACCAAGATGATGTGTCGGTGGCTGCTTCATATAAAAAAGAATTGGTAGAAAGTCAAAATCTAGTTTTTCCTGAAGTAGGCCGTGGCCTGACTATAACTACATCCAAGTCATTAAAAGAGCTTCAACCTCTAGATACAACATTTGAGAACTCAAGCGAACAACCAATCAAGCAAACGACTGGTCAACAGATGAAGTTGGAGTCTAAATCACCCTCATCTTCTAAAGAGGAAAGGTCTGAATCCTTATATTTGTTTGACGATCGGTTGTTACTAGAGGGAGCAACCTCGGTGCCCAATCTTCTAAAGGGATATCAAAAAGGCAGCTATATTGAATTAAGATCAAAATCAGCTCCATTATTGACGGCGGAAATTTCTCAGAGCTTATCATCACAAGTGGAGCCTGTGGGGGCGAGAGCTGGAGGAGAACAGTGCTTCAGTCATGCTGGCCGTGAGTTGGGATCTGAATCACGTGCAACGTTTTCAAAGAAGAGAACCGACAGCTCACCTTTACTTGAAGATCGGCTTCCCACCAGAGAGAGTGAAGTCAACACCCACTCTCTCAGAGAGATCGCAGGAAACGAGCACTTTAAATTCTCCATCAAACTCGGCTTCATTGCTAACAGAGGAATTTTCTCAGAGTTTATGTTCACAAATATCGCCTGCGAAGGTGATAGCTGAAAGAGGGCAAAGTTACAGCCATGGTAGTTTGGGCCAAGATGGGTTTGAATCTGAATCACTTTCACAGTTGACAATGCAGAGATCTCAAAGTTCATCATCTTCACTTCACGATCAGCGCTCACAAGCAGCACCGAGTTCCTTGAGGAAGCTAGGAATAAGCGTCAGTGTAGACTCGGCATTAGAATCATCTCCATGCCTCGCAGAAAGGCAGCCCCCAAACCTGTTACCACATCCTGAACCTGCAGCATCGATACTGGATAAACAACGAGAATTTAGTGAGTGTAAAGAGGATGTAGGTGAATCATCTCCATTATGGTCAAAAGAACGATCCGACAGATTATCTTTACTTGAGCATCGTTTTTTACCAGAAAAAGCAGAAGCATCACCTCAGTCTCTCTTGGGATCGCTAGCACAGGCCGGTGTAACTTCTTTATCGATTTTAGCTCCATTATTGACGAAGGTCCCTTCTGATAGATTATTGTTACCTAGCCAGACTGCAAGGAAGCCGGCGGAAGGAGAACAGAAAGACAGCCAGGGCAGCTTAACACTTGGTGAGGTGGAAACTGAATCACCTTCATGTGGAAAGCAAGTTTTCGGAAGTTCTTTGTCTTCTCATGACGGACGTTTGTCATCAGTTATAGCAAAGTCAAAACCCAGTTCTTTGACTGACGTGGAAGTAAAGATCGATGATGGAGGAAAAATAACTGAGACTATGACTTTACCATCAGATTTTATTGAACAGATAAGCGGAAGGTTTGAAAGGGAGAAACATATTTCACGACCTTTTGGAAAATCTGCTTCCAGCGATGTTAAGACCCGTGCAGGAAACGTGGACCTTGGTAGTTTAGAGTCTGATGCTCAGTCCAAGTATTCGATACAGGCTTCGATTGGTACATTGCCACAACGTACGCTTGCAGCTTCGCACTTGGAAGGCGAATCAAGGTCAGCCCAGGACTCCTTAGGTAGAGTGAACCTTGGCGAAATGGAATACAAGTCGTTCGACTCTTCATATCCAAAACATGTATTGGAAAGTCAAAAACAAGTATTTTCGCATGCTAGCCTTGACCCCCGCACAGTTACACCCATCTCATTACCCGCCTTAAAATTACCGAACAAGAGCTCGAGCGAAACAGAAATCAAGCAATCAGTGGGCAAACGGATTGTTCAAGTAAAGTCATGTCCCTGTATCGTGAAGATTATGCACGAGAAACACCATCACAGGTGATGGGAGTTAGGGATGATCAAAATTATGAGGAGTTGCCAGCGAGAGACAACTCAGTGACAGCTGTTAACAGTCCTTCCTTAGATGATTCATTCACGTCATCTTCGAACGAAGATGTTCCGATAACCTCCTACAAGACTGCTTTAAGTGGCCTCTCATTGTTTCAGAGACCACATCAATTTTTCCACATTGAAACATCGGACAAGGACTCAACTAGTTCATTCGAAGATAATGAACTTTCATCGGCTAGTGAAGGCGATTTGCGCGATAATGAATCCTGTACGATCCTTAAGACTCACGAAAATATCCATGTGGAAACGTTCCCTGAAGTGCTCAAAAGTGCTGAACGTCTAATTTATCTGAAAACTGTCGATTCACACCAAACTGTTATGCTGCCTGCATTTACAGTGGAACAAACTGAGGAACTTTCAAAGTTACCATTGGCGGAAACTCCGAGACCCTCCCTTTCTGCACCACAGAGGGATGATTCAGAAAGACTGCCACCCCGTTCTTCCGCAGAAGATTCATCTTCGAACGAGGACGTTACTCTGCGCTCCTATACTACTGTTTTACTTGGGTCTACGTCGGTTCGGGTACCGAGTCAATTTTTTCAAATTGAATCATCAGATGAGGAATCAAGTAGTTCACTCGAAAACAACGAGTTTTCGTCATCTGGTGAAGATAATTTGCGCGATAATGAATCGTGTCCAATGCTAGAAACTCTGGAAAAATTACATGTGGAAAGTTCGCACGAAGTTCTAGAAGTCGCTGGACGTCTAGACCATCATAAAACATTAGATTCATATCAAACTCACGTGCTACCCACACTTACAGTGGAACAAACCGAGGACCTTTCAAGGTTAACAGTTGCAGACAGTGCGAGACCTTCCTTCTCTGTACCACGGAAAAACGATCCAGAAAAAGCGCTTTTCAGTTCTTCCTCAGATAATTCGTTCACGTCATCTTCGAGCGAAGGTGTTCCGATACGATCTTACAGAACTGCTCTAAGTGATCCCTTATGGTTTCAGATACCAAGTAAATTTTTCCAAATAGAATCATCGGACGAGGAGTCAAGCTGTTCATTCGAAGATAATGAGCTTTTACCAGCTAGTGAAGGTAATTTGCACGATAATGATAAGGAATCGAGGAGTTACTTGGAAGGTACCGCGTTCTCACCTGCCGATGAAGACGACTCGCCTCATAAAGAATCGTTTCCAAAACGGTACATTCAGAAAAATGTACAAAACGAAATGGTTATTCCCGTAATGAAAACCGACGATCGGCCATTGCTGCCAGTTGCGATTATGGATGCCTCTGCAGTTGAAGAACCGGGTTTGGCGTCTCCAAAAGAAAGCCAGTTCGCGGCTGGTTCGTCTTCGCATTCTTTTCTTGACGTTGATTTTCTACAGCAATCAAAGGAAGCGGATTTATTAACAGAAATATATGGAGTAGAAAAAAGAGACCGAACTTTGACAGAAGTACCTTCAGTGCTCCCTTCTGATTTATCCTCCCGAACCATTTCCAAGGTTCCGCCACAGAGGTCAAGAATTTCCAAGGTTGGACGGAAGTTTAAAAAAATTTTCGGGATAGGGAAATCGAAAAACAGGCATAAGGAACTTCAAAAGCTGGAGCCAGAGGGAGATTCTAGTGATTTTGACGGCAAAACTAAAGAACCGCCTACTTCAAGTCATCGGGGAATAGGACATCCCACATCTCATTCCTCAGTTTCCACGTTGCGTGACAATTGGCCATTTCTGGCAGTTGCCGTAGGGACTACTGAAAGTTCAATTTTGCATAGTAAAGGCATAGCTCCCTCAGGTCAAGATTCTATATCTAGTGATGTTGCTAGCTCCAGCGCAAACCTGTATGCCTCTGCTGTAGAAACCGAACGTCCAGCTCCTGTACAGTCTTCAGTACCAAGGGACAGGGGAATATTGACAACAGATGACGCTGCAATTACCCAAAGAGTAAATGAAATGATAAGTACAATCGTCAAAAACGCTCGAGCTGCTTTAGAATGCAAATTAAAAGACGAGATATCAGAGCCTCCTTGTTCGCTATCAGACGCTGTAACTACCCAAAGGATAAATGAAATGATAAATACAATCGTCAATAACGCTCGAGCTGCTTTAAAATACAAATTAAAAGACGCTGAGATGTCATTATGTGAGCAGTCAATGAAATCAAGTTCTGAGAGTTCATTACTGGCAACCGAACCTTTCCTGTCGCCGAATGCAAAGGACCGGCTATCAATTATCACCGAAATTTCGCAAGGTAACCTTGAATGTACACTTCAGGACATATCAAGAAGGCCATCATCAGAGACTTCTTTTTCCCCCTTCTTGGTAGAGAACAGGGAAACTGCGGGACAAGAGCCTCCTTGTTCGTTATTAGACGCTGCAACTACCCAACGAATAAATGCAATGATAAAGACAATCGTCAGTCATGCTCGAGGTGCTTTGCAATACCAATTAAAAGAAAATTCGTCACTTGATCAACCCATGAAGTCAAATTGCGAGAGTTTATTATTGGCAACCGAATCCTCCGCCTCGCCTATAATTAAGGAATCAGCATCATGTACCGTTGAATCTTTGCCTGGTAACCTTGAATGTTTACTTCAACTTGAAGAAATACCATCCTGGACATATCATCCCGATACCTGGAAAGAAAGTGAAGTGAAAATTTCACCAGCAGCACCAGAAAATATTAACGTTGAGGAAGATACAGAGAAACTGCAGGGTGCAGGCTCTTCTGTAGCATCGCGCAATAGAGCCTCCTCGGAGCAGAGTCACGACGACCTAACCAATAACTCTACTGTGTTTCGAGCGCAGGAGGATTAAACCCACCGAGTGAACAGAGATCCTCATCAACGGACGACGTGGGTATTCTTGTCTCGTGTATGTTGGACAAATTATGTGTAGCAGGCAATGACTCGCGCGACGACAACTCAAGCAGAGACACTGATGGATAGTAATTTAAAGGACGGACCGCCTTTGGCTAAAGTTGATTAGTCTTTGGCTAGTTGTCATTTTATCCGTGAACTGAGATAAACGGACACGTGCGTATCACCTAACATGGAACGTCCCCACCAAAAATGGTTACTCTGGAAACACTGGACGTCAGACAGTACCTGCAACATCCTGGGTTACGTTTTCTGTAACTGGGCTGGGAAGGTTCTTTCTTAAGTATCTTTTTGGCTGGGACGGTCAAGTTAACTTATTCAGTTGAACATAAATTGTGAGAAAGGGTAGAAATAATTCACAGTCTTAACAGTTCAGAACAATTTTCATCGGTTCAGGTGGAACTCATGTTTGCAAACTTTTGTTTAGGTAGCAACATTTTATTAACCAAATATCGGAAACAATCGTGCGCTTGATTACTACTAGCACTATAGAAAAGCTAACCCTTTGAAATGAATTATGGCAGTTTATTAGATTCTTTTGAAATACGTTAAGTGTTTCATGGAGGTAGCTCATAAAAGAAAATCTATTACATTAAGGAGTTTTGTTCCAGATTTTGTCTTTTTTGGAAAGTCAGTGGAGATCGTTACGTATTAAATAGGAGTGGAAGCAATTTGGTATCAAAAAAGTTAATTAAAATATAAATGATTAGAGGCGAAAGAAGATTTTATGCTGTAAACATCGCGTGTTTTACCATGTATTCCACCTTTAAGTTGTTACGGTCTTTCGTTTGATTATACTTTTTGATGGGAAAGGCATAAAAATGTTATTTGTTTACAAGTAAACAATTTGTTTTGCTCTTCTTTTAGAATCATCGTCGGATCGTACCAAGTTTAGCTACATAGCGTTCTAAATATAAACAGCTTACTCAATCGTTCATAAAAGTATAATTTATTTTCAATAGTTTTTTAAGTACAAAGAAAACTGTGTTGTGCACAATTACATGGATTTTTGAAAGCTACGCTAAGACTACATTTCGTTATCAAAAACAGACTTACCATCGTTTTCTCCTACTTATGAAAGTAATCTTTTCAGTCAAATCTGTATTCTTGTTTTATGATAATGATCGTAAGTTCTCATTCATCCTCCCATTTCCTCTTGCTAGTTCTTTTGTCCCATAGCCATATGTCACTCGTTAGGCTACAAGGATGTTCGTAATTGCACTGTAGCGGTTTGCATAAACTCTTCGATCCTTTCCATTCTGGCCTAGTTCCATGATATATTTTAAACTCGTTCAATTTTTCGTTCATTTTCCCCTGGTTATTTGGACCCTGCCCGACCTCATGTCTTCTTGGGACATCTGATTCGTAAAAGGTCGTTGATTTGATTCGGTTGAACTTCGTAATTAAATATGTAAAAGTCGTCGACAAAACCTCCAAGATACCGTCCGCCCAAGTCAAAGCTTCCCACACAAGCCTTATAGCCCCAGAAGTCATCAAGTGGTCCGAATCCCCTGGAGACACTCTGTAGGGCGTTATTTACATACACCTGTAAAATCAAATATTTCAAAGGTGTTTAGAGGACTTGCAAGATTTCTATACTGTAACTTAAGAAAGATTTTTCATTAATCAAAATGATCGCTGTCTTCTCAACTGGTCCTTTATGCAACGAATTGACGTTACTTTGCATTTGGCTTGTGTTCTAGCCATTTATGTTTGGATGGAATCCCCCGTATTGCATACATACATTCGTTATGCCACCTGATTGTTTCCTCCACATTGAAACCAACTTCGTTCTCAAAGTTCTCTCCTAATCGTACCCCGGCTTGAGGGAGAGGGCAGGTAAGAGAGAACCCTGGAGACGAGGTAGTTAGAAACAAGAGGAGGGAAAGTGTTTTATGGCGTTTATATCTGATCCAGCACATTTTATTGCTTATTATACCTTCTTTTGCCAATACGATACGGCTTAAGCAGCAAAAACGCTGACCTCCGACACGTCACGAATAGCAAGCGGAACTTCGATGTCTGGCTTAATGGTCGCTTCTGGCTCGCACAACGAATCTTTTAGCTCCCGCTGTACGAATTTGTCGGGTTAGGGCATTGAAAGAGAGAAACTATCAACTTCCGGTTGCCAACGTTCTCGTTCCTTAAGGTCCTTATTTTCTTCCTCCCCTCCTCGCTAAATAAACGATGCCTAGGCTACGTCTAAATCAGGCTACTTTTGTTATGATTTGCTAAAAACGAGCCCTATTGCTTGCGCTAGCTTACCCCCACGCACCTTAGCCTGCTGTGTTGTACCGTTGTAGGAGCCAATCAGGTGAGTCCACACATCCGGCTTAATTATGTCATCTGTCAGCACACTAAACACTGGAGTCTGGAAGCGATTTCGGTGAAACCAACGGACCTTGCCGTCATCTATTTCAAAGTGATATCCTCCTATGGGGTTTTATCAAAAACGAAATGATAATCACGCCATAGTTAAGCGCCTATAGTATATTGATTAATTATGTTCATACGATCAAGAGCTCTTCAGCACTCAAGTTCAAAATTATCAAGCAGCACTGCCACTGCCTTGAAGACGGCGACAAAGATGCTAGTAACAACTTACGAGGACGCTGCAAGCAATCTTTTACCCATTAAGAACCCTTCAAAAAGAAAGTAATAATAATAATAATAATAATAATAATAACTTTATTTGTATAGCGGTATATAAAAAAGCTCTATATCGCTTTACAATCAAAAAAAGAAAATAACTAACTACCAATGGCACTAAGACAAAAAGTCAATTGAAAGCGAGTCTAAAAAGGTAAGTTTTCAATCTAGATTTAAAAACATCAACTGATCCACTTAATTTAATGTCTAAGGGAATATCATTCCAGTGCTTTGGGGCAGCGACCGAAAAGGCCCTGTCCCCATAGCTCTTCAGGCGCACATTCGGTACTTCTAATAAATGTTTGCTAGCTGACCTAAGATTTCTTGTAGGGTTATATGGGACTATAAGTTGACTTAAATACGGAGGCGCCAGATTATTGAGAGCTTTAAAAGTTAACAGTAATACTTTAAAGGTAAAAGATCCTCCCGTAATTGCAGCCAGGCCAGGTTGACCCATCTACTGACAATTACACAGCCCTGCAGTGAACCAAGGAGCTGCTTAAAGCTGCTATGATCAAGTACTCGAAGAGGAACTGGTGAGCATGAAAACAGAAGTTGCGCAAGCATATGCAAGAGTACCAGATGCAGAAAGTTGGAGACTTTTTAACAGGATTAGCGGGCGTAAAACGAATAAAAAGGGAATTATCAATCGAAAAGGCAAGGGATGAGGCACATAAACCTTCTTCACGATCCCATTTCGGTTCTGTGGACATTGTTAGGTGCGTTAAGTTGGCGTTGGAACCGTTCAAGCGGCAATACCCCCAGAGTTATCTATTGGGTATGTTTAAGCGACCCATCGACAGTGAAACCAACGGTTAAATCCACGAATTCTTACAACTATTGCATCTAGCCATGCCTGAGATGACGACGTACAGTGCCAAACTTCTGACCCTGGAGTCGCCAAGAGGATGAATCTTATCTTAAGGACTCTAGGCCGCAAGATGTCTGTCAAAGTGCTACCGAGACGGAGCGGCACGTCTGTTGCCGTGCATCTGGCCCTCGCCTCGACATTAGGTTATGCTTCAGAAGACATGTTTGTGTTACTCATGGCCATCACCCTCGACATGGTTCGTTTGCATCTAGAGACCTTGAGACTCGTTTGCGATGTGCGACTGTCCAAAAACTATCGCAACGTGACCCTCGTATTCCCGAGAGAGAAGAGAAAATCGATTTTTCATATGATCGCATGGAAATCTGACGTCAGGATATGGTTGTAGTTATTTTCTTTATTGTTGGCAGTACCCATGTGTTCTATGGACTTAGGGAACAGGGTCTATGGCTTTGCCACGGCCACAGCAACAGCAGCCACAGATTTTCCCGTTTGATCTAGACACACAACGTACCGACCCGTACAAGCGAAATTTTGTCTTCACCCCTCCCAGGTGGAAGGGTTGGAATGTGGTTTTTGCTGTTGTTGTTGCAGGATCTTGGTCTCCCCTGCTGTGTCACCAGCGCCGGAGGTCGGAGCATATGTGGCCAGCCTTATATAATGATGAACTCTGATGGCAGAATGGTGGGTCGGCGTACCACTTAGGAGGACAACGCCAGTGTATCCATACCGCTCCGGTTTTCCCAGTAGGCCGAACTACTCGTGAACGGCTTATGGGGTTTGGATAGTCTCTAGCGAAAAGCACTCACCAGTGAGACGGAAGCCCTGAAAGAAGAACGTTTCTTTACAAGTGAGTGGTATATGACGAGTCAAAGCTTCTTGGTAAAGAGCCAGACATCCCTGAGAGTAATGGTGATGAAGGAATTACTACAGTCTTCACTGATTTGGACATCACAACAGGAGTATTTACCATGGAAAAATAACAAGAAGTGAAAACTAAACTGAAAGAAGGAAAATCAGAGAGTGCTGATGGAATACTACCTGAAGTTTTTAACTTAATGCGACCCTGATGAAGTTATGCAGTCTTTCACCAAAAGGCTACCGTTGGACGTAGAAAAACCTCAACAGTGGTCAGATATTAACATAAGCCCTACTCTTAAGTCTGGAGACCTACGCGAAACCACAAACTATCGCCGAGGAATTTGTCTTTCTGCGGTAGTTTCTAAAGTTGTCAACAAATTACTCCTCAGCCGAAACTTGATCCTCACCTACGTCGCAATCAGACTGGCATTTGCCCTGGAAGAACTACCTCTTACATCTTAGCGCTATGTCGCATCTTAGAAGGTGTGAAGGGAAATCACATTAAAGCCACAATAGTGTTCAGAAAGGCTTTCGATAGCGTCGGTCGTGGTATGATGCTGAATTAGGAAAGTATTGAAAGCGTTTGGCATCCGCAATCAACTTGTCGAAGCAATAAGCAAGCTCTATGAAGGCACACGAGCGAAAATGCTCTCACCTAATGGCGAGATAGAGTACTTCGACATATTTGCACTGAGCAGTTCTCCAAGGAGATACTCTTGCTCACTATTAAATTTTTGGCTATTGTTATCGATTAGCTGATGGGAAAGGCTGTTGACGGCAGAGAAGACCTTGGTTTTGTGCTTTTAATCCCATGAAAAGTCAGCGCGTAGTATCTATCCACATTCTCGATTTCGCTGAAGTTTTGTATTGTTAACAAAGGAACTCTTCAGGCTAGTCGAAACTGGGGCATCTAAAGTGGGTCTGCATGTGAATGCGATGAAAACTGAACTAATGTTCAATCGCGATCAAGCAAATGACAAAACATCCATTAGTAGTGCGCAATCATGAAAGTAAAGAACTCCAAGTTCTTGGGAGGCAGACTGGAAAGCAGTGTAAAGGATATACATCATAGGGAAGCTCTTGCATGGCCTGCCTGTCACAAGCTTAGAGCCATTTAGTCATCATCGCTGAAAAAGAGATCAAGATTCGACCTTTCCTTTGTACGGTGGAGTCAGTCCTATTTTACAATTCAAACACTTGAATGTTAACAAAACAATTGGAGAAGAGCCTGAATGGTAGTTACAAGCGAATGCTGCGAAGGGCGCTAATTGTGTCTTGGAAGCAACAAAAGACCAATGAAAAACTATATGGTTGCTTACCAAAACGTACTGACAACATTGCATTTTATAGGGCAATCTAGCGAAATTGCTTCGAAACTTGTTCAAGAGAAGAGTTAGCAAGGGAAGAAAGCCAGTTCACTCAATCGACAACATTAAAAGGGACACCGGTTTTGAAAATCAGTGAAATTCAGTCTACCCTGCTAACAGAATATCTTCGATCTTTTCTAGTTAAGTCGGGAAAGAGGTCGTCTTCCTCTTTCCCGACTTATCTAGGAAAGGTCGAAGCGACTCTATTAGCAGGGTAAATTCGGTTAGCAATGCTGCATAGAATGCGTGTGGAAAGATTTTGTCATGAAGGCTCGATCGGGAGATCAGCCGTAAGTAAGTACGTTAGTATGCTTACCCATAACCTGCCCAATTCTCATCACTCGAGCGGTACTGAACACAGAGTGCGATCCACGAGTAGTCCCCGGAAGGTTAACCCAGGATGCTACTGTTATGGCTGTTCGGGGCTTCCCTCTGAATGTTGTATCTTCCAATATTATATCTCCTCTCTTCCCGAGACTAGCAAAATGACCGCAAGCTCCTCTGTGTGGAGCGATAAACGCACCATTGCTTAGAAAGGCATTGTTTCCTTTGTCTGATTCATCTAGTACAATCTGGTCTTCCCACTTTTCAAATCCCAAATACAGAACTGCGTGGAAAGAAAAAAAAAATAGAATAATGACATTGTTGAGTATCCATTGTACAGTGTACATCACGCTAAGATGCCACACTACAGCGTTTTTGACATGTTTCAATTTTTCAAAACTTTGATGGGTATGAAGAACCAATCAAAATCCATGATTAACGTGTCACAGCATTCAAAATGTGTGCAAGATACGTAAAAAACTTTATCTAGTGGCAATGGAAGCGCAGTCTGCGCTATGGCCACACGTGGTAATGGAATGTCCTCTTTCTCAGCTTACCATTCTTTTAACTACTACCTCTACTACCTATCATCGAAAAATGACAAATCTAGATTAGATTTTCGTTAATCAAAATATGCAAAAGGCGCCGGCACCTCATACGAAAACTAGGCTGTTAAAAACAGGGCAAGAGTGCAGAGTAACGCGTGAGGGAAAAAAAACTTGGGAAATCACCTAGCTATAAAGATTGAAAGTAAGAGGAAGATACTGATTGACTGTTGGCAGAATTCAAACCACCGACTACAACTGGGAATTGAAGAAAAACATGTACTGAATAAATAGACACCCAGTGATTTTAAGCCGCATTTGTCTTCATGACCAAACAAGGGCATGACGCATTTAATTTACAATAAACTGACATCATCTTAATAAAGCCTGTCAAACCGGTCGGACCTCCAGAACATAGCACGTGACCTTATCCCTTTCATGCGATACAGAGGCTATGACATCATCGGTGTATTCTCTCGCACGTTTATGAGATTCCCTGGAAAGAACGGGGTAACCGGTCCCTACTATACTACTAAAAATAATTTTTGAAAAATCCCAATTATAAGTAAAAAATAAGCAATACAATGAACAGTTCTCCATTTAAAAATGGAAACTTCCATTTAAAAATGGAACTGGAGAGTGAGGCCTTTTTCCTCGGGATATTTCACTGATAATCCAATCAGAACGATCTATTGTAAGTGCTATTAAGTGTGTGAGATCATCCCACATCTAAACCAATCAAATGGGGACAAAGATATGTGATATTTTGGAATGTTGGGATATCTCGCGTATGAGCCAATCAGTGAGTTTCTTATCATACCGGTAACTTCACACCATTTCCGATCTCAAAATAGATAAAAGATAAGACGTCTGCTATCAGGTTAAAAGGTCAAAGATAGAGATATACTGTTACCGTTCCCATAAACTTAACACAAAATCCGTCAGTTTGTTTATGTGAGAGGGGTTTTGTGGTTTGTCGGCCGACTAATGCTCTCACAGGCGCAAGGATACGAAGCCAGAAGATGTGAGAGAATTTTTGGACGCAAAAAAATCAAAAATTGACTCGCTATTATTTCAACAGTTAGTGCAAAAAAAAAACCCTTAATCCGGCCACCATCGTGTATCCGTTGAACGACAGTCTTTTCTCAAGTTTCAATGGAACTTCGTTAATGAGGTGATGAATATTTGAATGTTATAAATATATTAAAATTGCAGGATGAAGAAATAAAAGCACAGGAGATCAAGACAGTGAAATACGCAATTTATGCTGTTGGGAAAAGAAAGCCTGCGTTGCATAGATCTTTTTTTCCCATCTTATCTTTGACTCTTTTAGCAAACATGAGGGGTTCGAGTGCATTAATTTGAACAGCTTAAATTTCATTCATTATACATCATCGCTATTTTAAAATTATAAGTAGCGGAATATTCCGCACATAAACGAATCAGAACCTCTTTTATTCCGGGGTGCTGGATAATTCCGCGTTCCAAATTCATGCATGCATGTACACTAGTAGCTTTTGAAATCGTGAGATAATGAATTTGAGGCAGAAATATCCTTTCTTTATTTTAATAAAGAAAGGATACATTTCTGCAGCAAAGCAGGACATTCCTTTTGTTTGATTTCAAATCGAGATACATCGCGCTAATGATGTAAGCACATTTCCCAAAATAGTCACGGCATTTCTTTAATGTATTTGTTGATGCAGACTTAAACACGTAATAAGCACAAACTAGAATACCTTTGCCACTGTATACTGTACTTATCTCACCTTTTTGTTCCAAAAGCGCTCAAAGAAAGCATTATGTTTCTGTGAGGGTTGAATCGAATAAATGATCCATATTGACACGCGATTCGCAACTGTTAAGTTTATTCTTTCATTGTTTTTAACATTTTCACTAGAGATGTCAACTTTATGTGGATTTTCCATTTCCTCTCTGCAATTTTTATCGGGCAGAAATGGTCACCGTTGTAACACAAAACCTGTTAAAAACGTAAATAGAAAAACGCCAATAACATACTAGAAAGATGAAACAGTCATCTAGAAATTTTTAGCCTTTCTTGACTTATCGAAACTTTTAGGTAATATTTGCTTCTTCAAACTAATGATTTACAGAAAACAGTCGTTGTGTGCCCCTCAGATAACAGTATTTCAGCATTTCTTTATGCCCATATATGGACATGGAATGTTAACCGCAAGTTACATAACAAATGTAGCAAAGGTTAAACGCGTGACTATTTACTCTGTTTACTGATAAAAGTACGAAATACAAATCCACGACAATACTGCAGAGGCAGTACCTATTTAATAGAAACCAGACGGAAAAGCAACGGCAAGAAAAATATCACAGAGCAGCCAAAAATGATCCGTGTGTTGGTTTTAAGGCTTAGAGAAGCATTCATGCCATATCTGTGTCGTTCAAAAACATGAAAGAAAACTTTGAATTGTCGTGTCTTTGTTGAAAGCACCACTCCGGTAAGAGAGCATGTTAAGCAGGTAATCATTTTCCGAACACATTAAGTTTTGCACTGTACATTAGCTCTATCTAGATTTTCACTGATGTTCACAGTATAAAATAAAGCAATACTAAGTAAATGCACTTGGACTCATCAAAGCAGTTTCTGGTACCTGTTTGATATTACACGCATTCTACAAACACTCTGAAGGAATTCATAAAACGGGAACCTGTGGAGTAACTAAAATGTTCCCTTCCTCGAATTTAGTAATTATATGTCTTATATGCATGTTAACCAAGCATTTCAAACGCCACAAACGCGTTTTCCCCGTTTAAAACGCTGTAAAGTCAAAGGCGTTTCAAAATGTTTGAAACGGGTTTGAAACTGTTTGACACCCGTTTATTTGCGTTTTAAACGCGGCATTTAAGGTTTTTATTCAAAATTACGTAAGCCCCCTTTTCCTATGAGGGCCACATTTTTAATTCTCCTCCAAAGACTATTACTTTATCGCAAGAACCATAATGGCTCCTGTTTATCGTAATAGTGTCGGCACCAAGGAGCACCCTCGGTTTAATACTGGAATTTTTATATTATAGCGCTTGGACCATGGTGTGCACGCGAGACTGGGGAGCCACAAAAGAATGAGCTAGAACTACGTCAGTTTGCGATAAAATTCCTTCCCTTGACTCCCTTACTTTTCTCTCGTCGCAGATGGAGATGTTTCACGGATAGAAAAAACATGCCTATTATTTTAGTCTCTTTCACTTATTGGAAAAGCAATTGTGAAGAAGAAAAGACGAAAAATGTTTCATATGATAAATGGGACTCAAATGACGCCCGGAGATACATGTACACGATATAGTAGATAAAATTGTAAAAAAAAAAAAAAACAATAACCGAAGTTTCCAGTTCAAGGCCACAATGTTCTGAAATTTGATCAACAGTCATCAAGGGTCAATTCACCTTGTTGACATGACCGGAAGTCTTCACTTTTGTCTCAACACGAACAAAAAAATTCTCTGACCTGGGTTTGACATGAAGCTGACCATGCAGTGCAAAACTTAACCTTTATACTGATATTACTAAGAGCTTGAGAAACGTCAGGGAAGAAAGAAATCGTCCTTCATCAATTTGCCAGTGATAGAGACCTTTAGATTCTAGGACGAGAACGGCTACAAGTATGAGATTTGACTTAAAGTTTGTTCGAGAATAAACACCCCGGAAAGCTTCATTGCACTTCCTTTTTCACCAAAAAATTAGCATTGTTATCTTTACTGAAAGAGCTTAAAAAACCATCTCCCAGCCACACAACGATAGAACCTCTAACGCTTTAAACGTTGTTTCCGTTACCATTCCCTGCTAGCAGAGGTCTCTCACGACGAGGCAAAAATGAGAGAAAGGTCTCTGCCTCGTTGTGAGAGGTCTTTGCTGCCAAAAGGGCGCGAAAATCATTGGCAAGGTAATTCAGTGACCTAAATAGGCTACAAAAGTTGCTAGACAATGAAAATGGTAGCTGCGGAACTCTTGTACTGTTTACTCGTGTCGGATACAGAGTAAGATGGCCTAACGTTAACAATGTTACTACTGCAAACGAAAACATCAAAAAGGACGTGGGAGGCAACCAGTGTCGATGAAGTGCCGACCGCAAAAGGTAGGAATGTTTCACGTTTTGTGTTTTTGTCTTTTACCCCAGTGCAATAATTTGCTCACGTTGCTGATCAGGGTGACTCACAGCTAACTTGTATCATAATTTTGCCTCAATTGAGTCTCTTAGTCAGCTACTCACAACTGAGGTTTCCGGTCAGGTCTCGTAAAATACAACAATGACCTCAATTTTATAAATAGGAGTAAAAGTAATTTTTACAGGGTTAAAAAGTAAGCTTGAAAAGAAGGTCAATGCAATAACGAGGCTGAAAATCCACTAAAGGTTGTTAGAGCTGTAGCGAGGGCAAACCGAAACGTGAGGAGATCGGATTCTTCGTAAACCACAATGCCGATGATTGAGATAATTCCAAGGATAAACTCGTGCTTATTCGCTACCGCGCGGGATGACTCCGCTATTTTATGATTATTTATCATCACATGATGAATGAAATTAGATATTTTACTATTCGGCTCTCAATGAAACAGAAATGCATATGAGTACGCCGGACACACGCTTATCGATCTGTTTCGCTTTACTGAGAAAAATATCGTTGAGTGGACAATAATCTCAATGAGGGGAATCGATAAATTCTATCACAAGCCTGAAGCGTAACTGAATCACTTCAGTACTACGAGCAATCCTAGTCCGCCTGAATTTTTAACACTTTTAGCACATAATGGGTAGCGCTTCATTTTTGAAAGGAGGAATGTTTTCATTACCCGAAGTTTTTCAATGTAATATAGTCCCAGGTTTGCGATGTTTGAACTTTAGCTCACTTGTCCCTTGGACATTTTCATGTCGCGTCATGCATGAATTTGGAACGCGGGATTATCCCGCACCCCAAAATAGAAGAGGTTCTGATTCGTTTATGTGCGGAATATTCTGCTACTTATAATTTTAAAATAGCCATAATGTATAATGATTGAAATTTGAGCTGCGAGCTAATGTACTCGCCTGCGTAGCTGGCGGTATTGTGTAGTAGTCGAGTGAGATTTGGCGGCGGAGCCGTTGTAATATGGTCGAGTGAGATTTGACGGCGGAGCCGTCACGAGCGGCGAAGCCGCGAGAAATATTTCAACCACCTCGCCCCTACTCCCTTTTTTTGGAAATATTTCAACCGCCTCGTCCCTACTCCCTTTTTTTGGAACACGGCTCCGCCGACAAAACTTTAATTTCGCACCCACACAATACCGCCAGCTACGCAGGCTAACTCGAATCCCTCTTGTTTGCTAGAAAGTAAAGTGAGATTGCAAAAAAAGAGTCGAAGATAAGATGGAAAAAAAAGATCTGTGTACCTTAACAACGGTAACGCACAAAACGTTCTTTTCCCAACAGCATAAATTGCGTATTTATAACTGTCATGATCTTCTGTGCTTTTATTTCTTCATCCCGCAATTTTAATGTATGATTGATTCATGTATTCATCATCTCAGTAACGAAGTTTTATTGAAACTGGAGAAAAAAACTGTCGTTTAACTGATACTCGACGGTAGCCGGATCAAGGATAGTTTTTTTTGCACTTATCTTGAAATATTGGCGAATCGATTTTTGATTTTTTTTGCATCCAAGAATTCTCTCACATCTTCTGGCTTCGTATCCTTGCGCCTGTGAGAAAATCGGTCGGCCGACAAACCACAAAACCCCTCTCACATAAACAAACTGACGGATTTTGTGTTAAGTTTATGAGAACGGAAACAGTATATCTCTATCTTCATTGTGTAAATGACCTTTTAACCTGATAGCAGATGTCTTATCTTTTATTTATTTTGAGATCGGAAATGGTGTGAAGTTACCGGTGTGATAAGAGACTCACTGATTGGCTCATACGCGAGATATCCCAACATTCCAAAATATCACATATCTTTGTCCCCATTTGATTGGTTTAGATGTGGGATGATCTCACACACTTAATAGCACTTACAATAGATCGTTCTGATTGGATTATCAGTGAAATATCCCGAGGAAAAAGGCCTCACTCTCCAGTTCCATTTTTAAATGGAAGTTTCCATTTTTAAATGGAGAACTGTTAATGAAGTCTAAATCTGCCCTTTTATATGAATTTTTTTAAAACCTTAGCCTATAGCAAACAAATCGTGCTCATATATGCGCACTATTTGCGCGGCCATAATACCTTATACATTACCTGGACATCCAGGACGGATACAGGAAACAGTTTCAAGCTCTCTTCCTGACTTTGGGCAAGAAACTCCATCGCACGTCCGGGACCGTGTTCTTTTACCGACACCACACGTTACGGAACAAGGGGTATAAGGAGACCATTCCAAAGCTTCCACTAACCAAGAAACAATGATAATAACCACTAAAGTTAAGGTACTGTAGCATAATCCTTGAGATTTGGCTTAGCCATTCGACAATAATCCCAGACAAGTTTGAGATGATGATCGCATTTTTTGTAACATATCTATGAATAAACAAGTAAGAAAGGGAAGCCCCGAGAGCATCTTTGGTTGTTATGAAAACTTGGCAGAACATTTAACAAAACTTTCGCAAATGGGTATCCCGTGATCGCGATTAGCTGCCACTGATCCTTCAACAAAAAAATATTTCCAAGTGTTTACATAAACAGGACTGTGAACTGCACGCGCTCACATTAGAGACGAAAACCGTTCACTTTGATATCCCCATAATAGGATGAACGGGTAGTGGGTAATAGAAAAATGAAAAAATGGGAACAAAAACTAACTTGAACCTTAGCCCCATCAGTAACTTCAATTCTAATTCTCTGATTGTTCTCATTTTTTATTTTCCCATTTCCCGTCTTTGTTCCCCTTCCCCTATCCAATTCCCCGTTTTGATAAGATCCCTAACAATGCTTTCACGTTTTGCTAACGCAATGTATCTATTTGCATCAATTTTAATAAGCGCTATTTTTAATTTTTTCTATTAAAGAATCCCACCTACCAGGACAAGAGGAGCTTACGCACGGAATAACCTGCGTCTGTATTCCTGGTGCCGTGCATTCTTGCTCATTACACTTCCGGTATCGTTTCTGTACTCCCTCTCCACAAGTTGAACTGCATTTACCGAAGGCTCCCCACTGGAATGATACGTGTATATTGCTTGCTTTGGTGCCATGGAGATCACTTCCCAGTTGTTTAATCAAGTTTGCAGACGGTTTTCTGATAACGTTTGTTTCTGACGGAGGAAGGTTTGGATGCAAACGAAGAGCGTGATTTTGAATCTGATAAGGAACATATACTGTCTGGCCTTTGTCGTTGTGTATTATTGCGTGTCCCTTTGAAATAGGTTGCATCGTTACATTGCTAACTGTGTGTCCCTCTGGCAGTCTTGATTGCAAACCTGGCTTAGGTGATTGATTTGGACTCATGAGGCCATACGAAGTCTGGATATCCGCGTCATGTGATGTTGTATTAATTGCTGTTGTAGTTTGTATTGTTTTACTATCAGGTTTGTGTACTTCGTTGAGAGCTGCTGCACCAGGCTTTTCTGATTTATTTGAAGCCGTGATTACTGGCGGAGATTTACTTGCTGTCTCCGAACCTTTTCTATCATTTTTGGTTGAAATGGACTCTTCAGAAACTTTAAATGAAGATTCGTCGTTTTCGGTCACCTTCACAGGCTTAAAGCTTTGACCTAAACATTATAACAACACATATAATAGAACAAAAACATATAATTGTATTTTCCGCTGTACTAAGGACCATATTTCTGAGGTTAATGGTGAATGTGCCGCTTTTTCATATCTTTTGAATTGTCGGCAGAAGCTTAAACCTGTCCAAGGAATTTACCGACGCTATATTAGAAAACATATCTTAGTACTAAGGGAATCTATAATTGAAGTTCTGATTCGGTTGGTCCCTTTCGGAGCATCGCCACAGTAGTGACCTGTGTTCAGGCGGTCTTTCTTCCCTTTTGCTCCCCAGAAGATAAGGAAGCCTGACCACAGGTTTCTTCAGTAGAATAACCTTGTAGAGATGGGATTCACAAACCCACCCAAAGTTAAAAGCTTTTTATTAAGGCCGGTTAACAATATACGATTTACCAGATCGATCTTCTATCGGAAAAGAAAGGTCAAAGTGAAAAATCGGCCGAAAAACGGACCGGTGCAAAATTATGTTGCAGGACAACAAATGTTTTGAGAATGGGGACGTATTTTTGTGTATTCACCGTAGTTTTTGGTTCTAAAACTGGGCAACCAAATTGTGGCTGTGAACCCTGATTTACAGCTGTTTTTAGGAACAGGCCTAACATTTACTAAGGCGTCCCGAAGCTACGACATGTCATAGGCATTACTTTCCATCAATGACCTATTGATATGCGAAAATGCCGTAAGAGATATTTTACCTTTATAGAGTGTTTTCACTCACGTGGTCAGCATCCATGCAAATTTATTGGAACAAAAGAAAGCGTTTACATAAGAAAAGAGTTCAACTCCCACAGGACTGGTTTGGGACACCAACATGGCCGCCGTTTCATTGTTTTGGGACACCAATATGGCCGCCGTGACGTCATGTGAAAACACTCTATAGGATGGCGTCGTAAATCCGGGGTAGCAACATACAAGGTTGCAACTCAGGATGCCCATATCAATTCGACCCAAACTTACTAACCTAGGTGATCGCAGCCGTAGAGTTCTGCTCGCATGCAGATGTGCACTCCGTACCACGCCAGAGGATGTATTCTAAGGTAACGTGCAGTTATTGGATGTTTCAAGTGACGTACAGCAATGGTTTTACTGTCATCATTGCCAACGAATATCTGGTAAAAGTAAACAGCATTGAAACGTGTAATAAATTGAGTACAATAAGAGTCCATTATCCCAAAACACATCACAGCAATTGTGACTTTTGGCCAGGCAATTTGTAGATCTATTTTACTCGCAAAAGTTTACTAAACGTTCGCACAACTAAAATGGTGGTTTGATCATCTAGAAGGAAACCGTGATACCAGTGATGGCTTGCTGATCGATTATACTATTGCTGAAAATTTTACACTGTTCTGATTAGCCGAAATATTTTTGATGCGAAGATGCATCTATAAATAGCTTGAAAATTTGACACGCTTTAATCACCCTCCATGTGATGGTCTCCGGCCAAAAGGCGAGAACAAAAAGGGGGGACGGTTGGAGATACTTTGCAAAACTCAAAAGCAGTGGTTATTTACCGTTTTTTCAATAAGAGAGTTATTTCAAGTACAAAGTATACCTTTTGCTTATTTTCTTCAGTGTAGTTTGTCCATTTTAATCCATTTGCGCTGTAAGTTATTGTGTATCTCGACACCCAACGGTCGTCAGTAACTTGACCTTGTGTTCCTATACCTAAATTGCATCAAATTTACATATAATGCCAACATATGCATGTGCAGAAGCAGTGGTGAAATAAACCGAATTTTTTAGCTGTACACCGCACTGTCTAAGGCCCAGGCCAAACGTCGAACTTTCATGGGACGAACCAAATTCTAAATTGGATCGGCCTAAATTAAGTTAAGATCGTCTGTTGGGTCGGACGTCGAACTTAGGACGCGTCGAACAAATCATCTGGATCAGACCAAAAAGAAATTTCAGCCAGCCACAAAAAAATTTTGTTCCAAACGAAGCTAAAACATCATGTAAACTTTTAATTGATTAGTTTAGTTCGTCGCATGTCAGGATCGAATTTTGTCCCGGAGAGTATCTTCAGACGTTCTATCCGTCTGAAGCAAACGGATTGAACGTTTTGGACGATCGAAACTAATTCACACGAACTTAACTGAGCTAGATGTCGAACTTTCATGAACTTAACTCATTAAGTTTGGTTCGTCTCCTGAAAATTTCGACGTTTGGCCTAGGCCTATAACAACATTGCTTTGACGGGGATGATAATATATTATTTTTGAATGCTTAGGCTAGGCATTAATCAGCGTTGTATAACCGGAGTATCACCTCAAAGGACTGAGGCCCCCAAGCGTCGAACTTTTCCTGAGACGAACCAAACTCTAATTTGGGTTGACTTAAATTGAATTAAGATCCTCTGTTGGGTTAAACGTCGAACTTAGGACGCGTGGAACCAATCAGCTAAATCAGATAAGTAATCAATTTTCTCCCGAACTAGACTAAATATACATTACCATACAAATTTTAAATTTATTAACTTTGCTCGTCGCATGTGAAGTTCGACCTTTGTTCTGGAGACGATATTCAAACGTTCCGCTCTCCATCTCCATGCGTCTGAAGTAGACGGATGGAACGTGTTGGACAGACGACCCAAACTCATTCAGACAAACTTACATGTAAATGAGCCAGAAGTCGAAGTTAAGTTCGGTTCGTCACGCGAAAAGTTCGAATTTGGCCTAGGCCTAACGGGCATCATGTTGTCTTTGTTCAACCAGCATTTGTGGGTCATGAATAATTAATGTAGGCTTTAAATATGGATTAAAGCCTCAATTTCCTCTCCCGGCTATACCACTTTATTGCAGATTAACCGGTTACGTAATGCAATAAATACGAACTGGCAAGCAATAGGGGATTCCTGTTTGGATGACTGACTCGGACGGTGTTGTTGTTGTTTTTTTCTCAATCAAGCTATTTTGTGTAATTATAGGAGTGGGGATCCTAAAATGGAGATTAAACGTTGCCAACTATACTACTTCGTCAAAAAAAAAAGTTGCAGTGATAGACCACAAGCAAGAAGATATATATTGACTGTTTTCTTAGAAGAGGAAGATAACGGCATTATTAAGTATAAAATCTACTTTAAAATATCTATTTATTAATCTATTCCCATACACGTACGAAATCGGTCACCCAATAAAAGTTGCAAATAGCATATTGACCTTTTTTCATGGAGACCTTAGGCAAGAATTGTCATAGCCTTAATGTCCTAGTTGTAAAACGTTTCGCAGAGTGAATTCTTGACTATTCAATTTGCTCTTTTTTTTTTTACAAATGTTAACTGACCTGTAACTTTCCGTGGCTTTTTAAGGTCAACTTCTAAGAACTGTTCCTTGTCCGCCAATTTTGCGCACCAACTACCTCTTGTAGAGACGAGTTCATTGCGAGCAGTTATGACACGTGCATAGAAAGCGGGATGAGCCTTGTCTATTGTGGATGAACCTGAGATCTCATGATCCATGATCGTGCCGTTCGACATACCCATCGGTGAGAAACATTCTTATAGGAAGTAATGATAAAATGTCAATAATAGTGTAAATAGATGTTGTTGCATTTGAGTTATTAGGCCTCCTGTTAATACTAACATTATTAATATCTTTATTGTCTTCATCTTTCTGGTTAGCTTTCGTTAAAATTTACCAGAATCATCATCACCATCAGCAGCAGCACCACCATCGTCATCAATATCATCATTGCTATCATTATCATCATCATCATCATCGTCATCATCATCATCATCAACACCGTCCTCATCACCCTTTTATCCATATTTCAGAGCACAGAGCACAGGAGGGAAAGAGTAAGCCCATATATACTGAACCCAATAAAGAAAAGAATTATCCATATTTGAACTATTTCCGTTGCCAGATAGTACAAGGTTCGAATGAAAAGGAAACCCAACCTACTTTTTGGGACCATTTAAACAAAATAGAACTAGTAGGAGAGTACTCCTTAAATCACAGGTCCTCCAAAGACCTGAAAGTTCATGTTTCTGCAAAATCAGTGAGCCTGTAGGTATCATCTAGACTCAGGGAGTATGTTTACCATCTCTAAACAATAATTTGCTGGGTTTCACGACAAGCAATAGAAAGCTCTTTAGTAAAACGATATTGCCGCTGTTACCTGGACAGCTTGGTTTGGTGCAAGGAATTCTCTCAGTGTAGGTTTCTGTTCCTGGTGGACAGTTTTGGTTTCGTTCATTGCCTTTCGGTTGACACTTAACAACCCTTTTCTTGGTTCCCTTGCCGCAACTTACGCTGCAATCGCCAAAATTATTCCATGCAGTGAATGGACTGATCACCGGACCATGTTCAAATGACGAGAGAGGGACGTTTGTTTCAACAGTGTCAGATAGTAAGCCTGAAAAAAAAAAGAAAGAATTTTTACTAAAGGGAAACAAACAAACCATCAAAAAAGCACCCAATTGTTGGTTTACAGGGGATTATCTGGTCCATGTATTAGCAATAATTGTAAAAAGAAATTGGCTTGTAAGAGATCGAATTCGAAAACTTTCTCCAGTGAAACAGATTTTATAGAGTAGGGCTGATCTCTCCAAATCGGGTCAACAAATTAGTAGTAGCTGGTACGTGGTAAATATAATGAATTTTCTGGGTGAATTGTCTGATTTGTATCGTATAAACTGCACAAATTGATTTTTTTTTCTAGTAACCTTCATAAAAATTTCTAGATTTTGACGGCAACAGAAAAGGTATACTGGTTACGTTAGCTTTTTTTTTATCTTACTGCCTTTTAATTTCCACAGAGAACAAATGTTTAACATCACATTACCTGGAATACAACCGTATATTTCTACTCTCATACAGATGTGATCTCCATACCAGGACTGGGGATATAAGCGCACATATCGCCCATCAAAAAACCTCTCCAGCCAGTGAATCTTCACCGAATCTTTATCGTCACTTCCCTGGAGTGCCTGAATTTTGAAACTTAAAGTTAACCAAAACCTGTAAAACACTATTCTATTTGTTAGTTAGTAAATCGATTAAGGGGGGGGGAGGATCTTTTCAAGGCCCTTTTAACTACTTTTAAGCAGATAAAAAGCGTCTGCTTACTGAAGAACGACGAAAAGCATGGATTTCTTTAAACCCTTATTTCAATTCCCTAGGCTCTTGGATATGACTGTGTGAGCTGCATTAGCAAAGCATAAAATACAGTCATTTTGGTGACAACTGTTTGTGCAGTTAAATTTTCGTATAATATGACAAACACAACAGAGTGCAACAGCTAGAACCTGATCCTAAAGGCATCAGGGGAAACTAAGAGAAAACATGCCATATTTCTCTGTTTTTGGACAATATAATGTACAGATTTACCCAGTAGCCTCTTACCTCTCCTGTAAAATTTTCACTCACGCAGTGAAATTTCCTTCCGTCTTGACTATGGCAAAGTTTGAAGCTTGTAACGAAGTTGTCGGCTAACGAAGCACCCTGAAGAGCAACCCCCGATATCGTCTTCTCTTCTCTAAGATCTACTGTGAGATAAGGCTCTTTGTCATCTTCATCAGCACACCAGGCTGTCCTTTGAGGATCATCGTAAAACGAAACAAGGTTTAACCGACCATAAAATGGTTTATGAAGGTGATACGTTGAAGATGCAGTAATTTGCCCGTCTTTGATTTTCATGTCCTCCATTCCTAGTGGTGTGAAGCACTCTAGAAACACAAACAGCAAAACTGACATCGAAGAGAAATTATTTGAGCTCTTAGGTTCGTTTTAATGTGATCTATTTGTAAGATAGCAATATAAGCCGTGGTGTCGTAGTGGTGAGAGCGTTCGCCTCCCACCAATGTGGCCTGGGTTCAAATCCCGGCGTCGACGCCATTTGTGGGTTGAGTTTGTTGTTGGTTCTCTTCTTTGCTCGTAGAGGTTTTTTTCTGGGTACTCCGGTTTCCCCCTCACCTCAAAAACCAACATTTCCAGATTCCAATTCGACCAGGAATCAGGTACACGAAGAACCACTTTGTGGATATGCTACCTCTTAATCATTATTTATTTTATTTTTCATTTATATGCCAATATACTTTCACTTTTTAGAACTTAAAATAATGGTTTCGATGCTTGTTTTTTTTCTTTTGAAAGGTTGATTTTCGAAAAGTGTATCAACTTGTACTTAAATGACAGCCTTTCATTATCCAGCCCAAGACTATGCTTAGCTAAGATAGCTGATAGAATGATATTCCATTAAAATACAAAAAAGTTTCAATTTTTATGGGTCGCCAGCCCTAACGGTTTTAACTGTTTAGCTTAGTGATTCACACAAAGAACATTCATTTGACTTAGCAAAGAAATCCGTGGTAAGTATTTTTTTCTGCATTTATAAATGTCGATACCTTTCTCAAATTCGCATCTTTGCATCAACTTCTTTATTTCTTCCTGGCTCAGAGCCTCATTGGACATATAAAACTCGTCAATTTGTCCATCCAACAGTCTCTCCCCCTTGTGTTCTCCGATTCCTGCTTTTTCTTGCCAGTCTTGTGACAACCCTCCCGACCCATCCCCCCTCAAGATAAATTTTGCATTTACATATATATCAGCTTGACCTAATGTAGCGTCATAAGTGCACGCCACGTGAGTCCAAACGTGTGAAGGTACGATCTCCTCCGATGTAACATTGAAAATGACGTCACCGCGTTCGTTTCTGTGAAACCACCTCACCGAGCCGTTATCGATTTCCAAATGATACTGTCCATTATCATGTGTAGAGTTTATTCCACCAATTGTGTCAAATATTGAGTTTGGTCCCTCTGTTGAAAAGAGCTTTATCCAAGCTGCGATAGTGATGGCCAAGCGCGGTTTGTTTGTAAATGAAGGTCCATTCAGTAAAATATCTCCTCCGTTAAGGTCAACACCGTTTCCACATTTTTCGCTAAACAGAGCGGTACGAGCAAAGTTTACAATTCTGGCGTCGTTGTGCTGCTGGGATTCGTCCACGATGATGTTATCTTTGAAGATGTTTTCGAAGCGGAGGTATACCACGGCTTTTTCGATTGCTGTAGGAAGAAATTAGTAGTGATAGTAGGAAACTATTAGAACAACATTTTCCGTTTTGTAGATAAATCACAGTGAAGATCTCTGTGTGTGCTACTTTTTTAAAATTAAAAGTCATTAATTAAGCCGGTGCTTTTGACTTCAAATTCTCGATCATCACAATTCCTCAGTTATCTAAAAATTTGCACCACAATTCCTCTTTAATGCACTGTACATTATTTTGCTCTTCTAGCTATTATGTGGATTTCCATCCTTTGAAAGTACTGTCACCGTGCGAAAACGATTTTGGATTGAAAATCACTGACAAGCTTTAAAGTAATGGTAGCCGGTGAGAAGCGGGCTCTAAGATCAGATGAAACACTTCAAGTAGGATCATGGGGACTTCAAAACGGAGAGAAAGAGAAATACAGAGGAAAATCAAAGTCTATTTAATGATTTAAGACCTAAATTACCCTGGGCACCCGTGGTATTTTACCACGCGCGGCGGGAATTTTCGGTGTCGGCCGAAGGCCATCAAATCGTGGAAAAGTCTCTGGCACCCAGGTTAGACCTAAATGTGCATCAGACACATTAATTATGTATACAATTATGGCAGATGCTATCTTGTCTTTCTCCAAAACGTGTTTTGCAGCTGAGGATCAGCAATCTTAATGATTAATGGGAGGTTATGGTGAGTCTCTGAATCTGGCTCGCTGTTTTACTTACTAGACATTATGTTGAGATCCTCCTCGCTTAGTTTTCCTTAGAGTTAAAGAACGAAAAGCAAGATTAAAGCAGAACAGAAAAAACAAACCCACCAGGAACACCTTTCAATTTTTTGAAGGACAACATCTGCCAGTGGTCGGTGTGTTGCCTAACCGGCTTTTACCGACCTAATCGAGATGACGATGAAAACCCGGAAAAGTCTATTTCTTACTTATCCAGATACTCTTCAATAGTGTTACTGCTTACCGTGGGGCAGACACTTTGTTAGGTTGCAGCACGTAGGATAAGAACAGAGGTCGCGGCAAATTAAGTGATTGAATCTTATCTTACTCCCATATACTAAGCTAGGGTTGTGATTTAAGCTGCCTATAATTTCCTTGTCGTACTGTTCAAAAACTACACTGAAGATTACAACGCTCTTTTTAAGCTCCAAAACGCCAGTTTAATCTTTTTTACAGAAAGCTTATTATCACTCACCTTTGATTTTGTCTTCGTCCTTTAAAATACTGCTTTCTTGCTTTTTATCGTTTTTGTTTTCTTTCTCTTCTTTTACTTTGTTTTCTTCACTCGCCGACGCATCCTCTGGGAATGTAAATATCATAATGAGCATACTGTTTCCTTCGTGCAGATTTCAAAAAATACCGTCAGTTGCATTTTGTTTTGCAGCGACGCATTCGACAAAGAGAACACGCCAGAAGAGAGGGGACTTCGTCTCTCACTGCGCTACGTGGGTAGCTTGAAAGCTGCAAACATTAATTTTTATTGCTGACAGGAATACTGAATGAAAACCTAAACGCACCAAGCAAACACAATCCTTGAAACATTCTGAGGTATAAAATTGAACCAAAACATATACACTGCTTGGTCATTTATTTCACAATTCGTTCAATTCTTTGAAAACCTGAAGTTACTTTCAAGTACCTAAGGACCAGAATCATATTTTTGCTGTGACATTTTTAAATTATCATTATAATAATGATAACGATATGATAATGATCATGCAAGTTTGGTTTAGTGTACTAAGGCCTTTTTTTTTTACTTTATTACCTTTTCTGCAGCCAAATAGTTCAATCCTCATGCAGTTGGTTAGACCACTCCATTCTAACGGAAGAACACGAACATACTGAGCTGTTACTTCAGGAAACCAGTGAATTACGACTGAATCGCGGTCTTTGTTACCTGTGAAGTTCTAGAAATTACAATAAAGCAATAAATATTGTTTAAAGCACTGCGAAAGAAACGACGTGCGCTTAAATCTGGATCTTCTATGTAATCGACGAATGAATGTAAAGAAGAAATTTTAGATAGTTGACAGACAAAACCCCCAAATGGAAGGACACAAACCAGTTGGCTATTTAACCCTTTAAGCCCTAAGAGTGATTAGCATCAAATTTCTCCTGGTAATATCAATGCTTTGTAAAACAGAGTGGTCATGAGAATTACAGACATGATCACACAAGATGAATTTACTTGATATTTTATCAACTTCTCCCCACTACTTCTGTATCAAATGAACCGGGGCAACAAATGAGAATTCAAATTTGATCTCGGGGTTTTAAGAGTTAAAAGCTTGGCCAGGGAGTTGAGTTGCCGAGAGACTAATCCAGCAAGCGTAGAGAGAGGTACTCTAATTCGGGACTTTGGATAGCGAGTCCGACGCACTGACCACTCTTCTCTACTCCCTCAAAGTCCTTCTTCATGGCCAAGCACTACTAGTTAGTTATTTCGGGATATTAATAGTCAATTTCATGTTTATCATTACCCTAGGACTGCCAACATTTTTCCTTTTGTCTCCTACCATTAACCAGTGTTTGCCATTTAAGCTGTATGACATTGCATACTTTGTGACCCAGTTGTCAAACATGGCTTGACCTTGAGTTGCAATACCTGGTCAAGTACAAAAAAGAAAGGAAACTGTAAAAGCGAGAGCTTCGAACAAACGACCGATCAGAGGCGGTTGGGGTTTACTATAACACCTTAAATCAAGAATAAATGGACGCACCTATGAGTCCAATTGAGAGTTTGGACTTTTTTAGTGGTTGCTTACGGGAGGTGGTCGCCTAAGAGGATCGCCCTCATGGGGGGTCTCTTCCGAGAAGAAGGCCCGATTCCCCCAATTAATGTATTCAATTTCTGTGTTACGATAATTTATACGCAGTTCCATGTTGTCATACTCCGTGTAGTGTATCCCATACACTGGTCGAGGAGTTCAGGGCCGAGTTGTTCAAAGCTGGGTTAAGATAACATAGGGTTAGTGCGAGATTTGAATTCAGATTTGAAAGCTTAAAAAGCATTTCAGTTTTAATTCTTTTTGTATACAAGTTGATTATTGGAAGCTCTAAAAACAACAGAGAGAATTATCCCAGAAAATGCTTTTAAACACAAGAAAAAGAAAGCCGGGTTAAATTTAACCCCGGATTAAGCGCTAATCGGCCTTCGAACAACTCCGCCCAGAACATTAGTCAAGCAGTTGCTTACAAGAGGTTTAAAAAAGTTATAAACAATCTCTCCAAAAAGTGATCGCGGTCATTTATGAGAGCTGATCTTTTACAATAGGTTCCAGTATATAAGGCTCTGACTGGAAAAGGTTGTGGTATTTTGGATAGCTGGTTGCTAATGGAAGGTGGTCGCTGACAGGAGGTGGTCGCCCAAAGATGTTGAACTGTATCTGATTTAAGGAACTTTCATTCTAGTATACTCTTCGCACCTTTGACCCAGAAAAAGGAAACAAGTAACGAAAATACCACACGGTGAAATAATATTGAAATGGAAATGAAATACATGGATTTAAACCCATGAAATCCAAAGACAAATACATCAACTCCCTAAATACTTTACCAGACAAGGCTGTTTTGTTTCCTAAGTTTACTTCAAGGAATTCAGTTTCGTCAGCGAAAGCCGAGCACCACCCCCCTCGGGATCCTTTCACGGTTTTATTGAGACGTGCATGGAAAGGCTGATGATGCTCGTCATATGAAGAAGACGCCGTAAGCTGAGAGTCTTTTATAAGTCCAGTGCTTACACCAAGAGAATCTTGACAACCTAGAAATGTGTTTAATGACTGTTAGACTCGCCTACAAGGTCTCATAAAGTAACTTCTAACCTGACAAAGGTAGCATCCACCGTTTTAACCGAGACCAAAATGCACTTTGTTTTCCCTGCCAAAATTTTGCATAACGATTGTCTTGGATTTCTCTTGGAACGACTGTACTACCTAGGGGATCCGAAATTGGAAACAATGGTTGTGTAAAATTTTGGGGGGTAAACAAGGTGCATTATGGTCTCGGTGAAAATGGTAACTTGCCGAAACCTGCCGCCGCAATTGACTTTTACTCTCTTTGGTTGTCTGAGAAACGTTACCCAACTACACTTCCTCTATGGCTTTGTAAAAAGTTGGGATCTTGTTAAAATTATCACTGTATACTCAGGAAGAATATTTTTCGGGCACGCCCTTGTTAAGGTAACATGTCATGAGCTTCAACACAATTCAAATGGTTGTAAACGGTGGAAGGATCGAGAATGATCCTGATCATGCCCTGATCGGAAATTGATTCGCCTTGCGGGTGTGCGTTCACTGGCGCTGTGTTGCTGTATATTTTTAAGATGCTTTATTCAAAGGTAAACTGTGTTTTAAATGTCATCGTGTTTAATAGAATGATAAAAATGGTATTTCTGTTTATATATGTGATTGATTGTTTCCTCTATACTAGTGATATTCAGGAATTTCTCTTGTTCTACCTCAGGAATGTGCGTAAATGTTTGACATTAAGAAGCATGACAATACTATGGAGTCATGGTAAATTGGTCAGAGTTCCCATCATCTTAAGCCGTTTTATGTCGAGTAAGAAACAAAAATATTTCTTTTGATTATTTTACCTTTGGGAGGGGTATCCACGTTATGGCAATTACTTCTACCATGAAGCATCCGAGTAATTCTCTTGTCTCCAACATTAGAGGCCAACCACTTGTTATTTGGAAACTCATACATGCAGCCATCTTTGGCTTTGATTCTGACCTGCAAGTTAAGTTATTTGGTGGTAATGGTAATGTCGCGTATTAGCATGATATGTTTTGTAAGTGCGGGTGTAGGCCTACAAAAGCGCCACTGAATGCCGCTATCGGCCCATTTATTAGCTTATTGTTACAAAGATTATAGTCATGAAACGGGTACGTTTTAAGTTTCAGCGAAAATGTACTGATCGGCTGGGCCTCTTTGATGTCTTTTGGGACAGCAAAGGGAATAAAGTAATTCCAGTAGCGAAGAACAAAGAAATGTTTCGCGTGAGATGAGATCTAGTTGTAAAAGTCTGAATTTGCTGTGAAAGTTATTGGTAACAGTTGAAGCCTTCTAAGTGATGGGCCCCAGGAATGTATTGCATGATAATCCTAAACAAATGCATTTTTGAAGATACGATAAATAAATTGAATTTAGATCTATTATGAATGAAAGCCTTCGTACCTTTTCTAAATACCACGCAGAACCAAACCAGCTGTTGTCATGACGAATGTTGATAGCAGTCAGTTTACCCAGGTCCTTGGTTTCAATGTCAAATTTATCGCTCCTAAAAGAAGCAGAAGAACTTATCGTCGGAAGCAACTATAAATCATCATCTTCGTCATCATTTTCATCAATCAATCAATCAATCAATCAATCAATCAATCATTCAATCATTTGGGCAGTCAGTCAGTCAAGCAAGCAAGCGATCAGTGAACCAACCAATAAATCAATCAATGTAATGAACTATTTAATCAATGAAGTATTCAATCAATCACTGTATAATTTTTTTTTCCGTTCATGTTTTAAGATAATTTGTTGTAGTTGTAAAAACCTATATTGTAACTAAAACAATACCTCCAATTGGAGAGTAAGGCGCAATAAAGATATACTATACTAACTATACTATACTAATCAGTCAATCAGTCAAGTCAATCAATCAATCAATCGATCAGTCACTCAATCAATCAATCAGTCAGTCAGTTAGTCAGTCAGTCAGTCTGTCAGTCAGTCAGTCAGTCAGCCAGTCAGTCAATCAATCAATCAATCAATCAATCAATCAATCAATCAATCAGTCAATCAATCAATAAAGCAATAAGTCAATCTTTTTATTTGTTTTCTATACTTTTAGGTGATTCTCGTATCAATCGCTCCTGCTCTATGAATCTTTTACGCCATAGCGAGGTTGAGTGTAAGTGGTTAGGGCAGGCAGTGTTTTGTTTTGCGTTTTATTATGAAAAGCACATGTAAAAAAATCAGATCATGTTGTTGCCTATCAGAGATTCATAATATGCAAAAATATTTCATGTATTACGTATTAATCAGTGAAGAAAATACTAGATAACCCATTTCACTACCACCAAGTTTAGCAAAGATACTCATGCGAGAATGAAATTAACTTACTGTCCCTTTTCAAAGTCATTGTGATCTTTGCTCTCCAGCTCAATTTCTTTTGAGTGTCCCTTCTCTCCGAACAAGGTGATGAACACTCTTGCATCCGTACCTGCTCCAAATTTGTTTCCGGTGAAAACGTAAACTTCGTACTGAGTTCTTGATTCTAAGTACCCAAAAAGCGGTGTCAATCTTTTTGTGAATGCAGGTTATAAGTGTAAGAACGTGAACAGCGTAAAAATGTGTAGAGTTAAAGATATTTATTGTAGCTCAGAATGGGGAAAGAAAGAGCAATTAACAGAATTTCCCATGAAACGAACTTCTAGGCTCACAGGTTAAACAGAAAGAAAGAGAACTCCCTCCCCCCCTTACGATTCAGCCTCGGTCAGCTCGAAAATCACAAAACTCAGACCTTCTTTTATAAAACGACTGTGAAAGTAGCAACCTTGGTAGACACTTTGTAGGGTCAGGAAGAAAATTATTGAAACATACGTTTCTAAGTAATTATTCGCCTTGCTTAGGACGGAAAAGAGACTTTTCTATTTTACCAGAACGCTTCTCGAAACATACGTTCCTGAAATTTAAAAATTGTACCTACAATTTGTGTTTTGTGTATGAAATGGCTGGCTTAAGGTCATATAATATCAAAGTCCTGTTAATTTGTCACATTAAGTAATAAACCAATTAACTACCAATTATATTAACTAGCTAATAAAGATAATAACTACGGTCAAATGATCAGGACACTGTACTTAGGTGTAAGCTTGCTGCAACTGGCTTAAAATTTTTTAATTTATATTGAACCATAAATACCAGTATGGGACTTCGGAAAGGGAAAGATTTGGACGACCTTTACAGTGCTAATTGTTTTATCAAACAATATCGGACCTGTAAATAACTAAATTTGACTTGCAACGCGGTTATTAAATAGTACGTTATCAAAACCAGAATCTTGCCTCAACCGAAGCATACTTAAAAGAGAAGGACTCTTTAATGGAAAGAAATAACTGTCTTTTTTTATCATCATTATTTTTTATTTTAACACAGGGTAACCTGACTATTTAGGGCAAAGCAAACACAAGATCAAAGCCGCCCCCATGATAATAGCAATGTTCATATAGTACCGGTCACCTACCTGTCTCACAACCAGTCAAAAGCAGAATTGAAGCTGTATAGAATAATGCCAAATTTTGCATTCTGTTCTATCACATCTGTAAAACTGAATTACAAGAAAATAAGGGCAATAAATTGCCAAAATCACTGGAGAACTCATAGTTGCTGCCCATTTGCTTGTAGCCTTTGTTTTAAACGTCACACCCTTCTGAGCTCAGTTTGATAATGACGCCCCAAACGACGTTTGAAACGACATCGGTTTTGTTTTAACTGTGCCTGCTTAACTTAACTCAAGATTTTTGTTTTGAGTTATAAGTAAATTGTTCTGAATTTATCTCTGGGTATTCCCGTCAACTATTACTTGTGGTAAACAATTAGAATTTTGCCATTTGGAGGTTGAAGATAAATATAATAAGTGATGGTCCTGGTAGCCATTCGTTTTATAATTTTCTCCGAAAGAAACTATAACGCTTACCAAAGGTAGATGATTGTAGGCTCATGGAAAATAGGTCATATTAAAGGAAATTAGACCACGTACCTGAGAAAACTCCCGTTTTTCATAAACCTTGATTCCATTGACAGGCGCTTTGTCGTAGCCGATTCAAAAAATATTTACGTGGGACAAACACCTGAATGTATATAGCGACCCAACAGCTCATTGCAGGCCCGACATTAATGTCTTTGATGCCTGAGTGCCCCGGTAATGACAATTTAAATGCGAAAATTATTGTTTAGGCTTCAGCCGCGGTTTAGAATCAATACGTCCGAGAAAAGCTGTGTTGCAATGGTTTATTATTGATACCCGGTGTCATGAATAATTAAAACCAGGAACTTTGAAACTAGAAAATATCCACCATGTCCATGTTGCAAAAATTTGCCAAATACAATAACTTTTGATAACAAAGGGATTGTTTTATTGAAATTTTGTTAAAGTTAAGAATTAGAAAATAATCGGAACATTTCTTTTTGGATGAGACTAAGATGACTCAGCGGACGCAGCTTGGCTCTATGCACTAGCCGGAAGTTGGGATGTTCTTGTACTCTCGATTATGCACCTGACTTTCGTCGCCAAGGTCATATGTGTATAAAATATGTTTGTTACATTTATTGGCAGTTTCCATATATTTTGTTTCCTTAGACAATTAACAACAGTTGCAAATAGGGCGCGGGTTGCCGTTTGAGCTCTCTCTTACCTAAGGTAGTCCGCTTTGCACCTACTCCAAAAAAAAGAAGGAAAAAGAAAACCTAAGTTACATTAACGAAATAACATGTCAGGAACGAACAAAGTAAACTGAATACAATCAATTAAATCTTTTTTTTCAATCTTGCCAATCGGAATGCCGTTGTTTTCAGGGGGTAAAAAATAGCGTGTAACTATTACAGTCTTTCAAGTCTAATAATAACGTAAAAATGTTTATATTGGGCATTTGACTAAGAAAGTAGGCTATTTATATCTATCTTCACTAAGACCCGTGATGCAGTTAGTGATTACCAGAGAAAGAATAATTTTTTAAATGGTTGTTTTCTTCTTGCAGTTCCCTTCGAACCAGCTCAAGATTTGAGGCTAAGGCTGTTCTCACAAAATGGGGATCTGGATCTCTAAATTTAATGCTAGCAGCTTCTCAGTCAAACTTCTCTTAATACGCATAAACTGCTGTATTCTTTCACGATTTTTCCTGAACTAATTCCTGAGAGAGTTACTAAAATTACGTCCCCTGTAAATAAAAATTGTAAATTGCTTGTAAATTGCCTTTTTACCCACGAAGCACTTAAGAGTTCATATGAACTCGTTTAAACGTGTCCGTGCGTTCCAGATCGAATTGGACGGAATTGTGTTGATTTTTGAGGAGAGGGGAAAACTGTAGCACCCGGAGAAAAACCTCTCGGAGCAAGAGAGAGAACCAACAACAAACTCAACCCACATATGGCGTCGACGCCGGGATTTTAAATAAGTGTTATCAAGAGGGAACTGAAGACCAATTTCGATTATACAGATATTATTTATCAAGCAGAGCAATAAAAATATGAAGTTTATGAAAGCTCTGTTGGTAAAGTTGCTTGTTTGGCTGCAATCATTCTGGGTTATTCTGATGTTACGCTGATCTTTTCATTTTAAAAAGGCCTGAAAGAGTTGTTATGATTTGTTATGATTTCCATCTGCTTGAGAAACAACGTAAACTTTGCTGTGCAAAATTTGAGGAACCTTGTTATGTAGCAAAACAGTATGAGTTGATGGTTTATAACAGGGCGGTTACGCGGCGAGTCAAGGGTTTTCTAACTAACGTACAGCTGATTGTTGTTGTGTTATCGGAGAGAACGTTTTGCTTTTTCCACTCTGTCACCAGCTACAAAAAGAGAAATGTTAGCACGATATGTTGGTGGTTCTAGCACTCGGTGGCGACAAAACCTGTAATCTGCAATAAAACCACACTTACGTAAGGTTTCATTGGCTTTTAACCCTGATGAGATAACGTTTTGGCCCTGAGAACCGGAAAAGAAGTTCGAACAAAAATTTACACAGTCAGTGCTGCATCGTAAGAAGGTATTTCTTTTACTAGTATTTGAGAATCGAGGAACGTGTAAACATCTCTAGAACAATCTTTCACCGAATCTCTCTTACGGTCTGTAGGAAATTGGTAACTTGAAAGCGCTGTAAGTGATTCATAATTTGCCTTCTTTTATTGCTTTCAGGTCGCTCAGTACAAAGGCTAGACAATGGCCTACACTCTTCGTCTACAAGCACTGCTGTTGGTATTTATTTGCGTAGGTGAGCCAATTACTGTCTTGCAAACCAATCAAGGCGTATACTGATAAAGCCATGATAACATCGGTTTTTTCAATTCATGCAAACTATCTTAATTATGATTCCTTATGCTTAATCGTAATGAAAACTGACTGAATAGAACGATAAACTCCGCCTTAGGTCTCGGCTAAAAGATCAGTTATTTTCGACAAACATTGTATATGTCATGCACAGCATAGGGAAACTTAACGATCAAACAATTGTTAACGTGATGCAAAATTTTGAATGAAAATGGTTTATCTAAATCCAGCTTGATCCAGATCAAACATCGAAAGCCAATAAAATGCATTATTGAGAGAGGTGGCTTAACGGTAAAGGATGCTCTTTCAATACGATGTTGGACGAAAATGCTTGACCGTTTAGCCGTGCGGCCTTAGATGTTCACCGAACCGCTCTCATTGTCGTGGTGTTTTTCCACACTTTCTTAACTAGAGCTAACGCTTCCTGATAATACGGTTAAAACTATAACCAACACCTTCTTGGCCCTTTTTTCATATAAACAAAGCTTATTGGCCTTAGTGGTGCTGTCTCAGGTCATAGTTGTCCTGCTTACTTTTAACAGGATGGAGTGCGCAGGCTCGTAATATCGACGTAATAAGAGAACAGAGGTCAATTGGGGAAGGTACGTTTCAAACCAGTGCCATTTAAACCTTTCAAGAGTAAAAGTGGCCAAAAAAAATCTCATGCACTTTTCTGAAATGTAAGAAATAAGTACTACTAAGCGAACGTTCTGCTAAGGAGGTTTCATTTGAATGGTAATAACGTAAGTTCCTCCTACAGAATATAAAGGTGGTTTGCCTCATAATCTTGACATCCATGGTAAAATTATTAAAAACCTATCAACAGTGGTAACATATCAAATATGGATATGTAGCATAATATCCACTTTTGCAATAGGTGGTTTTCATGCAATCTCGGGAGACACAAATAACAATGGTGAAATGAACAAATGCTGGTGGACAAACAAAACGAGCTAATGAGCGATCTTTTGTTTACCGTCCACCAGCATGGCGGCGATGACGTAACGTGAAAACCACCTATAGCCCGTTTTCCAGTTCGCTATGACCGCTGAATTAAAGAAGTGAAGACGCATTTTTTACAGCCCTAGCTTCCATCTGAAGTAATATATTCACAAATTTCAACGAGAAAAAGACCTGTTTATTACTCTGTCTATTGTGTATATTCAAATTGCAAACACTTACTTGCCAGAATTTCTGAATATTTTACTTTGCGTCGAGGCTAACCCTGTATGAATGTGTCGTTAATGTTTGTATTCAGCGGTGATTTTTAATTCGAAACTGGACTACTGTTAGAATGCCTGTAATGGCCCTCCCCTCTCCCGAAACAATGTTGTGATAAGCAATCAGTTTTCAGGACAGGATAAAGTGGACAGGGTGCTCAAATACAACATTGTTTTGGGGTGAGGTAGGAAGGGAGACAGTTTCATTTCAGTCGTATTGTGTTAAGTGTCCCAAGACTTTTGACCTCCATTGTTGGTCTATGAGCAATAACATACGTTGCCTGTGAGCAACTTTGAGAACACTGACTCTCTCTTACCCAAACGTACTAGTTAAAAGAACCGACCCCTTACGGTGTGCTAAGCTCGCCGAGCCAAATGTGTCTCTCCAAAATGCGCATCCTCGTGACGTACTCCAAGACATTCTTCATTAACGTGCTGTGTTAGAGTGTCTTGAGCGGCCCATAACTTTAAGCAGTGGAGGGTCTATTTGAGTATGTTTGATTTCTTGCCCATAAACTGGTATTTTTCGAGATTTAAAACCGGAGTTTCCAGTGGGAAACAGTTAAGATTATAAGAGCGTATTATACCTTCATTAGTAAAAAGGTTTGTATAAATATGAGGTGGGGGGGAAGGGGATATTTTTCAAGTTGAATTATTATATTTTAAAGGATATTTTTTCTTTCTTTGTTTCTCTAGAATGTGGTGGTATTTATAAGGAGGCATCTCATTGTTGGCCTTTCAATACTAGTTTCAAGAATGTCGTTTCGAAAGATTTGAAAGGTGATAGACAAGCTTCATTAAAGGTAAGTGGAAGTTTTTTGTGATTTGTTTGGTATTATTTTGCCACCCGTCTCTAACATTTATTTCGTAAAGGAAGACAAGCAAAAAGAAACAGAGATACTTAACGTTTTCCATCTACCTTTAGACAAAAAAAGTACATCCGGTTATAAGCCCCCCGGATATAAGCCCCCTTCCCTCCACTTGTAAGCACCCTATAGGCCCATCTACCTGTGGACAAAAAAGTACATCCGGTTATAATGCAGACATAGTAATTTCTGCAAGCAGAATACTGCAATGCTGATCGTACTACGTGGAAATTAACTCTGCAAAACATCAACACGGCACCGAAAGAACTCAAAACAGAGCAGGATTGTAGCCATAGACAGCTGTTTCGCCCTTTTTGGGGCTCGTCAGTATAGCGCAACAACCAGAGAATTAGCTCTGATGAAAAATATCCGCGCACTCTGATTTTAAGCCCTGGCCCAGAACCCTCAACACCCACAGAATCACGCCATACCACGTGTCTTCTGGAGGGTAAGAGTCCAAGTATTAAGTTGATGCCTCGCAGAGAAAATAAAGAATTGGCCAAAACCAACCTCAAAAACATGGACAGCACCATGCAAGAATTACAGCATATCGGATCTATAAAAGATCTACCGCCCAAAAATTCATAAAGTACAAACATTAAACATAAAGGAATGCAAAGGACCGCAAACGAATATGCCGAAGAACGTAGGATCTATAAAGACCTGATCAGCAAAAATAATAAGCCCCCGGATATAAACCCCCTCCCCCCCACTTGTAACCACCCAGTTATAGGCCCATCTACCTGCGGACAAAAAAATACAACCAGTTATCAGCCCCCTTTACGTAAATGAATTCGATTTTTACGACGTTTTGAATCTTTAAAAAGTGCGTAAATTCAAACATTATTTTGAAAAGTATTGTTATGTACTTGTTTTGGAACGCTGTTTTTAGTCCGATTATAAACCCTCTTAAACCCCTTTCGAAGTTATATAAGCCCTGTGATTATAAGCGGAAGTTTACGGTATGGCACTCTTGAAAGGAGAAGGGAACTCAACGAATTTCACCATTTGCAATGCCAAGGAACGGTTTGATCCCCTATTTCCATGCATTTTTACTCCTTTGCAACATTGCCGAAAAATTAGTGGAGGTATGCCACTTTTGAAAGGAGAAGGGAACTCAACGAATTTCCCATTTGCAAATTTCCAAAAATTAGCCGAGTGGAAAGCCCGGTTAAGATTATAAGCCCTGTCATTACAAGCGAAGGTTTACGGTATGCCACTTTTGAAAGGAGAAGGGAAATGGAACCAAAATGTGTCCAGCACACACCGGTCAGCTATTAGCCTCTCACGCAGGCGTTTTTAGGGGAGCTCGATTTCGTCCCTCCCCACAAACGCCTACTCAACCGAGAATAATATTCCTTTCAAATTGTTTTGTTCGCGTGGTAAGTGACCAATCAACAGTTTTGAAATAAAATGTTGACAGGCTGAACACGACTGATAAGCTCGTGGTAGTGTAAAAACGTGACTCTAGAGTTGCCTTTGTCTTTCGCTAAGGTTATGCAGGTGCATGGGACGTTTCGCGTTGCAGTCATGCAAATCAACGGCAAGGAAATGTACAGTATTATTCTGGTCAAAAAATGGAATCCTCGGATTCAAAAATGTGATGAAAGAAGGTATCTGAAAAATTATCTCCTCGTAATACGTTAAATTGCATCTAAAATTTTCGGACTAAAACACTGAGATGCAAATTTTATAGCTTTTACTGGTTGGTTTCTTTTGTTTTCACGCTCCGCTCTGAGTTTAACATTTATTAGGGTTTGGACAACATATTATGGAGTAAGACGTCATGGACGAAAGACTTTCCCAGAGTTTCAAACAGATCGAGTAATTATCGGGTTACCCTGCGGTCAAGGTCAACCTTCCAGGATTATGAAGGTACAATGTGATTGGCTAAGCTTGGGAAAGGAATGTTGTTCTCGATTGAGCAGGCGCTTGTCGGATGGGACGAAATGCGAGCTCGCCTAAAAAGGCCTGCGTGGGAGACTAGTCAGCTATTGGCCAAAAGTCCGCGAAAGTTGACTCGGCCAAGATCCCACTCGTTTCTAAAGTGGGGAATATATACAGTACGTTTGATTCTGAAGTGTTCATCTATACGATTGTGTTATTTTGTCAGAATGGAGCTAGAATTGTTAAAAGTCCAGTGAGAGGAAAAGTGGCCTCAACAGAAAAGGGAGGATCCAATAGCTGGATTGATTTAGGCAACTTTACTGGTAAGATGAGTGCAGCCAAATCATGAGTAACACACAAAGTTGAAGGCCAACGTGTATGTTTTTTAGAATTTTATTTATTAACAAGATTTTGACATGTTGCTGAAGTGAGTTTCAGTTTGTGTTGTATCATCTCCTTTTCTTCAAACAGAAAGTCGATTACATCTATATTTATTTATCTATTTATTTTCATTTTTTGAATGCATCAGCGCATCAGTGAACACACAAGCTCAAATCGATCGTGAGGCACATGAAGGAACATGGGGTTGAGAAACAAACGCTCACGGACGATTTTTCGGATCTCAAATACTGGGGAAATAAACTCGAATGTTTTGTTTACTAGATACTTGTTATGCAAGAACTCAAACCATCACTGAAAGTGCAATCGGACTCGATTTGTACTAAGCTTTTCTATAAAGAAATCTACATAAAAATGAAATATACACGGATGCAATCTAACTTATTCAAACTCATTTAAAAAAACTCATTAGATCAATATTCAGTGGGCGTACTGTCCAATAGACATCGCGGATTTAGTCACTTGTAAGGACCTTTATACCCGGTTAAACTCAACAATCTGAAAAGCCAGTGGAGGGCTTTGAATTCAGCCTCAGGGGAAAGACTGAAACAATGGGTGTACTGATAGGGATGAACATCTATACAAAGAATACTAATAAACATGAACAGGACGGTCCTCCTAATTTGCAAATAAATGAAAAGTCAAAAATTTGACAAAATTTCTCTTCTACAGAAAGTTCAATTTTTTTTTCATCCATAACCGAACATAAAAACCGATGACCGGTCAGAACTTAAATATTCTAAAAAGAAATACGAAGTAGCGGAATGGGCTCATCCCGGGCGGTGTAAGATCCTGTTAAACCCACAGGTGCCGTAAAACAAAGAAAACAAAGAAGTCAACACAATATAGAACCCAGAAAAACAAGGTTGCGAAACAAGAAAAAGTTCACAGGTTCTTACACCGAGGTAAACCGGCGAAATGAGTCACAAGCAACAAAATTTCATAGGCCATTTCCGAGTTCCCCCGGGCTTCTGTATCAAAACGAAGTGAAGTGCTCAGTCTTGGATATGGAAATGATTTGTCATTTTCACGCAAATAAAACTCATTTCCACAAGAAAGGTTGTGCATTTGGCCTCATTTTGAAAGAGAGAGTTTTTGGATCTCGAAAGTGGCCTATTCTTGCCAGTTTGCAATTCCGTAAAAATTATCATATGTCCATTACGTCGCGTCGCAGTTACATTTAGCGACACTCGACACTCAGTGATAGCCGTGTAAACCGTTTACTTCAGTTGCATAATGCACTTGCATAAATATTTCTGCCCAAAATTTGTTATTTTTGCTGCTTCTGTTTAACTTTTTTCAATCAACCCGTTTTAAAACGAAAAATGCATTGATTAGCAATCCTATTTCGATTAAATACTCCGGCGACGTTTTTGAAGCTGCTGAAGGCAGTCACAGCACGTGATTTGCACGGGTTAAATATTTTCGCGCTTGATGCGCGAACTTTTCGCCCGTGATAAATCAGTGCTGTTCCTGGTTTAAAAATTACTTCAACTCTTTTAACAACTTGAAATTAAAAACTAAAAAGTTCTCACTCTTGATAATGATGTTCGAATCATCGAAACTTCGAGTAACGTTCTTAAGTTTAATTTTTCGTGTTAAATGCTTAAACATCTGATTTAGCAAGAAACTGACTATCGGATCTTAAACGCTACAATCGAATGAAACGCAGCCTATCGATGAGAAGAACAGGTATAGCAATATACTTTTTAAACCAGGATAAAACAGAAGGCATCATTTTTCACGTCACAGTATATTTTTTGGAGCTTTGCAAATACGGTTCTGGGCTGGTGGCCTGAGCCGAAGTGCTTGTGTAGGGACGCAAAAGCAAACACCAGGGAACTCTGCACAGTGCTATGTACAATTTGTTTCAGAAGCGGAAGGAAAAAGAGAGTAGAGTATATCGGGATGTTTTTTACTGCCCTGTCACTGATTTCAAAAGAACAGAAACACAAATATCCAAAATGTATCACACATTTACAGTCTTAAGCCCCAATTGCTGCCCGTAACACGACACAACGCTGAAAAATTTCTCTTTTAGAGCTGACATTGTATGACTTAATAACATTCAATTTCTCTCGTGGCATGGAATCTTTCAAACTTTTGGAGACAAAATAAAGAAATTATTATGGAATTTTTAAAAAAGGGCCTATTCGAAGTCATTGTTCCTTTAAACAATTCCCGGAATAACAGGTTGCGTTCCTTCCCTAGTATTTCACTCTTCCTAAAAGTGAGCTACGTTTTTCCTCCTTGAAGGGGCTATCTCACACTATCTTTTCTTTTTTGAAAAATTTAAACGTGTCTTCCAAAAACAATGTTACAGTTTTGTTACATACGACTATATTTTTAAAGCACTGGAACTGTTTCCCATCGTCTGTTGCTACGGATGGCAAGGATGCATTTTGTGTTTCAGGGGCGGATCCAGGATTTTTTTTAAGGAGGGGTGCACTCGTCTCTTGCTCAAATTCAACTCCAATAAACCACTTTTTTTTCCCGCAGAATACCAGTTGTATTAGAAAACCGCAGGTCATCTCAGGGGGGCGCACCCCTGCACCCTCCCCCTAGATCCGCCCCTGTGTTTGTGCAAATTAATCAAAGGCACTGAGTAATGACGTAAGCACAGAATTGACCTAAAACAACTGCAATTATACATCGTGATGTAGCCCCTTAAATGCAACACTTATTCCAGTAAATGCGTTAAATGATAGGTTTTTTAGCCTTGTTTATTTAAGCCGATTTATTTTTTTTTAAAAGGAAGATGCATTGGCCAGCCTCAGTTCTGTTCAAATGGTACAACTATGATTTTCTGGGCAAAGTTTGACCAATCACTGAAGTATCAAAACGACAAAAAATATGTTTTTTCAAGTGGTGGGACGGATTTTAAATCTCAAGGATTTTCATTATACAAGGAGTACTCAGAGTTTATATTAAAAGTAGCAAGTGACACTCAAGTGTGGAAAGCGTTCATAGCTGGCGATAATATACCAATTGGAAGATGGTTTTCTTTCGCCTTTACTTGGTCAAAAGGTATGTTGTATATATCGTAACGGATACTTTATCATTGTTGATCGTTAGCCTATGTAGCCGGCGAGATCGTTAGCGCGAGTATTGCCCTGCCACGAGTATTGCGGTTTCCACCAGGCCCTGGTTGTTCAAACGTCGGATAGCGCTATCCACCAGATAAATCACTATCCAGCGGATAAGTATTAGGGAAACCAATTGCGCTATCCACTGGGTAGTGATTTATCCAGTGGATAGCGTTATCCGACGTTTGAACAACCGGGGCCAGAACTCTCGCACGGGCAAAAATAAGTCCGCTAGCTACGCAATTTCAAAACATAAAATTGTGGTCTCGAAACATTTGGCTGCTCCTCAACAGTCTCAGTATATGAAGGAATGTTTATTCTGGGCTTCAACAGATAATAATAGTAATATTGATAATAATAATAATAATAATAATAATAATAATAATAATAATAAATAATAATAACGATAACAATAACCATAACGGTAACGGTAACGGATAACGATAACGATAATGAAACGATACTGATGATGATGATGATAATGATAATGATAATGATAGTAATTATGATAAAAAAGAACATATTTAACCAGGACAACTACGTCAGATTTAGAGAAAACTGTTATCAATGCAGGTCCTGCCAAAAAAAAAAATGTCTAGTGATTCCCATACCGGGAGTCAAACCCGGGCCGCCTGGGTGAAAACCAGGAATCCTAACCGCTAGACCATATGGGATTTACATAGATTTTGCAATTGCTTTATACGGTGTAGAACCTCAATTTAACAATGCTACATCTAACAAAGAAAGAAAGAAACGAACGATAATTTTCGCCCCAGTAATAGCAAACTTTAAGAAGAGAAAAGTGATATGACTAAACCACTTAAACAGATATTGCCAGTCTATTAGCTTGAGCCTCCATTATATCGAGCTTTCTTTGTGTAGCGTTTGTCATCGATCATCCGTCAAGTAGTATTTTGTCCGTTTGTCCTTGCCTAGTCCCTGGGCCTCATTATTCCACGCAGCCAGTACGTTTCGGATCACGTGGTCTGAGCGAAGAATCCGAGAAGAAGTGAGCCGTACAGGGACTAGGCAACATTTGTCCGGTACTTTAATCCATTTCATTCCTTCATTTTTATATGCGTTGTTATCAAAATTATCCTTCATTGTTTATTAAAGTGGTTATTTTTGTGTTTCTGTCAATTCGTTAGCCAGTTCATAATGAACAGGTTGCCTTTGTTTGAGTCATGACAGAGGTTTGAAACTTTGTTTTACTTTTGGGTTTAAACAAAGTTGTATAGCCCTTTGAAGGCCAGGAACAGGGTGAATAAACAAAAAGTACGTAGTGTAGCTGTGACCTGCGCCTTTTTTTACTGGCGAGTGGCAAAGCTACACTTCGCCCAATGTGGAATTACCCAACTGCAATCTTTCTTCCTTTTTTAGGGTCTGGATTAAAGTACTATATAAATGGAGATCTTAGTGGCTCCCAGATTAACCCCTCTTCCTACTCGCACGAAAATAACTACAACGATTTCAGGATAGCTAAATCTAGCAGCGACCAAAGTGCCTATGGTTCGACCCTACAAATGAAGTTCGACCAACTCGCTACGTGGAGTAGAATTTTAAATTCTCAGGAAATCCAAATTGCTTTCAATCAAGGTAGGCTTAAAATTTTAAACCATTAGGAAACTCCTAATTTATCACCTAGTTAGAATTGTCATATCGACC